TCGACTTTCTGTCGCCTTCGTTATCCAAGTCTACTACACTTTCGAGGGCTCTTCAGTCGAGACTCTCCAGCCGGCTCGACCGTGGGGAGAATGTTGGAAAGACGCTGCTGCTTACTGGTGCTGGCATCTCGGTAGCTTCTGGCTTGGCCGACTACAGAGGCACGAATGGCACGTATACGCTGAATAAGACGTATCGACCGGTGTATTTTCACGAATTCTGCGACAGCCATGAGGCGAGGAAGAGATACTGGGCGAGAAGTTTCCTAGGCTGGACGAATCTAGAGAAAGCGAAACCGAACAAGGCGCATGAGGCTTGTGGAGAGTTGGGACGGATGGGTGTGGTTGGGAGTGTAATTACCCAGAGTAAGTTTGACCTGGCAAGCCTCACCGATTATACGTGACAGGAACTTGGTGTCGAGATGCAATACTAATGGACCCATTAGATGTAGATTCCTTCCACCCAAAGGCGCACCCGCAGCTTCCTACCATCGAGCTACACGGCTACCTGCGTAACCTCGTCTGCCTGACCTGTCGCAATGAATACTCGCGTCGTTCATTTCAAGACCAACTCTCTACTTTGAACCCCTCATGGGCTGCCTTCCTCGCCGAAATGATCGAGTCGGGCGCTCTAGATACTGAGAACCCCGACGAGCGTCGGAAGAAAGGGCTCAAGTCGAATCCAGATGGTGACGTTGATGTTCCAGATGCCCCGTATACCACGTTCAGATACCCACCATGTCCAACTTGCTTGGAGAAGCCACCAAAGCGTGCAGACGGAGGCACAGTCCGCGTAAAAGTTGACAAAGATGGCGCATGGGATCCCGCGAGCGAAGGTGGGGTGCTCAAGCCAGCTGTCATTATGTTCGGCGAGTCTATACCCGCCCCCACCAAGGTCGCTGCCGAAGAGGCTGTCGATGCCGCCGGTAGGATACTAGTCATTGGTAGTAGTCTTGCAACATACTCTGCGTGGAGGCTAGTCAAGAAGGCAAAGGAGATGCAAATGCCGATTGGAATATTGAACATGGGCGGCGTCCGAGGCGAAGAAACCTTCTTTGGAGACGTTGAAGACACGAATACCGGCCGGGAAGCAGCCCGCTTGAGTGAGAACGCCGAGAAGGTTTTACCGCAGGTAGTGAGGATATTACAGGAGATGAAGGGAAGCAGGTAGTAGGCAAACTATCAAGTCACAAGTGCAGAATGCGTCTGGCAATATGCAGATGTTATTGAACATGGTGATGAAATTTGCCGTCGAGGCAGTGGTTGTGCTAGCTAAATAATGCACAGCATTCTAGGTAAACTCTCGATCCAACTCCAGCTTCGCGTAAATGTGATATCATGTGAAGAAGTAAATCATCCACCCAACGCGCCTATGCTGGGAATGAAAGAACCAACGAAACTCCAGTCAAATCAGGACCTTTAAGCACCCCTTTCCCTGTCTCTTCTCTCACCCTCCTCCTCGCCGTCAGCATCCTCGACAACCATCCTAAATCCCTCCTCTTGCTCCAATTTCTTCATCCCCTCAGCCACTACCGCTTGCCCCTTCGCCCTCGCCTCCAGCAGAATCCCCAAATCCCTTCCAGGAACTGCCCTCAATTCATCACTGCAGCTACGGCAGATACGCAATTGACACCAAGTACACGCCCACTTCCTGTCTTTGTCGTTTTCATGGCATACCATGCAGCCCATGGGCTGAAAGATGTTGTTGGACCAGATGTTGTGGCGATGTCCAGTGTAGCAGGAGAGTTGCGAGGGCGTTATCCGTGGGATGTATGAGACGGGTAAGGGGATCGGGTGGCGGGTCAAAGGTGTGAAGGGAGGGGGCGATGCTGGTGTCGTGGTTTCGGTGGGGGCGTTGTCGACGGGAGATGTTGGGACGGAAGGACCGGGGAAGGGAGAGAGGTTTAGATCTTGTAGGTCGGAGGATGTTGGGCGGGATGGAGCGCTCGTGGGTCGGACGCCTGGGGATGGCTCGGGAAGGTCGAGAGATGTTGTTCGGACGGGTATTTGGGTCTCGGCTGGAGTTGTGTTGATTTGGGGTGCTGGATCAGCTGGTGCTGATGATTGTTCTTGTTCCAGTGGCTTTTGCTGGGGCTCAACAGCAGCAACAGCGACAGCAGGCTCGTAACTGAATGGTCTCCTCTCGCTTGGAGGTGGTAATGGTGAGACCGGAGAGATCTCACCATCCTTCTTGGCTAAGACTGGCTTCAGCGTCGGAGAAGGTGTCATCTCGGGCGTAATCGTATGTACATCTTTCGTGGGAATTGGAGGAGCCGGCCTCATTGCCTACACAGTATCGGTCAGCGATCAACGTGCTATGATTGGAAAAGGATCCAAGTACCCTTGATTTTGCGACATTGTCACACAGTACGACTATCGTACAAGTACTGGAGAAGGAAAAGGGAGGCGAATATATACCTTCAAAACGTTGAAACCTGTGCTGCTTTTACCGCGGGCGTGGAGAGGGGAGGCCGGGGCTTTGACACGAGGGTTCGATGGGAGGCCTGTGAAAACTTTCTTGGGAGGCGCGGGGACTTTGGCATCTTCTTGTTCCTCATCTGGCGTTGGCGGAAGTTGCGCTTCCATGTTACGCGACTGCTCCTCTGTCATGCTTGCTTGACTATCGACACTGGCCTTTCGGGGCATAGCATCTGATCGTTGACTGTCTACGCTAAGGTCCCTAGGTGCAGATGTAGGAGGCATTGGAGCGCCCTTCCTTCCTCGTGGTCCGTTGGTCAATTCCGCCAAGCTCTTGAACTTCTTGAGTCCTTGGTCTGGAACTGCTTTGCGCTTGACGATCGGGGAGACAGTTTCGTTAGAAAATTCTGTCGGGTCTCTGTTCCCGTCTTGGGAAAGGAGTGAGTCGTTCCTCGAAAGATCTGTTGCTGGCAGTGAAGAGCCGTTTCTTGCATCAAACTGCTTGATTGACTTCCGCCTTTCCGACTTGGCCGGTGGTGGAGGTGGAAGATCCCTCTCTTCTGCCCCTGAGGAAGGGAGGGACTCAGATCGTGCCGGGAATACTGGAGTAGGTGGGACTGTTGCTGTTGATCCGTTGCTGATGGTGAGCTTCAGAGATGCTGGTTTAGATTCACGAGACAGGCTACGTGATTGAATTCTTCTTCTTGGTGGAGATCCTGGAACTGGACTTGCTGGAAAGACAGGTGCGTCTTGATCATCTGTGGTCTGTTAGCAAATTTCGCTCAAAAACTGATGAAATCAAGTCCAGTCGTGGTAAGTGACGCGCCGGATACTCGCAACCACTCATTCAATGTACACAAACAATGGCCATTTTTTACATTCAAATTCAAGAAGTTCTTGCTTACCTCTCAGTTGAAATTTTGCTTGCATCCTCAGCGCAGCTGGTAGCGGTTTGCGCGCAATGCTATCTGATCGCGGCGGGGGTGGAGGAAGTTCCTTATCCGCAGGCACAGGTGAATATGCTGAAGGAGACGCGTCGCCCCGGCCAAAGGAGTTGCCATAATCGTTGAGCAGCGCGCTGACAATGTCTTGTCTGGAGGCAGGAGCAGATAATAGGCCCCGTTGAGCCATGACGTCGGTCATCGTGAGTTTCAAATATGAAATGTCGTTTATCAATGTGAGCGTGGATTGCGATCAAAGGATAGCACCAAAGGAGTGGATAGTGCTCGAAAAGTTGCTTTGGTAGTGAGTGTGTGTAAAGAGCGTGGTGGCAATGAAGAGAGTGACTATGCCGTAAAGCAAGACGAAAAGACAGGTCCCAGCCCGATTATAGACTCTCTTAACGAGCACAAGTCATGAAGGAATGAGAGTGGAAGGGACGCGCATAGCAAACCCTCGCGGCGAAGCTGGACGTCTCAGGTACAAGAATGAGCATGGGACACGGCTGACAGAAGAGTGGTCGGGCCTTTCAAACGCATGAAGTGTTTGACATATGGGCCAGGAAGAGGCTGGCCTGTCACAGCTGACGACCAACGACTGCGCGGATTATCCATGCAAGGGTTAAGGCGTTGGAGATGACAGGATGGTCCTGAGCTCCACCGGGGAGCGGGATTCTTTCGATTGTTCTGCGGAATTAGTCCACGGCCATATTGAACGACCCGGCAATTTCTCCATCAGCCGGTCTTGAGACGATCACGATAAAGTTCAGAATACAAAGCGAGCCCACGTTCTCGACGTTGCACAAACGGCCCGACCACGGGAAGCTGAAGCACAACGTTGATGCGTGACGTGCCAGGCGACCGCTTTCTGCCAAATCACGGCACCCCACAAGTGTGACCCGCACGTGATCAGCTTCCGCGTTTCAGGCTACCGGAATAGCTCTTTCGGAGGAGATCGAGAAGATATGCCGAGGAGCTGGTCAGACCCACAGTTGCACATGCGCTGACGTGTGACGTTCGCAGATCCACATATCATTGTCGTCCGCCTTTACATGGAGCTTCCATGTGCATCGCACACCTAGGTATTATGGTGCAATCTCGTCTTCGGAAACAAATGCTTCGGTCAGAAACGAAATGACGATGATGTAGACAGGGTGTCTGCACATCATTGGCGGGAGCGGACCTAAGTGCGCGATCGTGACGGATAGATTGTGTAGCATTGGCGTCGAAGTTTCCCGGGTCCGTGGGCTATGCCATGGCCCTTCATATTGTACAAACGGACGGATGGCCAATCACTAAGCAAGCCCTGAATACTGGTATTCGTGAAACAATTTTCAAGATTGCTTTTCGTGTAGCTAACTTTTGATCTTTCGATCATAGTCTGTTATTGATCTAAATAAGACGCCTCACTAGAGACAAACTTTGTACATCTACAGATCGCCTTGTATTTGGACAAAGGCCAATCGCGATGACGGCCAATTCTGTGGGTCAGAAGATCCATGGGTATCCCCTTCAGCTCTGCAACAGTCAATCATGACAAAAAGTGAATCCTCCCATGCGCCGTCGCTAATGAACAGTCGATCCTAAGCATCGACAGGGACTAAGGTAAAGTATTTACAAGAATAGTTGATATAGGGTATCGCTCCATCACTGGAAGAAATAAAGTACAAACATTAGGATCAAGGTTATCGTAGGTGTGATTGTGACGTTCGTAGTCGGTGCAGCAGCTTTGAGAGGGGCGGCTGTGACATTAACGAAGGTTGAGCCGCATGCTATTGAGATCTGCTGAGCGGCTGAGGTGTAGGTTTTCGAAAGAGGTTGCGTAGCGTTATTGCCGTAATAAGAAAAGACGCTCATTGCTTGTTGTAGGCACGAGTTGCAAGTTGGCCGTGATCCACCGGGAAGTTCTTGTCCAACGGGTAGGTAATATGGGTATGAGTCTCCTGGTGACGACGTGTTGCTCACGGCATTTGCGAAACAATAGTTCCCTTGGTCATCGTGCAAACAACTTGCCTGATACGATGGCTGGTATGCGACGAGGCCGTTGTAAGCTTGTAGTACCAAGGGATTGTCGCTTTCATAGTCAGATTTGCATGCCGTCTCTGACAGTAGATCTATCGCAAAATTGTCCAGGATCGGTTTGCATTGCGCTGCGTCTACTTCGCAGGTCGCATCGAGGGTTTGTGTAATACGGAGCGTAGATTTCGAGGCATCGAAAAAGCCACTTGATGTCTGCAGCCTGTTAGTCGAGACTTTCTTTGAGTCTCTCATTGAACATACCTGTATCAATAAGGAAAATGGGTGGCAGTTGTTGAATTCTGTACTTGAACGCAGGCGATTGAGGAAGTTTGCGCATGAGTTGGTAAAATTATTTGAGAACCCTGTATCGAATGCCTTGGGAACTTCGAATTTGGAGCTATCGGCGGTATTAGAGTCGGTATTGATGGCTCGTTCCGACAGTGGAGCAGAGGGTGTTTGCGTGACATCGTCGTCGCGTTTTAGAGGAGGCATCAACAGCGAGGCGGATGGCGGCGGGCTGAGGTCCAGATACAATGCCGATCCTGTCCAAGCAAGGTCGTCTTCCACGAGCAGGGCCGGTCGATCACCATGTGTTTCCGTTGCGGATACGGGTGCAGCCTGGGAACTGCAGGATAGAAATACGACGAGCAGCAGAAGCAACGCGCGAAATTGGAAGCCGATACGTGGTGACACTCGCAGATATAAGGGGACTCCGCAGCAGCCGTTTTCGTGTTGCCTCTTCCGCGTTGGCAGGGGATTATGGTGCGACAGGATCGCTACCGACTCGCGTACGAAACATTGTGAACCCATATCCAATAAAGGATGCTATAGCCGTTGATGATGCTATTATTAAACGCAGAATCTCTTCAGAGTCCTGAGGCCCATGACCGAACTTTGGTGATGGCCAGGCGGTTTACGGTCGTTGTCGATGACCACTTTGTCCAACTCTCAGGTACTGATGGTACCTTGCAGCGGTTCAACAAGTGTCCGAGGGCTTTTTGCGGGCCGCCAGGGGTAGGGGAACGGTCGTAACTGTGAAAAGGCAAAGAGTGACAACCAGTTGGAGGGACTTGCTTATCAATGTCGATCGCAACCCGAAAGATGGTTTGAACAGCCTTTCGTCGATTTATTTAGCAGCCTCCAGAACATATCAATGCATGGGAACGGCCGGCCCTTATGATGATTGCCATGGAAGCTGCGAATCCTTCAAGCCACCAGCTCATTCCTGGCCTGCTAATAAAGCCACGACGGGCCCCCCGTGCAAGCAAGACTCGTTTCTTCGGCTGACGACTTACAAGCGATTCGGGTAATAGAAGCTTTCGACCAGATCACGGTCTGTAAGTCTAACGGTTCTGATAGGTCGGTGATGCGTTGGTCTGTTCAATGCAATAAAAGTTAACCAGATCGAGCGACGTTCTGGCCAGAAAAACGGGGCACCATTCTCTCTAGGCGGCGCGGTCCCTGACGCCTTCGCCAAAGATTGCCCCTTGCGCGGCAATAAGGCTCGTTCTGTGCAGCTGCTGTGCCGGCAGGTAGCCGCTACAAGGCGTTGCGAGGGGCAGCGTTACAATGGTAACTTTGCAACGATCGCTAGAAGTTGCGTTGCTTCCCAAACGCCTGGGAGGTGATGTAGATGTCGCTTTTGTCTCGCTGAATGTCGACGTTGGATGAAAGACGTGTTGTGGTGTTGGGGACGTAGCCCCCAAGCCCCGGGAACAATCCCGCCATCGCGGCGGTCACCCAACACTCTACACAGTATCGCCAAGCCAATAAGCCACTGCGAGCCACGCCCCTATCGGCTCCGTTCTTCTAGGTCTCTCGTGTCCTTGCCAGCTCTAGAGTGTGAATCGACGCTCACATTGGATTACACACCTCTTCGACGGTCTCATCGCGAACGTTGGCGCGCGCGTGACTTATATTCTGCTCGACCAACTCAGCTCCAGCCAACACGTCAAGCCAAACATACTTCCTGTTCTGCGACTTGAATGGCAGCTGTAGATATCAAGAAAAGGACGTGCGCCGTCTTCTTTCTCAACATCTTCCCGCTGTCGCGTCTTGTGGTGTTGCCAAACTTGCTCAATACCATCTTGTCAGCATACCAACACTAATGGCGATGTTGGCCATCCGCGGCGCGCGTATATGCTATTAAAAACAATCTGTATGCGCCCTCTGGGCGACTCTGCGCCCCTTTCTACCTACCTGATGCGGAGATTCTCTCCGCATGAAGCTACTTTGGAAGCTCCATCTTCCACAAAGGTCAACGGTGACTGCCCAACTGCAGCATTAGTGCTCACGTTCCGGCTCTCCACACCACCAAGGCGTGTGCATCCATCAACGCGCCGTCCATCAACGCGCCGTCCATCAACGCGCCGTCCATCAACACGAAGACATTTCGGCCAATGCGCATCTAGACTTGACTTTCCGGTCTACTACATGCGTGGCCATCGCAGTCGTTATTAGAGATCTTGCCAAAATCCTGGAATTCACATCGACAGGCTGCACTCTCAGATGACCCCATGTTCATGCCATTGAGCCTAAATTACCTCGTTCATAACAAGCCTGGCATATACTGATCTCCCGGCATCCGCAGGCTATGGGCGGGATAGAGGATTGTAAGGGCAGGGTCTGGGCTTACAGAGATGAGGAGAATGATGCTTCAACTTGGAAGAGCTTCCAAGAATTGCTAGCATTACTACGCGGAATTGTCAGCAGGGAGGCTCTACTAAGCTAAACTGGGGTACAGTACTGCCAGCAATGCGTTTTGTATATAGGAAGCTACCCTTGGGCACACTTTTCGCTCGGACCGAAACTTGTAGCGATCTCTAAATCTTTTGACAGGAGTGATGTGTTAGCGTGATATTTGGGTTTTATGATAAGCACATATCTCGAGAGGTAGGCTCTAGGCAATCACTGCTCTTTCAGACGCTTGGTACCTGTATAACTTGGCGGTTCCAAAAAGAAATTATCTGTCAGATGTGTACTTCAGAACTCCATCATACATTGACGTAATTTGGGAACGTTTTAAATCTCGGCCACGGCTATCCCCACATGGTTTGAATTGTGGCGCGCCAGACATCGGTATGTGACTCTGACAAGTTTGTTTGTATATGCGAACCTTGATAGCACACAGTGTAAAATAGACAGATCAGAAAATGTATCATGAGAAGCGATGTAGATGTGTTCTCGATCGGGACCAAAGGAGGTTCGGGCGCCATGGAGCAGATATCTTACGTAGCAAATAGAAAAATCTGTTTGCACCAAAGAACTCAATATGCTGATATCGATGCCTGTAAAGGTTGAGAAGTACCATCTTCGCGACTACCACACTGACCACATTGGGTATCCGGTTTCACGAGAGCATAAATATTAGCTGGAAAATTCCAGACTTTGGCTCCGATAGATAACGGTTTGACTATTAAGGAGACGCACCACGAGTTCGATTCTACACTCCGTACCTGGGGTCTGTGTAGGTTTCAGATCTATTCATCCGAGTTCGTGCGCCACCTTAACACCGGACACTTTACAAGATTGGCAGTCTCGAATTCGATGGGACTTGACTTACAAGAGCTGGAAATGAGTCTGCAAGTATGGTGGAGACACGAGAAGGGAAAGCGAGATCGGCATCTTGTCTAGGGTAAAAGTTGACGGAGCTGGACTTGGAAAAACAAAGATTGGGAAAGATTTGGCATTGTACCTCGATACCTGTCATGAGTGAAAGCCTAGTTCTGGTTGATGAATGTCCGTATAGGTCTCAAATCAATGCAATAGGATTAGTTCGTACATCAAATATACGGGCTGTAGTTGCAGCTGAGTCTGTTGCCATACGACATCAGTAGGAACACTACTCAGACGGTCAGACTGAAGACGCCCAGTGTACACCCGGACTGACGTCTTTGGAACCCAAAAACCACTCGCCGTTATCCACGTGAGGCATTGCAGTGAAGAACGTTATCAGCTGCCATAGGTTGTCCGAGATGATCGCGAGGAATAGCGAAAAACCGAGGTACTGAGACGAAGGCGCGCCACTTGGCCTGACGAGCACGTACCGCAAGATAACCATCTTCGAGAGGTGGAAATCGTCGTCGTTGGATATTTTAGCGCGGCATACGGATGTGATTTGTTGGGTGTGTTGAAGATGGACAAACTGGGGTGGTTCATGTAGATAGTAGGTACTGCGACAGGAAAGGACTTTCGCTGGCACGGACACCACTCTCGCTCCGCATCCGCATCCTTGTGGTCGCGACGTCGAACAACCAGTACCCATGTTACCAGCGGCCCGATAAACCAACAGAAAGCACCGATTCGCTTGCTGCTAAGGCCGTAGGTAGAGACACGCTGACGACTCTCATGCAATGATGATTGCCCCCTCTTTTGGTGGGGTTTAGGCGGTCCGTCAGCACAGTGAACTTCATCTTCGGCCGTGCCACTACTTGTGATACATCGTTCATATTCTCTCTGTCAACACACGCTACCACGGACATGGCGAGTCGATCGATCGTATGTGAATATTCGAACTCAGACCCACGTGGCCCTGGGGCAGTCGACAGCTGATGACTGACGCGTAACACAGTTGCTTATAGCGCTTGCCGTTCTTGCGCCATACGTATACGACCGCTACCTGGCGTTGTCAACGATGTTTGGAAACAGACCTGGGAAATTTGAGGACGTCAACAACTTCAAGAGCCATGAGGTCAAGTTCCGTGATCAGCTCCGCAACTGTGAGGATGTGCTCTTCGAAGAGGGCATGGGCATTGCGTTCCTGAGTTGCAACCCTGGAAGAGATCAGTGGAATACTGTGATGGTGCGAAGCTCCCAATGAGACCTGCTCACAGAATCGAAACTATGTCTGTATTTCACAACCTAACATCTACAGGGCACATTCGCTCCAGCTCTAAGCAAGCGAGACGATGAAGACAGCCCACATATCTGGATCTACGATTATTCAACCCCAAACACTCTAGAATCTGAAGTTCTCAAGCCGCTGGTTCTGACTGATTACAATAATGCAGCAGACTTCCAACCCCTGGGCATCGAGTTCGACGCCGCGACTTCAACACTTTACGTCATTAACCATTCCCGGAATTCCGGAAACATCATCGAAGTATTTCAGGTCTCTATCCAAGACGCAGTAGCGAAATATGTACAAACATTGAAGCATCCGCTGATCTGTACACCCAACTCCATTCATTCTTTGGGAGACGGAAAGCTACTAGTAACCAACGACCACTACGTTGGGTCCCTCATCTCTCCGCTCATTTCGCAAGTCGAGACGTTTGCTGGAATTCCTGGGGGTAGTGTCGTATATATGGACATCCATAACCCCTCGCACACAAAGACGTTGGTCCGTGTACCTTTCGCCAATGGTATTGCTATGCTCAACTCGACGACCGTAGCTGTTGCCTCATCAGCGAAAATGGGAGTGAACTTCTACACTTTCAGTCCCGACACGATCAAGTTGCATTTCCGAAAGTTCATTCGCGCTCCATCGAGCGTCGACAACCTTTCTGTCGACGCTTCTGGCAAGCTTCTTATGGCCGGCCATCCCTTTGCGCCAGGACTTATGAAAGTAAGCAAAGCTAGGGCGAACTGCAATATGCAGGGATCAGAAGATGAGAAGCAGGCTTGCGAATGTACGGCGGCTAGCTTTGTGGCTGAGTGGAGCGAAACCGGAGGACTAAAGACATTGTATAAGAACAACGGACAGGAATTCTGCAGCAGTAGTACTTTTGCTCGGGATGTGGGAAGAGGCGTAGGTATCATCACAGGCTTGTACGATAGAGGCGTCTTGGTGTCAAAGGACGATCCAACCACTGTGCAGTGAGACCCAGAGATGGCTAGAGGTAGTAGATCTGTTAACGCGACGTCAAAATCTATCTAAAGAGTTACTGTATAGGCAACAAATAAACCAACCGACGGTAAAAGCTCTGATATAAGGCTTATCTAAACCAATGTGCTTTTGTCGCTCACTGCAGCTCCCTGAGCATTCTGCTCACATTGTTCTTCTTGTTTGGCTTCTGGTCCTCTGTCTTGTGCGCTATCCCAGTAGTTTCATCCTCTCTAGTAGTCTCATATTTCCTTTTGTGGTTGACTTTCAGCTTTACCACCAAACTCAGCCGCTTGCAGCTCTCATCTTGCTCGCTAGTCCATGGAACATACGTCCATCGCCTCGCCGAACCCTGCTGCTTTAGGGAATCGGTAACAACGTCATATCCCGAATCACCCCCATTCTCCGTCTTGCCGTCGGAAAGCGTCCATTTGATACGATGCTTGTGCATCTCATCTTTGCGCTCCACTATTAGCGCACCATCAGAATGTACAACGACAACTTGGACATCCTCTGGAAATCCCGCGTCATGATTGATAGAACGGAACTTGGACGGTAGATGGGTTGTGTATGTTGAAAGGTCAAGGATGTAGTGCCCACAACCTCTAGGTTGTGGTTCCGGATAGAGTGGATATGACGGTGGAGCTACGCTTTGTTAGTTGTGCTTTCGTACCGCCTGATCGTGATCATCTTACCACAAAGCGCTCCCTTTTCAGTACGCGGTAGTCCAAGGCGCATGAGGCCAACCTGATATTCTGACAAGAGGTCTGGTGGCACTCCATACAACTCGCAATATCGATCCCAATGATCCCAGGTTTTGATGTAGATTGGTGGTCGATCACTTTGTTGTCTCATGCGTCGAGTATAGTAGTCTTTGCTTTGTGGCACACTATTCGGAAGCTTTTCGGTCACTACGTTTGGCGGATTGTGAAGTGTCCAGATTGAGTTGTTGAAAGGAGCTTGCTTGAACCACGAGGGGCGCCAATGCAGTGTCGAGTTGTCATTCAAGCTTGTAAGAACCAATAGGTCTTGCTGATGACGTTTGAGTAACAAATCGGCCTCTACCTCATCTTGCGTGGGATTCTCGGATGCCTTGCATCTCCATGTCTTAGGTGTTGGAGTCAGTGATACAGATGGTAAGCTAGTGGGAGTTGCGAGATCGTCTGTGGTAATGATAGGCGAGTATCTCAACATTTGTGTTTCTGGGGTGTTCGGACCCGAATGTGGTGGTGTGTCGCGATTCTGCATGTTCACAGAATTTCTATCCAACATCGAGGCATGAGACTGTCGTGGCAAGACTATCGGGTTCTTTACACCAATTAATAGCCGAATCGTGAGCAGTGTCGGTGAGTGATGAGTTCCCTAGTGCGCATCCACCTCCATTGCTGTTTGTTTGGATCTAAGCGTCACAAACCCGGGCACTCGCATGTTGTGATCACCCAACAAAGAGATTCAAGCGCTAGTGTATCATATCTAGTGCCGAAGGGGCGCTTGGGCGGGTTCAGATGATCCATAGAGAAAGGAAATGCACAGTCGACAAACATTCCTATACCGACCGGCTCTCATGCTATGGTTATGAGATCTTCAGCTTCGAAGCATCATCAGTGGTAACTCTCACTTACTCAAGCCCTGCACAGCCTTCCATTTTGGGTTTGAACACCCTGCTCTCCGTCTTGAACTACCCATCGCTCACTTCCAACAGCAGTGGTCGCATAGAAAACATCGGTAGGGTCCCATTTCCTCTTTATCTGACTCAGCTTCGGGTAGTAACCTCCATAGAACGACTCTTGCCAGTCGGGCTCTTCGACGCTGGCTTCGTTGAGATATGTGCCACCACCCTCGGACACAGGTGAGATGTCACGCCAGGGCTGGAGGATATTTTCCTGTAGATCTTTGTTCGCAAGTTTGAGTGCCTCAGGTGTGGAGTGATCCATCGACTTGTTCGATGAGGTAACCATGAACATGCCACATTCGCGCCATGCTGGGCTAATGGCGTTGTTGGTATTTGCGTACTTAACGGGAGTCTTGTGGTAGCCAAGGAGATGTTTACCAGCGGAGACATGTTCCTTGATCAGTGCATAAGTTTCATTGAACTTTTCCTGGAAGTTGCGTCGAGGGACGATGCGATTTGCCGGAAGCGAGTTGTCCAGACCAATAGGGAAGTTGTTAGAGCCCCAAGCTGCCTGGTAGGCTGAGTAGAAGTTGTTGTGTGCCACGCTTGTATGAGGCTTCGTAAGCGTGATGTTGTTCGTGTCAAGGTAGTCGAAAAATGGATTTACGACCTTATCGTATGATTCCGCAGTATGATTTGCTGCGAAAAGGTACGCCATGCTGAGGAATGGTTGAGGTTGGTTGCCCATAATGAAAAAGCTGTATATGCCTGACTCTGCCCAGTCAAGGAAAACTTCATAGAACTTCTTAGTACCCTTCCAGAAGTCTTCAAGGCTATTGTTCGAAGCATCGAGATACCAGCCTGCAGTAACGACGTTTATCTTGGGGTGCACGCGAACGATGACCGATACGACGACGGCGAAAGTACCGCCACCGCCACCTCGAAGCGCCCAGAACAAGTCAGGGTTCGAAGCTTCGGAAACAGTGATGAAGCGACCATCAGCTGTTACCACTTGAAATGCGACAACATGGTCGGCTGACATTCCGTAGACACCGGCAAGAGGGTTCTGTCCGCCACCAGTGATCATACCACCAGCCCACCCAACGCTCTGGTTTATGTCAGTCATCTTAATTAACCATGATAGCCTCAGCATTGCTTACCCATGAAACGGCACCGAGAACAGTAACATCGTATTTGTCCGCAGCTTCATAGATCTGCCTGACGGTAACTCCAGCAGCAACCTTGAAAGCCGGCCCTGAATAGCCTGGGCCTTTGTAGTTGGGAAGATAGTCGATTTGGTCCATGTTGTGCATCCATAAACTTAATGCTCCGGCACCAGTGGACTTTCCCAGATAGCAATGACCAGTGTTCTTGATAACTAGACGAAGGTTGGTCGCTCTTGCGAAATTGATGGCAAGCTGAATCTGCGCCACGTTGGTGACTTTGATTGCGTACTCAGGATATCCGCCCAGTGTGCACGATTTGCCGTCAGTGTCATTCTTAGGCATACATGTCCTACCCTGAAAGATGGGCCACATATCTAGATAGATAGTGTTACTAGACAACTTATGTGAGCTTTGTAGAAGGGAACTACTCACTTGATGTAGGATCTGCATGATGGAACAACGGATCCGTGAATTTATTGGTAACTTCTGTACACTTTGCACCGTCTTTCTTTCCCCATTTCGAATCGTAGCATGAGGCAGCAATAGGCTTGGTTGGGATGAGTGATCCCCCTAAAAGGACGTTGAAGATGTTCCAGACATTTTCCTTGGGCCACTCCGAGTCTCCAGGAAATGTCTTACAAGATGCTGAAGCTGTGCGTCGTACACGCGCATCACTAGCAGCCGTGCTGTCGTCGAACGCGAAGTATTCCGCATATTCGGAAACACCCTGCTCGGTGACGAGCCGCTCAATGACAGCATCTGTCAACTGTAGATTCTCTGCTTCTTGAAGAGGTGCGCCTGCTACCGGAGTGGCTGGGACGAAAGTAGCTGCAGGTTCGACATTAGGAAATGAGGAGGATTGGCCAAGGACAGCCACCGGAGAAACAACCAACAAGAAGCACGTGGCTAGCCGCTGCATGGGTGCCATAGTGAGGCCAAGACGTGAAGAAGAAGGCGAGGCAGAGGAAAAGCATCGAGGGGAGCCTTATCGATTTATTTCGTTCCTTTAGCCGTTCGGTAAACACATTTTGAGGATCTCTCGTAAGCTTCATGTGCGTGATCCACGTACAAGCGCTCTAGATGTTGCCACGGACTGCGATTCGGCATTGGGTGTAGAGTGGGGATTGGTAGCGAAGGGATGTAGATGGACTTACGCAGGGACTACATACAGGAGCCGGGCCCAATATATCCGTGGACAGATCGTCTCCTTACCTTCGAATCTATCATGGCTCGGTTTCACTGCGGGCTCGCGGCAGTTGCAAGCCAATCGAAACTTTCAAACCCTGTAACAGCAGGAAGAAGCAGCTCAATCTCTGCATGTTCTTGTAGGATGCTACTTATGCTAAATCTACGTGTCGGACATGCAGACCAAAGGGGCAAGTTCATCTGTTTAGAGGCATTAGTAGCTTGGCGTTTGAACGATGGAAGAGCATCAGGCTCGTTCAGCTGCAGGATTGCGGCAAAGTCCCCATTCACGGTTTTCTTCCCGCCGCCACTCAGGCCCAAAACTCTGATTTGCCAAGGCCTACCTGAGTACATGAGGAACACGTTTCTTAGTATTGTCATCTCAACCGCTGGCGGTCCGCGTCGAACACATATAGAGCGAGAAAGATATTACATAGTCAGTCGTGGCTTGATGTTGGAAGGAGGCGACTAGAGACAGAGCCTAGCGTGCGGAACGGTTCAGGCTCGGTCCACAAGCCGCCCGCACTTTCAAGCTGCTAGCGCCAGAAGCTTGGCAATAGACCCTCTCTGCTCTATTGCACAAATCAACCAGCTCGAGTCTCGTCCCATCCTACATGCAGACACATACGGCATTCCTATTGTAAGGCCGGTGGCGATGATGCAGACAGCGAGAAACGATGCATCGATGTTCAAGCACGTAAAGACGAAAAGAAAATCAGGGCGACGACAGTCGTAGAATGGAGAAGCACGCCACTGTGCAACAGTATCTAGAGTCTGTTAGGTTTGGGAGCGAACTTACATCGCACTTCACATCCTCTTCGCCTGACTGAAGATTGCAGCTGAAGTCCCGTAATTGAAGTGGATGTGTAGATTCTAGTGGTGGAAGTGAAGGCGAAACTGGAGATGAATGGTATTGACACTGAACAATAGCACCCAAACCTAAATATGCTACTGTGCAGAACTGAACAACGGAGCAGCTATATAGAGATAGAAAGCAATGGATGGTAAACTCGGATTTGATGACGTGACAAACCGGGGGATAAACAGTACTGACAAGAATCACATCAGGTCGAATATGCCATGGCAGCCAGGCTGAACAAGCTTGCAGTTTCTAGTAGTATTCTCTCTACCTAACTGGTGCTCTGTATGTACATGGAAACTACTACCCCAGATTTGTGGGATGTATTTCACTTCGTTTAGTACGTCATGCTCGCATATCTTCGTTATACGGGTCAGTCCAAACCCTCTACAACTCCTCCTTGTCGACACCCTCGATGGAGACCAACTCAGACTCAAAGACTGCTTTGTGTTAGACCATCTGTCCGTCGTGTGTCCCAGGATTCCGACTTACTCAAAACGCTGTTGGCGGGGATGGGGCCAGCACCTCGCGAGCCATAGGCCCACTCGGGCTGGATTGTGAGCTTCCTCTTCTCGCCAGGGCACATGTCAAGCAGACCCTGGTCCCAGCCCTTGATGACCTGACCGGTACCGACAGCAAAGTTCAAGGGGGAACCGCGGTTGTATGAGGCGTCGAACTCGCTGCCGTCTAGGAGTGTGCCGCGGTAGTGGACGTTGACCTTGTCGCCGACCTTGGTCTTGCGCGTGCACTTGGCTTCGGTAAGGACCTCGGTCTTGAGGTGCTGTAGAACATGTCAGTACGTTGCGCATGCTGTACAGCTTCCTTGGGTTACTACTTGCCTCGTTGTTGACGATGTCGGCGACGGCGGCCGTAGCCAGAGCAGCGAGGAAGACGGTAATCTTCATCTTGACTTGTGAGTAGGAGTGTAGTTTGATTTCGAGTGTTTATGGATGTCTACAGGGCAAGGCGACGTTGCAATGGCGGTAAGACGAAGCCGAGGGTCCTTGTGGGGATGAATGCCAAGCGGCGATGTGGCCCCAAGTTATGCAGGGACCTTGCCGACGTCATTGGACGCCGCGGAGGATAGTTTTCCAATCGCAACTTCACAATGACCTACCAGCCATTGTCAAATCCATCATGTCTATTTTCACCTAGCTGGTTATAGCCTTTCGTGTCCAACATGTTTCCATCTGTCATGACTTGCAAGTTAGCAGATTAGATGACGAGTTGCAGGCTATTACCAGACTCACGACGACACATTGGGAAGCGTGGTGAGTCTTCGAGGCAGTGTTGGCGACATCTCGCAGTATCCAACGTACACAAAGCCAATTGCATCATCCATGTTAAGCTTCCAGTAATAAGAAAAAGATATTGTGAGTAATTATACAACTGACTCGTCCTCCATAGCTGCCTCATACAAGAGTAAGCCATGATCCCGGCAGCACTTCACTCACTTTACAACCAATTGCTCAAGCCACCAAAGAACCTTCTTCGTATTAAAGACGAATGAATATAAAGATAACCAACAAAGCCACCAGGAGTGGTCCCAGGGCAGTCTAACGCCGTCCCGTCTCCAAATGATACATGAATCGAAGAGTTTATAATCGTACACCCATCCCGTCGTATGTGACCCCTCCTCTTTCGCCGTATTGCTCCCATAAGCAAAAACCAATCAATAGTACACGCCCTTCTTCAAACCGATCATGCCCTGCTCCCTCCCCTCCGTCTTCACCTTCTTTAACCCAAAGTCCCCAACTTCTAAACCAGCAGCCTGGACGTCTGCATTTGTGAGCGTCCCGGTCTGACCTGCGGTCTTCCCACCCTTGCCATCATTGCTCGTCTGCCTGGAGCACTGGAAGCTTCCAATTTCCGGCATATTAATAGCAATACCAGGAAAGGTCACCTGTTTGAGCGACTCTCCTGTGCACACAGCCGTCTTAAAGAGCGAGCATACAGTGCCTTGATCTGGACCGATTGATGCGATACCTCCGGGACTACCTTGGATGTGACATTCCGTATTGGGTTGCGTCCAGCTGCAGTCGCCAGCGAAATTGGGTTTTGTGCATGTATAGTAGGCACCAGGGAGCCCCCGCCGGGAAAGGTGACGTGTTATGGGCGAGGCTGAGGTGGTGGTTGTGGTCGTGATGGTGAGCAAGAGAGCTATGAGTGCAATGGCTGTGTACATCGCTGGTTTTGTTTTTGGGATGTATGGGACGATGATTAAGAATTACTGGGTGGGTTTCTACGCCGTGCGTATAACGTAGTGTGCGTATGGGTATAGTTCGTTCTTTGAAGGACCACCGGGGTAGATGTTTCAGATACCCTTATGACAGTCGGTAGGTGTCTTTATGACGAGATCTTGGATTCTTGTAAGCCATCGGGTATGGTGAGGTCCTTGCGCATGTCGTACACAAAGGACTGGGTGGTTACGAGAGCTCATACCTTAGAGTAAACTAGCAGGGCGACGGTGCATCAAGCACAAAGACTGCACTTAGTCTCTTTGTCGCGAACGATAAACATCCACAAGGAGATGTGGAAACTGGTCGGCGTGGCTCCATGGCGAGTGACTACGCCACGAATGCTCTTCAATGGGCCATGCGGAGACAAAGAACTCGTATCGGATATAAAAAAGTGAAAAAATGCCAAAATATCCAGATACTAGGGATGTGAGAAGGTAATATGTGCCACGGTTGCTGCCGGGTGCAGCCCGCAACGATGGCGCGACATGGGCGGGCTGTTGCTGTGAAACGTCACTCCGGCGGGGCTAATGATGAGATGCGGCACTCTGGGACCAAAAGGGTCGCAGTCCTCGCAAGCCCATGTCCCAAATCATCTTACAGCCGTGAGCTTGCTGGGTCGGGGAACTGCGTTCGCCTGGTCAGTGTCATTAATGTGTTGCCGCCAAGCTGTCGCCGATGCCGCCATCACCCACTTGAGTTGACAGGTATGACCAGGGGCGGTCGATTATGATCGTCAGGTACAAAACCGTGAGGCTGCTGCGGAGTGCTACTATTGGTGGATAGCGAATTGATATATTGACTGGTCGTATCTACCAAGATTGCTGCTCTTTGCTCTGGTTCTCAAAGTTGGTCGTCTAGAAGGCAAGGTTGAGCGTGTACGTTGGAAGCACGATGACGCGCCTGCACCTGCCATCCTCTACGCGTCGACGCGCCTACCAGACCCACACTCCTGGCTCCGAACACCAAAAGCAAAACGTCCAATATAACTTCCATTCCTCGCGTTGCAAATGGCTTCATCTAAGGAGAATACACGTAGTCATCATGAACAGACGCGGTCGTAATTTGCTTGCTTGTTCTCCTGTCACTCTAGGCACGGCAGCGGAAGGTCATCCTCGTTTAACTTTAACAGGCCATCACATCTCCTTTCCTCTTATCAAACCCGACACGGTCCCCAAGTGCCAACATTTACTTGATAAGCATTCCGTTCGAGAACGCGGCACTTCTCATGCATAAAGATACACGTTCCACGATGAGTTGCGTCTTCCGAAACCGCGAAACCCCATGCGTTTTGTAGCTAGGGTCCCATCTGTGGGGTTCACCCGCACGTCAAACGAGTTTTGTAGTTGGCTTGCGCGGAAGAGCAGGGCCCGGCTGTAGTTCTCCCTATTGCGCATATTGGACGTCAGGTGGATCCATAGTTCCATGTGCGAGTGCGTACTGCAACCTGGAGGTATACAACCTCTTCTGCAGATGCCCGTGTTGAGGTGAAACGGTGGCGAGTACCTCCCAGGTGTAAATCGTATTTTATTGTAGGTGAGAACGCTCTCTCCATATGCTGCAGGAGATTTCAATACTTGCACTGATCGTATTCATCTATATTGGTACAGGAGTTTTCCGGCTATCATGGTACCCGCTTTCCGAACCCGCGTGCAGGTCGGTATACGCGACCCGGCTGTTCATTGACGTCTAGCCCTCTTGCGCGACCAATTCTCACTACCTTCTTGAGATGACGGACCAGGGTCCGATTGAACAGACTCGGGGAATCCTCGACCACCAGCTGTGAACCGGAAAGCTGGTACTGGAGGTACCCTCTGCCTCAACCTTGCGTTCTCGCCTGCGATGTCCTTGATTTGCTGAAGCAATTCTTCGTTCGTCTGCTTCATCCTCTCCATTTCCTGCATCTTGTGCTTGGGGTTCTCTTGCACACGGAGAAAGGCGTTTGCGTCAGCTAATCGCTCGATCTTCTGATGTAGGATAAGGACTTGGTCTGCGTGCGAGGCCTGCATCTTGGAGACTTTGGTCTCGTTCTCAGACTTGAGCGTAGCGATCTCGTTGGTCAGACAGTCGACTTTGTCTTGGAGGTGTGGCGATGGTGACTTGACAGTTCGGGGCTGGGCGGGCTCTGTGGTTGGCTTTCGGTCTTGTTCCGTTGGTGTAGACAGCTTTGCGACCTGTTTAACAAGAAGATTCTCATACGCCCGCTTTTGTTCCTTCAATTCCTGTTGGTGATCCTGCTGCATCTGAAGCATCTTTGCTCTAACCTGCCTTCTGAATGTGTCCATCTCTTTCTTGTGCTTGTCTTCAACAACCCGATCGTAGTCCAACTGGTTCTGGACATCCTGGATCCGTTTGTGCTCGGCTGCCTCAGTCGCGAAGATTACTCTGGTCAAGATGCTATGCCATCCCCTTATGATATGTGCCAACTCGGGACCAGCTGTGGCCAACTTCTCAGGATCGACCTCTTCTACAGCTTTCGCGCTGTCCGGCATGATATCGAGCAGAGAATAGAGTGCTGTATGTGGTGCGGTCGAACTGGACGTAGAACCATTACCGATATACTTGTATGAGTGACCTTGAGCCGCATGATTTATCGTTTTCTCATTTGAAAACAGCGACATGACCTTGGCTTCTACAATGTCGTCTTCCTCATTGTTGATGGAACTGTGAGTCCCTGAGCTATCTGGTGCGTCTGACTTCTCCTTGCCCTTTCCAGGTCGTACAGAAGGCTTCTTCAACATTCCTTGTCTGCTCTGCGATCCATTGGCATGTGGACGCTTCACCGCTTTTATGGTAGCTCGCGCCGCCGCCCTGAACTTAGCGCCGTCGCTGTGGGTTCCACGAGTGCCGCGACTGATTCGATCGAAGGCCGCCTCGCCCCTGGCTTCGTTGTCGACGTCTTGAATAGTTGCACCCAGTTGGTGTGGGGTGCGAGCAGAATTAGAGTGACGGCTGTATGTTACAGGTGGCCGGGGTCTGAAGATCGGTATACAATGTCAGTGTACGTCTCACACGGTTCATAGAGGGATGCTTACGGTACACCAGAGGGGCCGGCTGGCAGTTGTGGATACATTGTTCGATATGGTAGTGTCGGATTGGTATTAGATTGAAAAACAGCTTTTGTAATCGAGGTGGAAGTCGATTGTGGAAGTTGATAGGTTGAGTGCAAGTTCAGCGTGAGAAGTGGTCGTAGGAAACCGTACGTAAGTAGAAAGCGATCAAAGGCGCCGGCGAGTGAGAGAAACAACTACTATCCACAATAGGAATATTGGATGACAATATGACGCGATTCGCAGACGACGTGAGACTACAATAGCCTCCATGAGCAGGTGACCAGAAGTGAAAGTGAAGGTGAAAACCTGTACTACTGACGTTCAATGACACTTGCCATTGCGCCTAATCATACCATCTGCCCTCGATAGGGCCTCTCTATTGCTTATCATACATGCGCAAGTCTTGATCGTAGATGCTGCACTTCTTCTTTGATATAGTCCCGGATCTGTCGAGGATCTTGCCACAAACACTTTACAGTAGTATGTATCCTAGTTCTTCTCATTCTGAGCTGCGCGTGGGTACTGGTAGTGTCTTGGGAGAATGATGGGTCGTCGGCTCGCGCTGTTGAAAGCTTGTGTGGCGATGGGCGAGCTGTCTGTCCTAATGGTGGTACCGATGGCCATGAAGAAGCTGGGTTGTATATAAGCATGTTGCAGTGGGACTGTCGGAGCATAATCATGCATACCCAAAGGTCGCTGCCGATCCCATCATGTACTGGCCCAGTGTGCGCAGCATTCCGTTAGGTCCAGGGCCAAAGCGGACGATGTTGGTGAATCCTACCAGAGTCAGAAGGGAGCATTTCCCGAGAATGCTTGGGATGGCGCGCACCGAAGATGAAGCCGATGATCAATCCGACAGCTGTCAAAAAGTCAGCTCATGCAATCCCCAGGCTGCCATGAAGCGTACATCCACCCATCATGCCACCCATCTTCACTATGCGCTGTTAGCTATTGCCAGGCGCATGCAGATACAAAGCCCTACGCTTGTCTAGTGTTGAAGGGCCGTGTGCCCCTTGGGGCATTGAACCGACTGGTACCGGCATCGTGAAGCTCTGCAAACGTCGAGGTGGTGAAGGAACTCAAGAGGGGAACTTTGATTGTCCCACTTGAAGCTGCAGTCTCGCCGCGGCTCAGTCAACGCCAAGGAAAGAAGACGGAAATCCGGGGAAAACACCACCATGGATGCACGAGGCAGCTAACACTGGGCATTATCAACATGGCGTCAGCGCGTCCAGCGCAGCTGTACGCAAAATAATAGAGTCAGTCCCGAATCGCATTTCTTTGTGGTTGCTACTAACTCTTCCAACGTGATGTAGCGGCGCTTGCCGATTGCGCACGTGACTCTCTCTCAGACAGCTGGCTGGCCCTTTCACTGGCCGGCTGCAGGTGCGGCGGCGTAGGAATGAAGCGAAATAGTGCACCTGGTCCAGAGCAACAACGATAGTTGTCTCGTCTCGCAGTGGTTTTTTTGATCCGTGCAGCCCCCCTTCTCCACGTCGCCATTACGCCTGAGCCCAGGAGCCGTCGTCTCGCCCACCTGGCCAGTAAGCGTTGCAGCGTGCCCAAGGCCGGAACAAGACCTCCTGCTCGTCGAAACACGCTGGAGGCTCCATCCATACCGCCCACCCCAACCCATCGAGCAGCCTGCCTGGTGGCCTCGACTGACCTTCACGCACTTGCTAGACCGTGCTGCTGTGCTTTGCGCCCGTCTGCAGCGCCTTGCATCGCCCTAACGTCCCACGGGCTCTCTACCGACAGCACACGACCGAGACGACGACGGCGGCGGCGGCAGAGCCACCAGATTCCCGCCCACGACGCATTTCCAAGACCCGCCTCCTCGCGACGCATGAGTGCATGACCGGCCTCGCCATCTCTCCTGCTGTTGTTGTCGCTTGCTCTCGGCGTCGTCACGCTGGTGTCGCGCCGCTAAAAACGGACAAGACGGGAATCGTGCAGGAAAAGTGATCGGACACTAAACACGCCCACCTCCTTCCCAGCACACGACCTCGCCAATGACGGCAGTTGCGCCCCCCGTCAACTATCAGAACATCAACCGGCAGGCATGGAGCGCTGAGGGCGTGTCCAACGGAGGTGGCATGTTTATGCCTCGGAAGGGCGCTCAACGTTCCAACTCATCGTCAAGCCTCTCGTCACAGGCGTCTGGCACATCGACCATATCCGCCTCATCATCTGCATCACAGCCAAACGGCACCCCGCAACAGAACGGCACCGACTGGGCTGCCACCCGCAAACCGAAAGCACCCAAGGGACTATGGCCTGCGACCAAGACTGAGCCCATCGCCGGAATCACTGCTGCACGACCCCAACCCATCGCGTCGGCAGGCCCAGCGTCATCAGCCGCCTCGGCCATGAGTGCCCTGCAAGCACCTTCCGCCATGGTTCCCTCCCAGCACAATGGCCAAGTACAGGCCCAGCAACAGCCCAACGGGGCCCAGCGCGCACAGGGCCAGGACAGCACCGCTGTACTGCATCTCGTCCCCATGAATGGCACCTTTGAGCGCAAGACCATCACCGTACCTTTCTTCCCCGACGTTCTGCGCATTGGCCGGCAAACCAATAACAAGACGATCCCCACGCCACTCAACGGATACTTCGACTCAAAGGTACTGTCAAGGCAGCACGCCGAGGTGTGGGCCGACCGCCAGGGCAAGATATGGATCCGAGACGTCAAGTCGTCCAATGGCACTTTCGTCAACGGCTCCCGCTTGTCACAAGAGAACCGAGATTCTGACCCCCACGAGCTGCGAGAACAGGACATGTTGGAACTCGGTATTGACATCGTCAGCGAAGACCAGAAGACTATTGTCCACCACAAGGTCGCTGCGCGCGTTGAGCACGCTGGCATCTACGCGCGAACCAGTAGCGAGATGATCGACCTCAACTTCGGCGAACTCGAGGGGCCACAACTCTCCAATATCATGGGCGGCAACCCCCAACAGCAAATGGCAAACATGCGTGGTCGCACACCCAGCCAAGGCTCTATGAACGGTCAGCGACTCCAGGGCCCGGGCGCTATGGCAAATTACCCAAACGCTCTACAGCAACCCCGACACCCTAACTTCTGGCTACAACCCATCACCATGGAGCAGGTAGTCAAGAAGCTCAACGTAAGTCTGGCGCGTCTGCTCAAATTAACCCCCTGCTAATTGTAGTAGACCGAGATCAAGGCCGCAAAGCAACAGTCACAGGACCTTCAACAGACCCACCAGTACATCAACGCTATCCTCTCTACAGACACCAAGAAAGAACCTGTCAAGGCTTCTCCGATCAACCAGGTCAGGATATCTCCAATCAAAGACGGTAGCATCAAAGCGCGATTCTCAGACCCACCTGCGCCGCCTCCACAACAGCCTCTACCTGAAAAACCCGATGTCGCATCGTCTCTCAGAAGATCCGATACCGAACGTCCAAAGACTGCGTCCCCAGTCCGCTCTGATGCACAGTTGTCCACACTTACAGAGGCCCTGACCAGTGCGAAAAAAGAGATTGAAACACAGGGAATGCGGCTACGAGACTTGGAAACCTTGTTGAACGAAGAGCGTCGCGCAAGAGAAGATGCTGAAGAGCGAGCGGCCCGACTCGAACGCGAAACAAACAAGGACCATGGAGATGCTGAAACTGTGGTTGGTGACGATGAGACACACGAGCCTGAAGCAGCTGACACACAGCGCGAAGAGCTCACTGGATCTGAGAACGGGTCCGCATCTCCCACCAGTGCCGAGGACACCACCACTCGCTTGCAGCAACGTTTGGAGGTTATGATGTCCGAGATGAACGAAATGAAGCAGCAGATGGAGCGGTATAGGGAAAGAGCCGAGACTGCTGAAGCCGATCGTAAGACTCTGGCAGAGATGATTGAGAACATCAGAGAAGACAATGCAAAGACCGCTAGCAAAGAAAGCCAACGGCGAAGCAGGAGCAACAGCGCGTCAACAAAGACTACCACCAAAACCCTCGTTGAAGGGTCAGACGGCGAAGCTGAGGAAGGCGAAATCATGATCATCAAGGAGAAGGACCTTGACGAGGACGGCCCAGAAGTGTCCATTCCCACCAAAAACGAGCAGAACGGTCATGCTGTTGGGCTGAACGGCTCGAAGACCACGGGGAAATCTAATTCCTTGGTCGCCCATCGCCCAGATCGAGACTCCATGTACTATGGCGGTCCGGTCGGAGCCATGGTTACAGTCGTTGCAATAGGTGTCGCAGTCATGGCCATGCTCAACCAATATCCCAAGGCTGAGCGTTGAAGAGGTACATAATAGTCTTCTATCACTACGTCAAGAGAAACTGGCCTCGTGAGGGCAACATCACAGGGTCGAGCCCTTGAGGAGCGTATCGTACGTCAAGGTTCGAGATATCGTTCTTACAAGGCTGTGCTCTCTCTTAAGCCGACATACTACGCTACGCCACGATACCCGCTTCTGGACTGCTTGCGACAACATCACTTGGATGTCCGGGACCCAGTGTTGTATGATAGCAATGCCGCCCACGGGAACATTGTAGTTGCGATGGTTCAAGACAGAACTGTCTATCAAAATTGACTACGCCATCACTATAGTCCATTGTGGGACATCGGGAAGCCGAGAGGTACCACCGTATCAGAACACCACAACATCTTTCTTTTCCATTCCAGCGCAATTTAATGGGAGGTGCATCGGCTTGTTTTCTTATCGGCGCTCAGGAGGGTGTCATCTCTGGCCTTGCAGGCGTACTTTCGTTGGGAACTTTCGGAAGCATTGCAGGACTCTCTAGTCCAAATAGTCATTCACTGCGGTCAGCGAACGATGAGCATTTTCCTTTGTAGCAAACACGACTAGCTTTTCCTTTTTCCTTTTTCCTATTGGGACTTTGGGAGTTGGATGATACGCATGAACAGGCACATAGTGTGGGAGCAAGTGAGCAAGCAGGAAGAACCTTTTCACACACTTCAATGATATATACTTGATTCCTTCTCATTATGCTTTGACTTGGAATATGAACTCGTGGCTGTGATCGATGTTTCATTGTTTCGAATGTTAGGTGCTCTCGTTCGCTACTATGTAGCTGAGGTGTGTGTGTGTGTGTGTGTGTGTGTGTGTGTGTGTGTGTGTGTGTGTGTGTGTGTGGGTATCTACATGTTTGACTTTCCGCCGTCCTACTCTTATCCTCGCCTTTATTCATAACTTCACTTCAGTCCAATACTAACAGTGACGGAACTTAATGTGCGTATCCTTGTCTCCGGTACATCATCTGCTTCTGCCTCCTCCCCAGGCTCCCCTGATACCTCTCCTGTTGCATCCCGACTTTCAACCTCAATATCATCAATTGCACTTACGTTGCCCAACTCAATCTTGACCCAGCAATCCTCTTCGGACTGGAAACGTAATCCCAGTTCCAAAGCTCTTGGAATCGCTCGTCCTGTTGCTTTGAGATAGATTTGTTCCCGTCCTTTGTCTTTGCCTTGCCCCACAATCCCTCGTTTACCCACATTATTACTGCTACCTGTCCGGCCCATCTCTCCTACTATTTCTGCTTCTACATCTCGCGCTTCCAATCGTCCGTTTGCTTCGGCATATCGTCCGCCTCTTCCTCTTGCTTTGTTCAGGGAATTTGCGGATTGCTTCTCGCGCTTTACCACCTCATTCAGCAGCTTGCGCACGCGCTTTACGGTAGGTATGTAGGGCGTCGTGGCAGTTATGTAGAGCGTTTTCGCAGAGCCCGACGAAGAGAAAGGCGAAGAGAGTGGAGCGTGGAGAAGTGGGCGAGTGACAATCTTTGTGTCTGAGAAACATTAGACTGGGTCAGGATATCCGCGCAGTGATGGGTATACGCACTTTTGGGAAGTTTGGGGAGTTTTTGGCAAAGTTTGGCATTCGTGGTACGTGGTTTGGTGGGGTTCTTCGTGGAAGGATTCGGTTTTGAGGTCTTCTCTTGCTTCTCCAATGTGCTGATCGACGAAGTGGTCTCGCAGGATGGTGGTTGCGGTTGCCCGCATGGAGGTGTTGCGTCTGTCATGGCTACGTCTTCCGGCTCTTGGGGTTTGTTCTGGGGCTTGGCTAGCCCATTTATTGATCGCTTGACTCCCGCCATGTTAACGTACTGGTGGAGAACAGATTCCGTAGTTGCGTGTGACGGCCTGAGGGTTTTGGCAGTCGCAAAAGTCGAGTCGCGTCGCGTCACAAAAACTTATCGATAAGTTGGCTGCAGGGATACCCGCAGCTCGGTAGCTCCTGCCTGCTCCTCCAAGTCCTCAGATCCTCGAAGACCGTTAGGAACAACACCCAATCAACAGTAATGGCCAGCTCTATCCGCCAACGACTCCAACACATCCACCTTCCAGGCCCCGTTCCTTACGCGACAGCAGCCCGCCTTCAGGAACTCCTTGTCTCGCGCTTCCTCGCCTCGAAACCGCCATCCAATGTTCCCCCACCAGCACCTCACATCATAACTGCCGAATTCACCCCTGTCTACACTTGCGGTCGGCGAGAGATCGGTACCGTTTCACCAGAGCAACAAGCCTACCTCCGCAAACCCAACGACACAAACATTCGCGCAGACTTTGTCGAAGCTCTCCGTGGCGGCCAAACCACCTTCCATGGCCCAGGCCAACTAGTTGCCTATCCCATCATCGACCTACGTACGCATAAGCTTACGCCTCGACACTATGTCTGTCTGTTAGAGAAAAGCCTGATAGCCACGTGCGCGAAATACGGAATCAAAGCCATGACTACAGAGAACACGGGTGTCTGGACGACTCCAGATGACAAGATTGCGGCGATTGGAGTTCATATGAGACGCAACATCACGAGTCATGGAGTTGGGCTGAATCTCAATACAGATTTGTGGTGGTTTGACAGGATCGTTGCGTGTGGGTTGGAAGGGAAGAGGACGACTAGTTTTGCCAAGGAGGGGATGGTGGGAAAGAGTGTTGAAGAGGTTGGTAGAGGCTACGTGGAAGAGGTGGGAGAGAGGTTGCTAGGCGTAGAGGGTGTGGAGAGAGTTGAAAAAGCAACGGTTGATGAGTTGTTGGACATCTCAAGAGGCGGATGAAGGTTTTCGATGCTACACTAACTTGAAGATATGACAGCAGATGCACGACAACCAGCATATTGTCTTGAGACTGCTAGCCGACTGACGCATGTTGAAGGAGATGAGAACCTAGCAAGGGAAACAAACTCTCATAGATATTCTCAGACAGGACATCCGAGTTGTAGTCGTGCCGCTCGGATGTGCCATACCGACACCCGTTACTCCAGGACATGAGCCTGAGCTGCATCGCCATCACGGCAGATAAGATCAGCGGTACCTGGCTCTTCATGGGGAAAGAAGCAATGCCATGGCCAGAACGACCAACGTCGACGTCAGTAGTACATAAAATAGAGAGGAGGAATGGGTAGAATGAAAACAGATCGAGGACTTCAACTGGAATCTAAATTTACGTCAAATGGCAGAAGGGTATAGAGCGAACAAGGGAAAACAGGCGGATTGTCGTACACGAAAAGGGGGAAACGGTATAAAGCTATAAGCTCGATCCAGCCCATCGTGACCCATAAACGCCTTTACTCGGAAGCTTAGAAAGAAAAGGAAGAGTCAGCGCTGCCAAACATTCAAACAGCATGAGAGTGCATCTCCGACTGTCTGAACCGCCACCACTTCTTCTCCATATCTCCTTCTCTCAAACCTCCCTCGCTTCCCCGATCAACACTTCTCGCACCTGTACTTCCACTTCCCCTTGCAACGACCACTGATGGGTTTCTCAAAGTGCTCTCTACGTCCGCGTTCCCTCCACTTGCCATCCCGGCAACGCCACCACGATTCCGCCACTGACTAGCCTGTAGCTCATACACATCTTCTTTCTCACCTGCCAGTTCCTCCAGCCTCGCTCGTTTCGATTCCGGAACAAGGAAGCTTGTCAGCATGCCCAGGAACATGAACAATGCAAAGATTTGCATCACACCATGAATCCAAGGCGTAGGATTATCGTGCGTAGCTCCTCTCTTGATCATGGGCGCAAAGAAGATTTGGGCAAACACTGCGCCTAGCTTGCCCATGCCAGCACTGAAACCGTGGCCTGTGCATCGTACTCTTGTTGGGAAAATCTCCGCTGGCGTGATAAACGTTGTGGCATTCGGTCCAAAGTTGAAGAAGAACTGTGCTAGTACGTAAAGCACTAGTAAGTGGGTTTTAGTGAGTCCCTGCCAGGCGAAGCCAAGGACGCAGAAGATGATGGTCAGAATTCCAAAGCCAGCTATTTGAATAGGCTTCCGACCAACGGAATCGACAGTGAAAACAGTGAGCCAGTAGCCAGGCAGGGCACCGGCGCAGATAAGAACGATTTGGCCCGTGGCTGTGTTGCGCAGATAGAGGTATAGGTTGTCGCGTTGATCGAAGCCCATCGTGGACATTAGAGAAGCGGAGGAGAATCCTAGGCCGTAGAACGCTAGGTCTAGGAAGCTATCTGGATGTCAGCTACTTCTGCAACGGTATCGCCAAATTGCGTAAACTTACAACCAGGACATGGATGTGCCGAACAAGCGAATAGCTTGCTTCTTTTGCGAGTAGAAGCGCAGCACTTCCATCAATGTAGGTCGCGGCGTCTTGTATTTGGCCATCTCACTGCGCGTCTTCGCTTGCGTGACCGGATTGACCACATTTCCTTGCTTTCCGTAGCGGTATTTTCGCGCATCGACCGAGGCCTTCTCGACATCGTACAGCACGTCGAAAGTGTATCGTGGCGTTTCCGGTACTGTGAGACGATAGTAAAGTGCGAACCATCCGGGGATGCCACCAAAAGCAATGATAATCCGCCACATTTTGTCAACACGCATGGCACACAGCCCCACACATTCTCCAACATTGGCTACTCCAATTAAATCGTCTTTGAATATTATGATTACAATGAGGGTTACCAAGGCTGCTGCAAGTTGGCCAAGGCCTTGCATGGCGAAGACGGCTGCGATAATACCGCCTCGGTACTTGGTGCTGGCGAACTCTGCTGTGATGACCGCACTGAGGGGATCTGGAGTAGTGGTCAGTAAAGTAAGGCTAAATTCTGCGTTGCAAGAGCATATTTCGAGGGATAGATTTCTTCCTATTTGCTTCGATCGAGCCCCAAAACGTTCGAAACCACGAGAAATTCAGATTGTACTCACAGTCGCCGCCGACACCAATCCCCATTACAACTCTGTAGAAGATGAGCACACCCACGATTGAAACAGTGGCTGATTCTCCGCAGAGCGATTGCGCAAGTGTTGTGCAGATGATGATCATCAACTCCACTCCATACATCTTCTTTCTTCCCAACAGATCGCCCATGTATCCGAAGATGCATTGGCCAAAAATGGCACCAGCGGATGTCGCGACTTTGATCGCTGTATCAGCATCATGAGGCATGACTCCCTTGTGTTCGTCATCTTGCCAATATACAATTCCTAACAAGATGACGGCAAGGTTGATGGCAAATAGCTGGAGATATTGTTAGTTAACTTTCAGCATTACCGATAATCTCGACCACCAAACTCACACTGTAGGCATCGGTAAAGAACCCAATTCCAGTCACAACCGCTAGACGTATATGGTACCATCCAAATGGTGCTTTATCTACCTCAGCGAGGGCCATGCGCCGGCGCTCATTAGGGTCCGCGATATGGGTCTAGTAGCCTAGTTAGTTATGAAGTGAGAAGATAAGGCTAGGATCATCATATACATAGACTCCAGGCACATCTCGGTAAGCTGCGTTTCCCACCCGTCCAAACGAAAACATGAGTGGCAACGGAGGTTGATGTTCTGGAGGGAAGTGAGCGCCGCGGTTCGACGACGTCCATGAGAGGATGAAATGACGGAAGGCTATGTCAGCCCGATAGCTGCAGTAGGTACAAAACGCAAGTAAGGCTGAGTCGGTGGGGCAGCTGTCAGACGAGACATATACTGTATTGCGTTACGATATAAGGCCTGCAGCAACGTGCTGCTGCATCGCCGATATTCTCTTGGGAACGCCAGACCCATGCCGAGAATCCGAGATGTTGAACCGTGAGGGACTTGATATCATGCCGCTTGGAATCAATTGGCAGAAGGCCCGAGATAATTCTGGACAAGCCTGTTGCGATCAAGTTCGGCAGCACATGCCACGGGGGAGGCGTTGAGAGTTGCACCACAGCGCGCGTTCACGTTTTCTCGGTGTCGCTTATGATTGGTTAGTCGAACCCAAACCCCAAAATACACCCATGTCGCTTTCGATACTGATGGCACGCCCTGTGTTCCTGTTGGCCAGTATCTTCGTAGAAGGACTCGAAAAGAGCTCAATGGAACGATGCCACGCCCGCCAGGGTCTGGGTGCCATGGACCGTTCTCTTGGGACACGTCTATGCCATCGTCTAGTCTGGGGTAGATGGTGAGAGGTGCACCATGTAGACTGCTGATCAATGTTCAACCAAGCACATATCCGCGTGGGGGGTAGTAAGTCTGGACTGACTGACTCAACCTGCGATCTGCGTTGTTTCCAATCATACTGGACTGTGGCTGGCCATGTGGGCATAAAACATTGGTGGCGCTTCTTAAGTCTTCAGCCTTCTCATCCAGAGTGTGTGGGAGAGGATGGAATGTGCGGCAACGAATCTGTGGTCGGCGCCCTGGATGGGCTTGCATCGATAAATCGTTGTGGGTTCACTGGTAAGGGTGACAAGATGAGCGAGTCGTAGATCTGGCAATGTGCGCCAGGTAGCAAGTCAAAACGAGACTTAGCAATACCCAACACCGTAAAGCTAACTTTGCAAGAACTGCGGGTCTGCCCAGGAGAAGTTTCACTTTGGCAGATTCGACTTCCCGATTCGATCCCATTATTAAGCTCAGCACTGGGCTTTCGCTCCTCAAGACCTCTAACATCCTCTCCTCCAAAACATCAAAACTATCGGTCGCACAAGTTCGGCATCAGCATAGGTCTCAAGCAGCATGAGCGCGGTGATGGATAGGAAGACAACAAGCACTCGATACCGAAGCCCAAAGAAGCCTTTTGTCAAGGCTCAGGCGGGTATGCATTTGCTGTTTGCGAGATCTCTGGGAATGGTCTATCTCGTCCGGGTAGCTGATGATTTTCGTAACCATCGAGTACGGTGCTTGGTGACTGCGTTTTATGGCATTTGGCGGCGATGTGGCTTCTAGGAACAAACCCAAGGCTTCGCGTACCGTTAAGAAGAAATCGCGGCTTGTAGAAGAGTAGTATCGAAACACCATTGGAGCATGATGCTGTAGCTGGCTGCGAAAATGGCCGCGAACTGGAAGGCAGTCATGACATCCGTAAAGAGATGGCGAACAGAACGTATTATCGATGGTCTATGTAGTAAAGGTCTGCCCTTTCAGTAAGAAAACATGTGTACACTTTCTGTGAAAGATAAAAGAAGTCTGAGAAGGGTGAAGTTCCGATAGTGACGTGTAGCTCTGGCGATGTTCAAATTCAAGTTCATGTTCGTGTTCTGGTGTTGCGCGCACCACTTGATCAAGTGGAGCTATCGGCACCAGTCCGTAAACGGCTAGCCCCACACACGTTCGAAATTGTGTCTCGCTAAGCACATGTCGATTTCGCTCTCGCACGACGAACCCGCGACAACTCCCACCCTCGATACTAACAACAGCGTCACCAGGTATGATGCTCCACTACACTCTATAGACAATCGATTGCTGACAGTTCTTGCACAGTCCCCAGCCAAAATGAGTACGCCAGACTCCCATCCTCACCCGCAACCACGAGCTTCGAGACTGACTACGATATAGCGAAGGGTACCTCCAGTTTCGGAAAGCGCCACAACAAGACGCACACGCTCTGCAGGCGTTGCGGTACGTGATATCTTCCTGGATGCTGGCATTGGAGATGCGAAGGCATGGACAGAGGGACAAGGGCTGATTTCAACGTTTAGGTCAACGATCCCTTCACATCCAGAAGCACACCTGCGCCTCATGCGGCTACCCTGCTGCTAAGACCCGCAAGTGTACGTTTGTCTGAGACGCGCGCACCGAGAACGAAGATTAACATTGGACAGTCAACTGGGGCGAGAAGGCCAAGCGAAGGAAGACTACCGGTACCGGCCGCATGCGATACCTCAAGACCGTCAACCGCAAGTTCAGCAACGGATTCCAAACTGGCGCTCCCAAGGGCTCCAAGGGCCCCACCGTCAAGTCCTCGTAAACGTATCAAGCATAAGGTTGACGAGGAGGAGGAGTAGAGGCGCGATGAAGGCCATTCGGACGGGTGCATGATCGGAAAGCGGGTTCTTATAGGCAAATGGTATTGCTCGGCATGGGGCGTTCTGTCATCCCTCTCCCGGTTGCTGTCCATCCCACATGACGAATGAGGATGGCATCACCGTTTGAGCGCATAGCTCTGGAGGCATAACTACGGAAAATTCATCATGTTCTGTCACGAAATGAAAGCATGAATCAAGCCACAGAATGTGCCAATTGATGCCGATAGGAGGAGACGTACTGATCAGCTCTAGAAAATCGAGGCTTACCGACGATCGTTCCACCGATACGCCTAGCAAAAGACGAAACCATTCACGCTTTATATCCTCGAACACTAGCATGTATACGGGTGCGTGGCTGATACCTGCGATTTACCACTCGAGTGCAAGACAATCATACCAGCTACAGCCTCAGGCGTAACTCGATCGTTTCAACGTTCCACCAGCAACCCACCTTGTTCATGTTGTTTAGCTCGACTCGATAATCTTTCCAACCAAAGGGCTTTTTGTTAACATGCCAAGCTAACTACCTATACAAATCGTATGCATCATTAGGATCTCATACACCGTGCCTCTAGTTGCCGAGGACAACAAATCCGCTACACTATCAATCGCTTCATGACTACCCCTTCAGAACCATCTTCTCTCCTCAATCTTAGTCCACCATCTCCTTTTCTCGCCTTCCTCTCTCGGTCCCACGAATTCTAACACCTGGTTGCCTTTTCCAATCCTGATGTCCAGATCGAATATGTCGCTCGCGGTTCTTCTCTCGTCCTTTACGCCCAAGCAAAAGCTAGCCCTCACGCGCACACCACGCTTCCTTTCCTTGGCTACCTCACTCAAGAAAGGTCCGATGTCTCTCGCAACACGATACGCAAGCGCCGAAGGAGTGAATTTGGTCTTGAGTTCAACAGCCCAGCGGTTAAAGTTCTGAGTCCGTGGCACCACGCGTGGGTTACCAAAGTTAGGGAATTGTCCTGGGTCGACTGGCTGGTCGTGCGTTGGCGATGCCGGAGGTGTCACGATTGTGAGTGCTGTCGAAGAAGGGGAACGCGTGTCAAGCCAAGATTGGATGATTTCTGTGTCTCGGTAGGAGTCTTCGTACCAGGTCATCAACCAGAAGGAGACTACGAGTTGTTTAAGATTGTCGAAGGAGCGAAGACCTGTCAGTAAAGGATTGGTGATGGGTGTTGTGTATGACAGGATCGGGCAACCATTGTAGCCGCATATCTTGAGCTCCTCGACTGTGGATGCATGGTGCAGGGCAATGGTTTGGAGGAGTGGTGCTTGAGGCGGCCAGCCGTAGTTCGGTTCGAAGTCAAAGTCCAAGGGCATAGGGAAGCCACGGCGGTAAGCGGCTAGGATGCCAGCAAGGTCCTCATCTTCAAGGTTGTAGACGAAATCGGAACCGGATTGACCAGGGTCGATGGCTGCGAGTTGCTGCCCTCCCGCACCCCATGTGTTTCCTGCAGGGAAAGAAACGCCAATCATGACAATTTTCTTGATCGGACACCAATGCAATGCGCGTAGTAACTCTCGCTTTTCGTCACGTGGTATACCCCCTTCAAGCTTGATCTGCTCTACTTTCCGCATGTGAGGTGCAAATTCGTCAATGAACTTCCGTCGGCGTGTACGTTCTTGCATTTCTTCCATGGTACTACACTTAGCTGTAAGTGGCTCGCCAGGTCCTGAATATTGCGTGTCAATGCGTAAGTCTGTCAATGTGTTTGCCAAATGTGCAACCAAAGTCCGGCATCGGTTTTGAGTGCCAACAGACGGCTTAACGTGGTTGTATATTCTGTCCATTGGCCAGCCCAGGCACTGTATCTTTGGGTGCGCCTCGAGAAATTCCAAAAACGGGCCTTCCAGCAGAAAGACATTTTGAGGGAGTATTGTAAGCTCCAATACAGCATTGCGAATCTGAAAGGCACGTAGGTGCGGAAAGCGCAGCTTGCTGAGTGCAGACAGGAACACTCCGGCATCAGTACTTGAACCAGAAGGCTCGGCATTCCTCCGTCGCCAATGTATCCAGTCCAGATTTAGACTGGTGAGGGTGGAAGCGGAGTTTGCAATTAGCCACTCCATTGGGGGTCTGAGGTCAAGCACGAACTGTCCAGGTGATATAGGTTCGGAATGTACCGGATTTGCATCAACATAGTCTCTAATCTCCGAGAGTTCCTCCCACATGATCGCATCGTATGCCCTGGCCTTGTCTCTCAACTCCTGTGTTGAAGAGCGTGGCCATCGTTCCGGCAAACCCTCATGAGAGATCTGGATAGTGGTACCAACGAAACCTCCTGCTCCATTGTGCATCTGATAATATTGCCCACCACGCGAAAGCGAAAACTCCATGAACTGTAGCTGCTGAGTTTCCGTTCGATCCGACATGTCCTTTCCAAGTCTACGCAGACGAATACTTTCAAGTCCAGTGGGGCTGTTTTGCAAAAGCCGGAACAGCTCGGTCTTGTCGAAGCAACAGCTCTCTAACCACAGTTTGCGCACGGGCATACGTTGTGGACGACCATGATCGAGAAAGCCAGCGACGAGTGCGTTTGTGAGCCTCCAATGCCCGTACACAATCCGTAGTGTGTGCACGTTGATCAAATTGGGTATCGCGAGCTTGACGAGAGTATGGAGTCGTTCATCTTGCGAGAGGTTGTCGGCGTCGAATCGCATTCGTGGGAGTTCATTAAAGATGTTCGGCGCCGGCAGGTGGCATCGATGGGAGAGTGTTTGAACTTTGGATGCGATTGCAGGGTTACTGAAACGTTAGAACAGTTTGTGTGGCAGACTAGGTGTACATACGTCGCAAGTATGTGCAGTTTTTGGACAATAGGTGTATCGTCGTGCTCATCAGGTTCTCCACGGCCTCGCTCCCCCCACAACAGATCCGTCTCCTCGTTGAGGTGCAACTTCCATTGGTCGACTAGGCAGACGTTCTGCCACAGTATATCCGTCGCATGCTCATTGAGGGTCTGCGAGACTAGGGCGACGTGTTTGAGCGTAGGAGTGTCGAGGTAGGCGACGATGAGTTGAAGCAGCTCGCTAGGCAGAGACTGTAGCTTGGAGAGGGGTCAGCATCTCTCGTCAAACCAAGGCATCGAATCGAACACGCCGCATAGTCGCACAAGATGGGCATGGTGCGTCTGTAGAGCGAACCAGTCTTGTGTCGGAGTACATACAGAGAGTGGGCGACTTTCGGCCCTTGGATCTAGCGGCAACGACGAGGTCATGACGTCTAATACAGTGCATGTACAAGTCGGACGTGATCACAGATGCGCATCCCATACAGAGGGTGAAGGTCTCAATCGCACATGTTGAAGAGTAATGAACATTGGATGTGTGGATTCATGAAGCCTGGGCAGTGATGTGCATCGACGCCATCGGTGGGGTCCCGCCCCCCACAGCCACCCCTGTCCACCTAGACATGTGAATGCCACGCCACCAACAACGCAGCACGCATCGTGTTTACTCGTGATCGAACGACGATACATTAATCGCAGAAGCTTGAACTCTAGTTGTAGACACGCCGCTGACTTCGAGCGGCTTAAGACTCCTTCTTTGCGTTCGTCGCCGCATCCTGTTGATCTTTCGGTTCCCTAATCATCCTGTACATTCCAATACTAGGCGACACATCTTTAAATCCATAAAGCGGGTATAGTTTTTGTGCTGGACCATCGGCTACAAGGCTCACATATGCCAGAGGCGCATGCTCGTCCACGTAGTCCAGAAGCCTCTGCACGATGCGCTTTCCCAGTCCTCTACGCTGATGATCTGGGTGCACCGCGATGTCCACCATAATCAGGAAGAGCGATCCATCGCCGACTAATCGGCCCATCGCAACAACATCATGTGCAGACGCAGGAGTTGTGTCGTCAACCATGTCTTTTCGTTCGTATGCGACGATGCAGCAGAAAGAGTTTGCGAGCGACTTGGGCACAGCTTCCATGGGTGGGGGTGTCATGCCGGCGAGCTTGCGGATATCGTGGTACCTTTGCGGCGTCGGTAGGCCTTCGAGGATGACATATTGTGATTCGGCCATTGCGAATAGAGATGCAATACTTGGACTAACAATGTGCTAGATTCGTAGGTGTTGGTATTAAATACGTAGCATCTCGGAGTGAAAGCGGAATAGAACGCGGCACGCCCTACGCCGGTCTTCACATCACGACTCGACACAAATAGGCTATTCAATGTTTCTAAGTTCAGGGATACTCTCGACATGTCTACAATTCATTGGCCTTATCCGCACACATGGTTCGTCGTGGTCGCATTATGAGTGCAACACCGCAGACAGTCATAGCGTAAAGAAGCAACCGCCTGCTGGTTTGTTTGTGCACCCTGGTGCAATGCTCTGATCCGCGCTGTCATCACGAATTTTCCATGTACCCAAAAGCAACCCATGCTGAAGGGTCGACTAGAGACAGACAATGTCGTCAACACGACATTGGAAAATTTGGTAGTCAAGCTCTAGTTATAAGGAGAATATAGCATCAAATCTGAATGTAGTACACGTGCAGACAAAAGTGAACAACAATTCTCGTTCGGTTCGTGATGGTTGTCCAAATGCGCTATTGTTACTCCTTGAACGTCCAAGACTATGACTTTGCGTATCGCGCACAATCGCCGAGGTCTGATGATGATGAAGCAATCCACGGAGAACGCGGCCCACATGCTTCACTGCACTCTATTGAGTAATCTCTTGACGTTGTGTCCAAGGAAGGGCGATATCAAGGCAAAACAAAGATTCGGCAGGATGTGTCGCACTGCAGCTGTAAAGATTACCTTACATGAGAACGAATTTGGACGACCCAAGGGCCTTCTCGAAGCTGCAAGCTTATGCGATTTCGAGATACTGTAATGCATTTGATCGTGTAGACTGCAATAAGCTCAGTCGCATGGTGTAGTGTTTCATTTTTCTAACTTTGGACGCGGAACTTGCGGGTGACGAGTACCAGGTTATTGGGTAGATGACCCACATGATTGAGAGCGAGCTTGCAGCTGCTCAACAAGCAGTTTCCTTCGAGTCAGCATCCTTTGACGATATTCGTCACCCGTGCGTTGTACTACTCAGCGGATTGGCAACCTGCCAGTGGATCTGAGGCAGAAGTGAACAAGTGGGCATCATGTAGCCTGCGTTTTGCTACGCAGCCACTCCGCTGGATTCTTTGTTGTAGTCTAGTATTTCCGTTCTCGCATTTGTAGAACCATGCGGCTGACATCTTTGACTGTCATGAGCTTGTCGGCTAGAAGCACCTCAACATTATCTTGAGAATAGTTGACCGAGTGTGGGACTGAGGCCAACGCAGACGAAACGCATCGAGTTTGCATGTCGGACAAGCGCGTACGTATCCGGATGCGGTGATATCTGCGAGGCCCTGATGCGCCAGTAACTTGGCGCAGAGATCAATCCACCTTTTTTGCTAAACGAAGGCATACTAAGGCTGGGCTTCACGAGTAAGTTGGCATGGTAGTTGTCGACTATATATGACAGATCGATATCTGGGAAGACACCGGCATAAAGAGTTGCGAAGACAGCTGTAGGAAATTTGTACCTGGCTAGTAAGTGGACGTAAGCCGGGAACGGCAAGTCGCGAGGCGGGTAGGCCACTTGCGTAATCCTTAGTGGAAACATATCGACTACTCCAAATAGCACACCGGGTCTATTGTTTCAAGGCGTAACGTCGCAAACATCTTGACTCAACACTGTTTCTGGAGACCGCGGAACGGAAACAGGCATCCTGCCTTTCTCTCGACCGGCGTTTCTGCCCTAGGCTTCACCGTCTGAAGAGGCTGACTTCGGCATGAAGGAGGTTGCAGTCGCCGATGGAGGCTGGTGGCTTGTCGTGGGTGAGACAATAGGCTCAGGGTCCAATGCAGGGTAAGATGACGTTGTGCGCAGATAACGAAGACATTTCAAACGAAAGCTGAGAGAAGACAAGAGATTGTGTGGAAGGACGAGCGTCGGACTTGCGACGTCGGCTCTCCTCACTTAGATAACCTGATGTTTGTGGCAAGGGAGCAGGGGCTTTAGGCTGAGAAGGCAGATGGGGCGGCGATCCGCGCGACTGCCGGACGATCATTGGATCTTTGGGCTGTCTCAAAATAGATTAGCTCCATGTGCGGCACGACAAACGACACCATCAGCACCGATCACTACTCTGACACGCGACGACCACCCGTCACAACGCTGATGTTTCCAACAGGGTCGCGCCTCTCGGATACATTGGCAATGTTGTCAATTCAGCTTAATCGGTCAACATCAGCTGTGTCTCTCGTGATCAGGGAATGCTCCCAGGTTCTTCGTGCAGATTTTGTAAAGTGTCACATATGCACGCAATCTGTATCTGCTTACTCCACTCTGGTAGGATACCCAACAATATCCGCTCTGCGAGCTTGAATGTCAGGTCTTCTACTACTATCTCCGGAATGTTTGACGAGTCAGGTCTCTGCTAGCAACCAAGTAAACGTCCTTGGGCTACCCAAGTGTGCACTGCATCGTCGATGATTACTCGTTAGGACTATGGACTGCAGCGATCGTCCTAGTAACTTCCTCAAGGTCTCCCTTATCAGCTTGGTCTACAGCAAGCTAAACGAAAACGGTTGCGGAGGAATTCCAACCTATACCTGGCTTGGCATTGATGTTGCAGACTCAGCACAGCCAGAAAACTCCTGGTCCTTGCAGGCCACTGAGGTCGTCAAACAAGCGAGGGCACTATTTACGATCATAGCCGTCAAGCTCGTTAGAGGCCATGATCCACTCTCACGGCTCTGACACACAGCGTCCCGCGGCTGCGCACGGAATATCGGTACTCGAAACTCCTTTCCCTGTTAGAGAATATTGACACGAGCTGGCTTACATGCCTAGGTAGTGACCGTCCGATGATGAGGCCTACAGGTTCTATATGTAGTGCTTCATGCACCCGCATTTCTCATTTGAACGCTGGACATCTTTTGTGACCCGATATTCTGGTTGTCGTCACGCTGGTAGTGATTCTTACTGTCATTACACAGCTCGCCAGTATGGGTCTTCCTTCAATATTATTAGCGGTAGCTGTGCTGGGTGCATATGTACTATACAAGTGCTGGGATTCTTCTCGTCGGCAGAGAATACCCACAGGTCTCAAGCCTCTACCAGGACCCAAAGGTATGGCACTCTCTCCATCTGTAGATCATGTAGACAAGGCCTACAGCTGGACCCTGAAGATCATACAAGTACCTTGGCTGACGGACATATGCTAGGCTACCCTATCCTTGGCTCGGTGCCCGAGGTTCCTGAGAAGAATGGGTTCATCAAGTTCGCAGATTGGGGCAAGCAATATGGGCCTATCTATCAATGCAACTTGGCTGGTCACAACCATGTCTGGATATCTAGTGACCAAATTGCCAAAGACCTGCTATCGAAGAAAGCAGCGATCTACTCGGACCGACCACACATTCCGTCTTTGATACACGACAATCGTTCCAGTGCCCAATATCTTCCCCTTCTCAGCCGAAATGGTAAGGACCATTGACAAAGGTTGTATTACCGTTGTTGCTAACGTTTAGTAGAGGGTCATACTCGTCAAAGGAAATTTGCAAACATCATCATGCGCGAATCAGAGAAGGCCGCGTTCCATCGATACCCTGAAATCGAATCAACGCGTATGTTGACCGAATTGCTGGATGCGCCGGACCAATACAATCACATTCTGGAGTCTTTCATCTCACGCGTCACTTGCCGGCTTGCCTGGGGTCACAGCGAAGGCAGTGATGAGCTGAAGCAACGCGCGCGCGAGCTTCTGATTGGTGTCTCACCCACTGGTTCTCTGAGCAACAAGCTTCCATTCCTTATGTCCCTCCCTGACTGGCTCTCCCCACCCAAGGCTTGGGAGAGGCGACGTGCGACCACTGAGCGTACGTGGTTCCAGACAATGCAAGAACAAGTCGTCGACGATATGCGATCAGGACAAGCCGCTCCATCTTGGATGAAGACGTTCTTGGATGGCCGCAGCAAATGGGGCTTCAAGTCCGACACAGAAGGCGCATATGCTGTAGGCATGCACGGTATCGCTGGAGCTCTCACTATCGCTGCTCCTATGCAGACCTTCTGTCTAGCCATGACACATTATCCACAGTTCTTGCCTATGTTACACGAAGAGCTTGACCGTGTCTGTGGAGACCGGATGCCACGCTCAGAAGACCGACCAAATCTTCCTTTCCTACGAGCCATCATTCGGGAGTGCATTAGATGGCGCCCCCCAGTCCCCACTGGCATTCCTCATTACCTGATCCAGGATGACGAGTACAATGGTTATCATATTCCCAAGGGTAGCACGATACATCCTTTGGAGTGGTAAGTCAGGTCAATCTTTTGAATGCATTAGAAAGCTAACTGACTCTCGCAGGGCCATCTCCCGTGATCCCGATCTGTACCCCGACCCGGAAGCCTTCAACCCTCTACGATGGATCAAACCAGAGTACCCCACCTATCAAGAGCCTCTTTCCCAGTACCCGACTATAATCAACTCAACACAGTTCGGTTATGGCCGAAGGACATGCACTGGACAGGCTGTGGCTGATGAAGATCTGCTCATTGGCATTGGTGCGATTGCCTGGTTGTTTGATATCAAGAAATCATCAGCAGAATTCACTATCTCGCCCGTCATGAAGTCATCGAGGACAGAATACAAGATTGGCATGAACGAGAAGGCTTCAATCTCCAACGAAGAGCTCAACGCAGGTCTAGACACAGCAGACCCAACAATGGAAGAGAAGATCCTGGCGAAGTTCTCATATCCTGGATCCGACTCAGCAAACGACGTACAAAAGAAGTCGAAGGCCGCCGAGCCAGCGTATAAGCCGCTGGAATGGGGCGACATCACCAAGAAGCCCGAAGATCCGACACTCGACTACTCCATCTTGCTCATCGCGAAACCGATACCCTTCAAGTTCGATTTGAAGCCTCGCGACACTGTGCGAATGAACACAGTCCGTGGTCTCTTCAACCAGGGCGTCGAGAACGGCGATTATCCCGAGACCCGGAATTACTGGGGTCCAAACCAGGGACGGGACTTACCTGTGGGCTGGGGTAAAGTATAGGACACGTTGTTTGTGACTTGTGAGCCTGCAGATGCAGGCTTGTTTACCCCAACACGCAGGCTGCGGATGGGGACCCGGCGCTGACCCTGCAGCGCTGATCATTGATGTATAAAGGAAACAATAGTAATTCATTTAGAGCGGGATATGTGGGTACTGAGTGCACTCGAGGCTTTGTGTTGCTCCTTGCATGATTTTCATGGTTTTGGCGTTGGTGGTGCTGTGGCCGTCGATAAGGGTATTACGATCTATACGTTCTTCAGCGCTTTTCCTTTGTGTATCCATCTTTCCAGTTAGTTCAGCAATACACATCTTGGACAGTAACCAACAATGACACCGCTTGCATGTGATGGCCGTGGCATAGGCTCGAAGATGATTAGAGAGCTTGCAGCCGACGTATGCCAGAAGCGGAGATTGGAATGATAGCATGCTTTCGATGAACAGACCGCAGTACGCTACGACTTGCTTTTATCGTGGTTCATTGAGTGCTGACCACCATTACGGATAATTCTTCGGCTCGCACGGCACTAGCGCAGAATATTGCTCCTAGCACGAACACCGTCTAGTCCACGCTCCCGTAGAGTGAAGACGGGACACACGTGAGGCTGGTAAACTCCAGCCACACTTGGGCATCATCTAGCCACGCCTCTGACATCACGCATCCTCGGACCGAACGGCCGCAACGCGACATCGCCTGTTCGCAAACACCAAACACGACATCTCAATGCGCCTAAGATAACTCGTTTCAGCTCACCGCGAGCCCAAGTCGCCAAAATCATGCTCGGTCTTGAATTTACCGCGACGCGTACGCAGATCGCATCCTACCTCTTCGGCGTCGCTCTCTTCAGCATCAGCTTTCTCGTGTTCCTCAATAGCTCGATATCCTTCGTCATCACACAGCGCATTGGCCAGTCGCAAAATGTAGGCGATGCGGTTGGCACCCTGGGCTTCGTGGATGAGTTGGTAGCGCTCATTGCGTGTCCAGCATGGGGTTTACTGAGTGACAGGGTTGGCGTGAGGAGTGTTGCGGTCATGGGGTATAGTATTGTAGGTGTTGCGCTATGGGTTCTCGTGCAGGCGAAGAATGTGTACCCGCAATTGTTGCTTGCGAGGGTGCTGTTTAGTCTGGGTGGAAGCGCGACGTAAGTTTTGAGGACTTGGGATGCTCAGACACGAGAGGTTAACATCTGACAAGCGCGACTATGGTCACGGCGATTCTGCCCTCGATGACTATCGTCAAGGAAACCAAACCTGATCCGCGATCGCCAACACAAAGTCGCGGTAGATCGCATGCGCCGGCTGCTTCAATATCGTCCGAACTCACTATCACGCCCGCGCGTTTCCGATCGAACTCTCCGGAAGATCATACACAAGACACATCCTTGAAGAAGGACTCGGGCGCATCCACGTCGCAACTTGCCGGCTTGGTGGGCATGTTTACAGGATGCGGTGCCTTAGTCGCATTGTTCGTTTTCCTACCTCTGCCAACACAATTCCAAAATGCTGGCGAGCGTCCCGCAACAGCTGTGGCAGATGCTTTCTATGTCGTAGGAGCCATTGCTCTTCTTGTGGCGCTCGGCTGTTTCTTCGGCCTGCGTCAACTGCCTGGCGAAGAAGCGAAAGGTTGGAAACGCCTTACCAGCAAAGGCGACTACAAAGACGTAGACAGCCATCTGACACGCGACGTCGTGTTATCCTACCCGCGTCTCTTTCTGGAAAGCGTTCGCCTTGGTTTCACTTCGCCAAACATCGGACTCGGCTACGTAGGGGGATTCGTCGCACGCGCATCATCAGTCGCTATATCGCTCTTCATCCCCTTGTTCACAAATCACTATTTCCTGCAGACCGGCCGCTGTAAAGTGGAATCCAACATTCCTTCTGATATCAAAGTCGCTTGTCCCGAAGCATACAAACTTGCAGCCATGTTGACGGGCATCAGCCAACTCATAGCACTCATATCTGCACCCCTCTTCGGTTACCTTTCCGGTCGTTTCCCTCGCTACAACATCCCTTTGCTGGTAGCAGCTATGTCTGGAATTGCAGGCTACTCTGCGTTCGGATCACTCACAAGCCCGGACTATAAGAGTGAAGACGGCACAGGTGCGATCTTCTTCATCGTGGCGTTACTAGGCATTAGTCAGATCGGCGCCATCGTTTGTTCCCTTGCCTTACTCGGCCGTGGCATCAACAATGATGAACACCCCTCAACAGCCACCTCGGCATCTGTGTCCGTGAACGGAACAACGTCCCATCCATCTGCAGGCGCTACACCGCCACACAGCGCACCCATCACTCCCTTGGACGAAAACGCTCCTTTGCTTCCAGAGCACATACACTCCACGCGCTCTGCTTCCGCCTCAAGACGAGTTACATCGCACAGCCATATCAAAGGCTCGATAGCGGGAACTTATAGTCTACTGGGTGGCTTTGGTATCTTACTACTGACTAAAGCCGGTGGCGCGTTGTTTGATAGCACAGGGCCTGGCGCGCCGTTCTACATGATGGCAGGGTTCAATGCACTGCTTTTCGTGGTTACGATTGTTGTTAGTGGGCTGCAGGGCGCCAGGAGGTGGAGGACGGTCGTGTGGGGGCCTTAGAGCGTGGTGTGCCATATGGCCATGCGCAAGAATCATGTATCGTTGCAATGTGATCAGGCACTTGATGACTCTTTGCTGGGAGGAAGTATATACCCTCTTACGATGATATCGGTATCTCACTTTTGTCATCTATAGTTCGTCGTGATCAAACGCCGCAAATGACTTTCATATATAGGCCTGTGTAATTGCTCAGCAGTTGGATGTGAATAAAGTATCCTTCTCGATATCCACATGACCATATAATGATGCAACAGAACCCTATATCCTAGCACTATCCAAAACACTTCGCACGCACATAAGCAATAGTCCTGGGTATCCTAGTTTATAAGCCAAACAAACTCAAGTCCAATGTCAAAGCCCCCAAAGTACTTCACTTCCCACCTGTGTAGCCCACCTTTCCCAGGACATCCCCCCAATCCAGTACATCAACCTTCTTCCTTGGCGGCAACACATCAGCAACAGTTGGTCTACCAGCCAGATTCTGTGGCCACTGCTTATTGCCATCGACCTATACATACCTTAGCCCAAAGACTTTTCAGATGTTTTGTTCGAAGCTTTGTCACTCCTCGTGGGCGTGGAACTCACTGCGGTGCTGCCGGTTAGGGATGTAATACGCTGATAGCCGAAATAGAAGTCCTTAAATTTATCGCGAAAACTGCCGTGTTCGTCAAGCTTAGGGTTTGGATGTTTCGACTGTGGTCGTGATGAAGATGCGAGCGAAGCAGGTTGGACGCGGCTTTTAGGGCGGACATGTGGGTTCGCGGGGAGAGAATGGCGCGGGCGAGACGAGTTGCCGCTGACGGGATCGTGTGTAGATTTCCTGGGTTGTTCGAAAGCACCTGGCAACGACTTCCTAGCAGGCTTCTGCTTCTGAATAGACTGAGGTGGTTGTCTAGGCCTGCTAGTCGCTGTACGTGCAACACCTAGCTCCTCCAGTGCTCTTTGTAATGTTTTCGTATTCTGAATGATGCCCCGCGTATACAGGGTATTGCGAATGTTATCTTTGTAGAAGCGGTAGTACGGCTCAGGGTTTTCTCCTTGATCAATACAGTCCATAGCATATTGACTATAATCTGTCCTATTACGGATGATAAAATCGTCCCACTGCCATTTTGGCACCATCTTATCTTCTTGTTCCAGCTGGTACATCTGATTGCATTGATTCTCAAAGTGCTTCTCATTGCCGTTATACTCTGGATATGCCGCCTTGAAGGACTGGAAGACTGTCATGTTGCTATTTTCATCTATATCCTCAGATGATCTCGACAAGGGTTGGGCATGTGTCGGAACTGACCCGCGTGTCTGAGTATCGCTTGGATCAGCTTTGAAGGAGGCGTGCGAATGAGATGACTGAGGCGCTGGGCTTGCAATGGGCTGTGCTCTTCTGGGACTAGGTTCGTCGTAGAGACCTCGGTGTCGAGGAGATAGGCTAGACGATAGCTCCCTTTTCGTCACTTGATCAAAACCATCAATTTCCATGATGTCCGAGTCATCATCAACTGTAGGCTTGCTTTCAAGCTCGGGTTGATTCTCAAAGCTTGTTGTGCTTGAGTTACGTTGCTCCCGAAATCTGCGCAAAGATTCTTCCCGATCCTTACGCAGTGAGCCTACTAGGTCAACATTAGAAGATATATCATCTCCGAAGCCGACGATCTTGATTTCTCGCCTTTTGGGTTGTCGTCGGTTGCTTTTGGTTGGCGAACTAACGAGCTTACGTTTGGTAGGTTGTGGGGGGTGATAAGGTACCGTTGGTGATACATCTAAGTCACCATTGTTCTGAGATAAGTGCGCCGAGTATGGGGTTGCATGCGACGCAGATGTAAGCACACCCTCGCCATCCAGGCCATTCGGTAATTGTCGTGGAGCTACAATAACGCGAGCATTTTCCTTGTTGAGATCTTGTGCGGCTGGAGACATGTCGACCATTTCTACATCTTCGACGTTACCGGCATCCACATCCTTGGCCTTGCCATGACGTACTTCAACTTCCTTGCGCTCACTGCTTATGTCTTTGTCTTGTGTATGCGACGGATGCTCCTTGAAATCTTCGAAGTTTCCGACGTCAGCGAGATCAGATAGACTAGGCGTATCATATGTACTGTGAACTATTGAGGTAGATGACGTGGGTTTCGACTCGCTACTTGACTTTTGTGCATTTTTAGGTTCTGAGGCATTCTTGCCTTTGCCGTATGGAGTTTCCTTTACGTGAATTATCGGAGAACGTAGGGAAACAGCATCTTGAAGCTTGTCGATCGCTGATGGTGGTTGTTTTCGTTGTGCAAGGTCTTCTCCCAAGGCCTGTGGAACAGACTCTTCCATCTCCATTTCCTCATCAGAATCGGCAGGTGCAGCAGGAATAGGCGGCGAAGATAAGAGACCGACTGGATTTTCATCATGTGAATGAGATGCTTGCTTCTCCATACTTGAGTCCGGAGGGAGTTCCTCTTGAGGCCTCGGCAGACGTTCTGGTGGCTCTGGAGAGGATTCCCAGCTCACCTGACTAGCTGTATCATCGTCTTCCTGAGGAGTTGCAGGCTCCTCATCTTGCATCCTTGAGGCTATAGATTGGGGCGATGAATCAGGGCTTTCTGGCGACGGATCTGCGTCTGGCTCACTATCAGTTTCAGCAGCAGCTCTCTCGTCAGCTATCAGGTGGATGTTCTTGAGTATCGAGTAGGGCATATTTCCATTTTGGAAAGGCTGCACCCCAGGTGGGGGTTTTAGCCAACTAGTCTCTTTGCTCAGACATTGCGCCTGACTTCTCGGTACCTGTAATGTCTCGCTGTTGAAGACCAAGCCTTTCATCCAAGAGCACTCAGGTGGCTTATCACTACTGTCTTCAATAAGGCTTTGTTGGATGTCTTGCTCTCCGACTCGAGAGTGTTCGGCAGCTTTTGCAACTTTAGGGGAGATCCCCCCTGCTTTTTTGACCATCTTCTCATAGTTTGGCGCAGATGACGCAGGCTCTCCATTCTCAACTTCTGTTTCAAGCTGTATTGGTTGCTGATGCGATGGATCTGATAGGTATCCAGGAGATTCATCTGCAGGTAGCGCAGGAGCATTTTGCGGCTTCCTGAAAGCGTCCTGTACAAAGCTCGACCCAGAAGTTGTGACGCGTGTGCTGGCGCTGGGCTTCGGACGTAGGTTTAATAGGTTTAGTAAATTACTGCGTTTCTCAAAGTCGGTATCGGCAGCTCCTGGTCGTATTTCGACCCGTTGCGTGTCCCCAGCCATTACCGGCTCCAGCCTGTTCACTCCTATAATCTGCGGCTCATCTTCGCTTGCCCGCGGACGCGAGGATTGTGGTTTTTGTGTTGCAAAGGGTGCTTGAGTGTCCTGTATCTGGGAGCGAAGCGCATTGCGGTCTGACATATTGTTGTTCTGACGCGTAGCATCGACCGCAGCGTCGTCTTTTGCCTCTACGTCTGCCTCTTCAACACCGGGTGCTAAGCGCCGGCGGTCTTCGAGCGCGCGGATATGGCGCAGCTGCTCTAGCAGACGCCCAATCTGCTTGCAAGCGTGTAACGATTGTAAAACTGCGCTGTCCTGGGTTTGCAGTAGTTCACAACTCTCGCCTAGCCAATCAATCTGATTGAGCACCAAACGCAGTCTTTCGGGAGGCGGCCCGTATGAGGTGAATCGGACAGTGTATTTTCGGGCGGCTATGGTAGTGCCTGAGGTCAGGTGTAACACAGTGGGGTGTCGCTGTAATAAGTCCCGAGCGCAGTCAGGTGTAAGGTGAGAGACTACTTGATTCCGGCCGTCAGAAAGCGTAAGAGGAGAAACCTGGGGTATTGAAAGTTAGGTGAGAGAGCCAGAGGTGGTGCGCAATCACATGCCTTGAGGACCTGCAGTGTGCAGTTGTGTTCGGGGTCAGGGTAATTGATAGTATCCAGGGACGAGCCGTTATCGTGGTACGCGCTTCGCTGTCTGTCTATTTCCTGCCTGCTACGAGATTTTTTCTTCTCGTGTTGGTCCTGAAGCCATTGGTTACCTAGCAGTAGCTGTGACTCGAATGCGTCTTCCAGCCAAGCGGTGAGACGAATGGCCATAAAATGTGAGCTCCAGGCGCGAGGGGAAGACGCGACGCGTCTGGTCCCGGCGAGATGCGTGCAGATGAAAGACAACAAGCCGTGTGCGGGGTAAAGGAAACAACATAGTACAAGTTCAGATGCAGAGGAACAGCAGCTGGTGATCCACTTAGTTTCGGCGCATTCACGTCTTGTGCGACCTTTCACGGCGGCTGCATAGCTGCATCTCGTAGCCAAAATGCGCCCATGCCAAGGGACGTGGGGGGCGGAGATGCAAGCAGACCTCAGGCGGAAACTCTTGGCGGCTGCGCGTCATCGCCCGCCGCGTATCTTGCATACCTAGCTTGTTGTATGCACCTCGTGATGCTTCAGCTACCCGAGCCGTCGAAGCTTCCCGTCGATGCCTGGAGTTTTCTTTGCAAGTTCCATGAAGCCACTCATCTGGCCTCCCTCGCTGCCGGCCGAACAAGCAATACACGTGTAACGAGATTCTAGACATCGTCGACTCCACCTCGCCCACTACCAGACCGTGTTCCCCATGAAGCCTGATGCTGTCCTTCACTGATGACTGTCGGACGCCGCTCGGCCTCCAAATATCCGACACACTCTATCTCACTCGCAGACGCACAATCCTCTGACAGCAGCCATGTCTCGAGACTCGCGGCGGGGGTCGTTGCAGCCGCCTTCGCTCTACCAGATGCATGCCACCGCATCACGTTCCGACACGCTTACCACCTTTGACGACTTTACCGTCCCTCCGGCCCCAAGCTCGGTCGGTGAACCTAAAGGCATAGACCTCGTACAGGGCGGCTTCAGCGGGCTGTATAGTCGCCTCAGAGCGTCAGTGGGCGGCGTCAGGGAACAATCTCAAGATGGCCGGAGTACAACTTCACCGGCGTCTAAGTCTGCGGCAGTCCACCGTAGCCCAGGAGGACCTTCCATATCTTCGCCTGTAGCCACGTCTAGGCCGTCCTCGAGCATGCAGTCACCAGCAACGGCCACCTTTCCCGACGCACTGCCTCCCTCTCGCGACTCCAACATGTCCAGTACCACACTGTCAAGCAAAGCTTCGCTAAACGCATCCAAAGCTTCCCTGGGTACCACGCGCTCCCGACCCTCAATAACCCCAAGTGTGGACACTGCACATGCAGCCAAACACGACGACTCCTCCATCTTGAGCCCTGTGAGCGTCCACTCCAGGCACCAGAGCATCTCCAACGTAGACCTGCCGAGGAGCAACACACCGCGAGATCCTACACTAGGAAGCCAGAGGCTGAACTCTCCACATTTTCCTCCGAGCCGAGACAGCGCTGCCCGAAAACGGAAGGGCGACTTTGACCTTGTCGGTCAGGAAAGTGACGATACGGATGAAGACGACATGGTTCTTGTGAAAGGCGAGGGTCAAGCGAGTGACGGCGCCAATTTCAAGGCTACGTCAGACACACCACGTGAAAGTCTGAGCAGGGTCAGTTCCCGAGCCGATAGCCAGTATCAACCTGCTCGTTCTGCGCCGAATAAGGCGAGGGAACAGACTGAAAAGTCTCCAGAAAGAATCTCACTCAGTCGCGCTGCTGATTCTCAGGCTACTATACACGCACCTGAGCCACAACGGCCTCCCATGCTTCACGTCGGTCCTTCGCACCTGCCAGGCTACCGGCCTTCGCGAGCCTCTTCTTCCGATGGTCTAAGTTCTGTCGTCACAACTTCCACAATACGCACTCCTGCTGTGGCTCCCATCGACGAGATACAACGACAGGCCCAAGCTGCGCCTGCTGTACACAACATGTCGCGTAGCACTTTCACTCAAATGCGACGGAAGATCCTAGATCGCGAATTCTGGATGCGCGATGAGAATGCTAAAGCATGTTTTAGCTGTGGTGATGCTTTTACTACCTTCAGACGTAAGCATCACTGTCGTACATGTGGGCAAATTTTCGACTCCAAGTGCACGTCCATTGTGTCAGGCAAGATATTCGGACAACAAAGCAATCTGAAGGTCTGCAAACCATGTGAAGGTATCATATATGGCCATGACGACGATTCTTCCGACTACACAGATGACGGTGATCAAACTTCCATATACGACAACGGTGACAGGGCCGAGTACTCGGATGATGACGAAGCTGACCATGTTGAGAGTGATCACACCAAGATTGGAACACCTACCATTAGCATACCCATGTCTCGGAAAGTGGGCAGTGAGAAGAAACGCCGTTCACACGTCATAGAAGTCGGCCCTCAGACTTTAGCCCGTCCGAGTTCTTCACGGTCTTTGCGGTCGTTAGGTGGTAGACCCCGGTCGTCGAGCCACAAACGCCACCCTTCTAAACACCAGCACATGCGCCATGTCAAGCATGACGATCGCGCGCCCTTCCATCAGTACCACGACAACTCGCGCAGCCAACCAAGTCTGTCAGCTTTTCATCACGATAACATAATTGACCCTGACCTTGCGCCCTTCATGTCAGACGAGGGCTCAAGCGAAGAAGATCACGCCAGCATCTTCGCGACCCTGAGAGAAGACCCTGCTGCTAGCGCAAATTTAGATAACGAGAGAAGTGGCTTGGGCGGCCTGTTGGCTGCGATGAGAAAGGGCAAGTCAAGAGCTGGTGACAGGAGCGTCATAGGCGCCGGTCATGCTCGAGATGCGGATAACATTAGCATCACAAGTCGCAACGGGAATCGTCCGTCCCGACGAAGGAACCTGAGCGTAAGCAGTATAACTCATCGAGCCTCCCCGAGGCGGTCTAAGAGCAACACTCTGTTGAGACCGTATACCGGCTACGGTGCTAGCGGGCCAGGAACGCCCCAACTCCAACCATCTCCTTCGCCAACACCGCCAGGAGGGAGGATCACTCGCAGCGCATCGATGCAAGGAATGACGCCCAAAGTTGAGCTTAACAGGGCAAGCTTGGATCATGCGCGAAAGCTGCTGATACAGATGCTCAATGATGCCGGTGTTCCGCACGCGTCGAGTTGGGAGAAGGCCTTGATCCCAATTTTGCGCCAGTGCACAGACGATGTCAACCCTGACGTAGACAGAGGCGACGACATTGATGTGAGGAACTACATCAAACTCAAGAAGATTCCAGGTGGCAAGCCAAAGGATACGGCATACATCTCTGGGGTGGTTTTCACGAAGAACGTCGCCCTGCGAAGTATGCCACGCAACATACCTAATCCAAGGATTGCGATCATCACTTTTGCTATCGAGTACGCGCGTCACCAAGCACATTTCATGAGTCTCGAGCCTGTCATTGCGCAGGAGCGGGAGTATCTCCGCAATCTTGTCAGTCGTATCGCAGCTCTCGAGCCTCATGTCCTACTCGTACAGCGCAACGTGTCTGGTCTGGCACTCGAATTTTTAGAGAAAGAAGGAATTGCTGTGGTCTATAACGTCAAGCCTACAGTTCTCAATGCAGTAGCGCGATGCACTAACTCGAAGATGATCTCTTCAGTGGATAAGTTGGCGATAGACCCGTCTCACCTTGGATCCTGTGGCAGCTTTGACGTCAAAACTTACGTGCACAAGAATGCGAGAAAGACTTACATCTTTCTTTCTGGATGCCAGAAAGAGCTTGGTTGTACGATTGTCTTGCGAGGTGCTGAGAGCAATGATTTGGTCAGGCTCAAACGTGTCACTGAGTTTATGACATATGTGGTGTACAACCTCAGGCTCGAGACTTGCCTGATGCGTGACGAGTTTATAGATACACCGACGGCGTCCATCACTGGTACTCTTGCCTCGAACCGTCATGATCAGGACAGCTTGCAATCCCAAACCGGCACAAGTGATCCCGCTTCTCAACATACCAGCACGTTATCCGACGTCAATAATCCACAGTCTAACGACGCTGCACCATCGTACTACAGCGACATGGTCGAAAACCACCGCACTAAGATCCTCTCCTCTTCGCCTTTTGTCAAATTCATGCAACCTTACCTCCTCGAACAGGCTCGTCAGTATGAAGCAAAGCTTGGTCATCTAAAAAAGCTCAAAAACCAATATACTGCTGATGAGAACGATGAGAAGCCAGGAGAAATTGGCCAAAAGTTCGAACTCGTGCAACCTGAGATGGTTCACACTGTGGTGGAAAAGGCTTCGAAGCAAGTGCGGGAGTTCCTATCTGCAGTGCATGCATCAGAGTACGACAAAGCGATGCACCAATACCTAACTCAAAAGCGACAATGGGAGCAGTATCTCTCAGGCAACACTGATCTTTACGACCCATTCAATCACCAGAAGATTGCCGTCCTATACAGTGTTGTCAATACTACAACATCAACTCCTTGCATTGGCCCGGAGATTATCGCACTTGGCTTCTATCAAGAGCACGACTACGACGATGGCTTCACACCTGACTGTACTCTAGGCCAATACGTCGAAGATCTATGCACGTCAGCCGGCGTTGCTTGTGAAGTAGGTAACTGCGACCGAAGAATGCTCGATCATTCCAGACAATACGTGCATGGTGAAGGTCAGATGACGGTTATCGTCCAAAAGCATCCGGCAAAGATAAAGGGAATGTACCAGACCATTCTCATGTGGAGCTGTTGCAGGATATGTGGCCAGGAGACGCAAGCGTTCCCGATGTCTGAATGGAGTTGGAGATATTCCTTCGCGAAGTATCTCGAATTGACTTTCTGGAGTACCAAGCTGCACCCGCGAGCAGGCATATGTCCACACGACATCCACAAGGATCACGTCCGCTACTTTGGCTACAACAATGTTGCTCTTCGCATCCAGTACGATCCCGTACCAATGTACGAAGTTATTGCACCCAAACCAAACGTGACCTGGAAGGTGGACAGCGACCTGAGATTGAAGAACAGTCAGTATTCGATGATCGAAGAGAAGTTGGACTGCTTCATGGACTCACTTCGCGCCCGTATTCAGGGAATACACGTTGAGGATGTCATTCCAGAGAAGGTAGATCTGTGTCGGAAGGAAGTTGAGATACTTCTGAAGCGCGCAAACGAAGAACACGAGTGGTTGAAGGCCAAGCTTCAAGACAAGTACATGAACTCCAAGTACTATGAAATCATCCCCATGAACCGCGCAATTCGCGCGATCCAGGAGAAGGCTATTGCCTGGGATGTGACGTTTTTGGAGTTTGAGCAGCAATTCTTCCCGTCTGAGCGGGACATTAGGAGGTACGCGAATATGCAACTGAAGAGATTTCTGGAGCGCGACGAGTCCACGAGCTCGTTGGCGTCTGTCGATGAAGGCACCGAATCGGGTGCAGATGATTCATATATCGATGAGAAAGATGAGTCAATTGCTCTGTCGCCTAGGCCTTCTAACATGTCGCCTGAGATGGCGCGCGACATGTTGAGCTCCGTCGTCAAAGAAGAGAGCGCAGCTAGCGACCAACCAGTCAATGGAGAAGAGCAGACATCTGAGCCTAGGACGCCTACTCCTCCCAAAACTAATTTGGACTTACCAATTCAAACCCCACGCGAGGCACTGGAGCGAGAGGACGTCCGTCATTTGGATTTGGCGGTGCCTTCCAACTACCCCGAAACTTCTACAAGTACTAGTGAAGAACTGACCAAAACTCCCACTGCTGCCTCCGATCCAACCAAGTTCGATGAGGGGTCGCCTACACCCACTAGCCTTCCCAAAGTCAACCCGATCGACAAATCGCTTGCGGAAGCTATCGAAAACATGCCTAGTAGTCCATCTCCGCTGCCGTCAGCTTTGACTCCAACAGCAGAGAGCAAGATACCGCGACTGGTCGAAACTGGTCGACGTGAGACACCAGCCAGGCCAACACCACTCGTTAGGACACAGTCCCAACCAGGAAATATCGCGAAGCATCTGGGTCCTTTCCCAGGCTCGACCACTGTCAATAACGGGCCTACTAGTCCAAAGCCGAACGCAAACGATTCTTCGAAAGCTTTTGAGCGTATGACTGAGCGACTTGGGCTGGGATTGACCACGCCAAAACAATCCAAGGCCTCATCCCGAATACCTCGTTCAATTCCCTACAAGAGTCAGAACAAAGTATCGAAGATTGCACAACATTTTGAACAACTATCACGAGAGTTTCAAAACCAGCGTATGCGTGAGCGGCGTAACGATCGGGCCAGACAAGTGCGCGCGTTTCCACTTGCTTCTTCTAAACCGGTTGTTGAGGTATACAAGAACGTACATGACGCGGTTCAAGAAAATGAGGATTCTGATGAAGATATACGTACTCCAACCCCTCCACGGGCAAGTCTAGACAATAGCACACTTGGTGATAGCACTCTTACGGAGCGTACTGACGATACAACAACGGCCTCGCAGTCACCAGTCGAAGAGCGTCATTCTCAGGACGCTATGGCTCAACTTCCAAGCAGTGACGAGTCACCCAAGTCTCCAAGTCACTTTCCGTCAGATACAGAGAACGACATTAGTGATACTGAGATTACGCCCGAAGACATCCCTCTGCCCGAAAGTCTCTCGGGATCCAAGCTTCTGGATTTGAGTGATTCGCAGCTAGAGAATTCCCTTGAGCTGCCCAAACACGAGAAGAACACCCTTCTCAAAATCCTTACCAGCTTCTGGTCCGAACGCTCAGCAAGTGGATGGACACCGCTTGAGTATCCTTTCTCGCAGATTGAACATGTTTGGGAGAACTCCGACATCATTATTCGAGAAGACGAGCCTAGCTCCATCATCGCATTGGCGCTGTCGTGCCCAGATTACGTTGCCAAGCGCCAGAATTTTCGCGATGACAACCCAGCGGGCAATGGTGTGATGGAGACGTTTGAAGAATCAGTCGAACGTAATCTCTTACATGAGGAAAACCACAACATCCGCTATAGCTTCACGAATCGCGGAGTCAAAGCGCACTGCAAGATATTCTACGCCCAGTCCTTTGATGCCCTTCGCCGCAAATGCGGTGTAGCAGAACGTTTTGTTGAGTCTCTATCACGCTGTTCGAAGTGGGATTCCAAGGGCGGGAAATCCAAGTCGATCTTTCTGAAGACGCTCGACGACCGCTTCGTCCTCAAGTCACTCTCTCCAGTTGAAGTGCAAGCCTTCTTCAAGTTTGGACCCAACTACTTTGCTTTCACGCATCAAAATCTCTTCAAGTCACTACCTAGTGTTATTGCCAAGATGTTCGGTCTTTTCCAAGTCCAGATCAAGACACCCACAGGTCGAGACTTTGATTGGTACATGCTGGTCATGGAGAATCTGTTCTACGATCGCGAGCCCAACCGCCGTTACGATTTGAAGGGCAGCATGCGCAACCGCAAAATCCAAGCCACGGGCGAACGTGACGAAGTTCTTCTTGATGAAAACCTTGTCGACATCATATATTCTGAAACACCTATTTTCGTCCGTGAGCACACCAAGAAACTACTCAAAGCCAGTGTCTTCAACGACACGCTCTTCCTATCGCAAAACAACGTCATGGATTACTCCCTCATGGCAGGCTTCGACGACACCCAACGCGAGATCATCGTGGGTATTATTGATTGTATCCGTACTTATACTTGGGACAAGAAGCTGGAGAGCTGGATCAAGGACCGCGGCAAGAACAAACCTACCATCACATCACCTCGTGATTATCGTAATAGGTTCAGGATTGCTATGGAGAAGTATATTCTCCAGGCGCCTAACTGCTGGCATCAGTTTAGTGGCAGACTCGTTGGGCAGGGTGTTGATGGACGGAGGGCGTTGGTTGAGGGAAGGAGCAGTATGGAGGGTGGGCATAAGAGAGGTGTTAGTGGTAGCAGCGCAGGAGGAGCGAGCACCGTGAGGGACATGGGACGCACGCTAGCTTTTGGTGGAGATGGCCGTAATGCTCGGAGAGCTTAATGACATTAGATTGATATGGCTACGGGTCGTTTGGCTAGCGCGGCGCTGGGGTAACGAACTCTGATTTCGATCATACTTTTTGTTACAAGCTAAGTTGGAAAGCACGTTCTTCTACAAAAGTATACAACTGCATATTGCTGCCACTATGTTCGCTCTTTCCTCAACCCCTCACCTAATACGCCAACAACACCCTCCACATCTCCCATCTCGTCCTTCCCCTCCCTTTCCACAACATCAGCCAACCCCTGAAACACACTTGCAATCTCCCTGAAAACCTTCGCGTCGCCCTTCCACCCACCTTCCTCTTCAAAACACGCTCCAATCTGATTCATCTCCTCCACCCAACGATACGCTTTCCCCGTGCATCCCACAACACCCCTTTCTGCCTTCTGCCTCGCACCAATATTGTATACATCCATGTACTCGAGTAGCGGGTTAAGCACCCCAAGAGACGACGCAGTAGTAAAAGATTGCAAAGCCAACGCCGTGAAACCTTTCGACAGCGCCGCGAAACAGCATTTTAGGCCTGATGCCGTACCAAGTTCTGCGCCAAGATACCGTGTATTCAGCACTTCTGCCAAATGCGTACCGGATACTGGTGCTGAATGAAGAGGATGCGGACCCGATAAGGGAACACTAGGTCTTTTCCACCCATTTGTTTCTGATTCTGATGGCGATGGTGGTCCGCCAATGATGCCACCGTCGACGAAGCGCAAGCCTGGCGCATTCTGCTCAAATGATCTTGCCATTGTTTTGACTGTTGAGGGGCTAATAGCGTTCAAATCCAGGTAATAAAGTTGTTTTCCTCCTCTATCACGTCCGTTTGCGAGTGCGACTTCCACGCGTTTTGCTGTTGCAATGGCGTCGCGGGGTGGCACGATACTAAGGATATAGTCGCAACTGCGGACTAGTTCTTCGTCTGTGTCAAACAGCTCAATTCCCGCAGACTCGGCACGGGATTTGGTTGCGTCGCTGCGAGCACTGATGTTCGTGATCACGCGGTAGTCATGTGCTTTGAGAAGTTGGGCGATGCCTAGGCCCATTTGGCCGATTGAGACAATAGCTATTGTTGTGGACATTTCGGGATAGATGGCGGAGAGTTGTGAAATTGAAGAGATTGGACTATGGGTTGTGTTGTAGGTGCTGTGAGGACGATGACGAAGTGGGGGATGTATGGTGGGGCGAATGCTGACAGGAGCTTTAACGCAAAGTGGTTGGTGGAGTGTAGGGGCGGACTTCGAAGTTCAAGATCTCATAGCTTTCGGATAAGACTTCTAGCACGATAGTGGCGATATACAGAACTACGATTGCCTTCATTTATCAATATTGTCTGTCATTTCTACTCCGACATCCTCTGCGACTATGTTCAGAGCGTTCCTCCTCTAACGTCCAGATCCTCAGAATGGCTTTAACAGGTTCAAATCATGAGTTTCAACTTGATAGCCATCAGCCTGGTAGCCGCTAGTAAAGTAAGATGCCGCCTGCGTATTTCCCTTCATAGTCCACAGCATCCAGTTGAGAATGGCTTTGCCAAATCGGCCGCCGTTTGCGTCACCTAGTGTACCACCATGGCCAACAGGAATGTTACCCTTCCATGATGGAACACCCTGCGCAAGATTTTTGAAGTCGCGTTCGCCCTTTATTTCGTGTTAGTATACACGCCGGGAATGAAGAGAGGATGAATATGGCAAAACTCACATTCTGGAATGCAATGTCGCCCTGACCACCCAGTACAAAAAGTATGGGCTTCCTCCAGTCTCGGGCTGCGCTGGTGTTTGAAAGCAGACCTGAACTTATCACTCCAATTGTGTCAACGCGGCTATCCCAGATGTTGTCGATAGCCTCAACACCACCACACGAGAATCCTGCCGCCATAATCTTGCTCGCATCGACATTAGCGTACGCGCCCTTTCCAGCGTTGTTGGTGACCCAGTCAATGGCTTGCTTCATGGTTTGCGCATTTGAAGAACCTCCACCATTGGGACCGCCCTCTGCGATAGCCAAAAAGCCATAGCTGGCAATGTTCTGCAAGAGAGCGGAGTTTGAGCGGCCATCAGTGCTGCATGCTCCGTTGCCCCAGACGAGAACAGGAAGCTTTTCGGAACCGGTGTTCTTGGTCGGGTAGTAGATTGTGTGGCCCTGGAGAGAGTTGTCGGTCTTGTATGTGCCGGGTGCGTATGGGCCTGCTCCGCTACCTTGCTGTCGGGCCTCTACGTTGAGTGGAGATGCGACGGCGGTGTCCAGAGTAAGCGCCACGATGGCGAGAGTCAATGTGTACTTCATACTGTTCGAGATGCGATACAATCAAGGTGCTTGCGAGCTGATCTGAAGAGTGATGCGGATGACTGAGTCAAGTACAGAGCAACTTATATAGTCGAGAACGCTCCTGTTTTGAGTATGCTAAGCCCATGCGCATCTTTCTTCATTTTGTCTTAGCTGGTGACAGCACACTCTTTTGAATTTGCAACCGTTTTGATTGCGAAGGGATAAAATCATCGCACCGACTACCAATGAACTCTCCATGCGTATATTCGATCGGTCCTTTTTCGTCTGGGATGACGCCTGAATCTAGCAGAACCCTTCATATAGGTCCAGGATCAAGATGTTTTGTGTGAAAACACAAACCATTTTCTGTTAGGCAAACGTGCGCTAATTGGGCGCGAGTGCTTCATCTTAATATGTTGTGGATGGAAACAGTCTTGGCCGGTGGTTAAGCTCGCTAGCTGGTCACCGGATGAGATCTTCGGGAGCAAAACGCAAGATCTCGCATCGGGTGATTGTGTCGATTGCGGGGAAGAGCATCGCGTATCGATACCCTAATATCGGCTGCTACCCAGGTACAAGCATTGCTTTTAGGCGAGGTGGTGTCGAGTATATTTCCGTTCGCATAAGGAGGGACAGGCTTGGGGAGCTTGTGTCTGGCGGTTACGTCATGGTGCTAGTACGTACTAGCGGAAATCACCGGCACTCGATGATGACGCTGGAAGAATTGAGTGTTCGTGAAGCTGAACCTGGTGTCAAGAAGGGAAGCAGAGGGCAAATCATTCACTCTGAACGCTATGGCGTTACGATCGTTGTCAACTCCTTTACCAGATTGGACTATGAGGCCTCGTAAAACTCATCCGTTCTCAGCCGCCGCTAGATCTTGAATTTCATCTATATGATCTTATAAAACGGCTTCGCCCTACCATTGTATGTACAAGCGTACCGCACCGCTCGTGTACAGAAATGCGAACGGTGGTAGACGCGACTGAAGCTAGGCAATACTTCATAAAGATACACCATTCCCCCTCAAACCGAAATCTCGCTTTCCTCGATTCCATAGCTTCATCTTGTCTCACGTTTTCCCAAGCTCTTTCCCATTTCTTCAAGCCGCTGCCATATCGCGGAACAGCCTACTTATTTGGACAGTATTCATCAACCGCCCTATTCGCACAGTCGCTGCCTCCATGCTGCCAACACTGACTGTCCCAGCTATTGATAGCCAAGAACGTGCTGTAGAAACACTGATCCATGTACTTCGTCTCGTTCTCACAGCGGGGCAAACAGCGAGGACAGTATCTCTTGTAGCCACCAGCTTCAGCCTCACATATCTCCAGCGGTGTTGTTGGAGTGGGTGTGGGTGTCTGGCTAGCGCTCGTTACGGAGCTACTAGTCGCAGATGGCGTTGGGACTATACCATAGTTTTGTTCAATACAGTAAGAATTTCCCGAGATGAGGTTGCAGCCATCTGCTAGACTTGGGTTCTGTTCGACGAGTTAGTATGAGAGAAGTGCGTCTTGCTGCATTTAAGTCGTACGTATGTCTTGAACTGCACTTCTGTGATGCCCCAGTATTCACTTATACCGGCACATGTGTCAGTCTCTGTAGCGACTTGCCACCATGTGCAGTCCGAGATGGTATCTGGAGATGCGGTAGTCGGAGGGTCGGTTTCGTATGCTCCGATAAGCAGCGGAAGCAGGGCGAGGCCAAGAGTGAATGAAGTTACCATGATGCGTAATTGATAGTTGTAAGATTTGCTCTGAACTAATAGGAGGACGAGTAGGATGCGTCCAGAAGTGTGGAAGACGGAATCGCTTTATACAATTGAGAGACATGTACTCAGAGTTGGTGGCCTTACGCGTAGACAGTGAGCTGCCCGTGCGGTATCTTAGCCGCACAACACATGCTAGGCTACCATCGAGGCCGATGAACAAGCACCTGGAAAGTGCTATGCAAAAAACCGTTTTCTATGCAAAAAGAGGAAAGTTTGCCGGATCGGGTAGTTAGATGCCTAGCAGGAACAATGAACCCACATGGTCACGGCTCCTTGGATGCCTGATGGTCAGGAAAATATATGTTCTAGACATGAGAAATGTAGAAGGCCTCGAAAGCCTTAGATTTTGTGCCATTGGAACTGACATAAAGCAGCTGTGGATAAGGCGGCAAACGCTACTGATGATCCTCATTTCACTAGGCCTAGCGTACAGCGACGGCGTCACTTCCAATGCCAGCCTAGAGATTTCGAACTGTTCAAAAGTGCTCCATCCAATTATCATATCAGATTTTTGCTACAGTGGCAATCACAAAAGAGCTGTTAGCCAGCATGATCAATTCCATCAGCATGTCGTAAGACCGTCGTCCATCCTCCGTCTATCTAGACCCCACCGCGCCGTGTCCCACCAGTCTTCCTCCAAGTCAGCATTCCCAAGGCCAAACTCGCAAACCAAAACACCACATTCAAGAAACCAAAAGCCTGCACAGCATTCCATCTGCTGCATGATCCATTCTGCAAACCCATCTCATTCCAAGCCCAGGTACTGCCACAAGACATAGCATTCGTGTACCAATCTTGCATTAAGCCAAACATAGCGCACCATGCGCTGCAGAAGAGAACATCGCCACCTATATTCACAATATGCGAAGTAGTGGGAAGAAGCCAGATCAGCGATACGATAATCGATACAATGGCTACGATGACGCTGTAAATGAGGCGGCCGTACGAGCCGCTATGGTCCTTGTGCTGTTGGTGATACAGGAGGTAAGCTGTTATGGCGAGTACGACGGCTGCACAGACAAATTGCGCAAAGCGCAAGGCCATGGAGATGAGCCGGAAGATGATCATTGTGCTTTGTCCGAGAACGATGGCTTGAACCTGTTGTCTTGTAGGTGATGTTGAGGTTTGAGGTGGACGGTAGTCAGCGAGATCGTTGGAGGCGTTGTCATTCAAGTTTTGCAGAAGACGTATAATCTCTACATTTCGCCCGCAGATTGCAGACCATTTGCCTTGTACGATCAGCTTCGATCGCAGAGCCAAACGCACCCACTCGAAATTGATCGGTGACTACGTGTGAATGTAGGATGAAGCTAAAGTTTAGTGCTGTTGCTTCCATTCACATAGCCTTGGACCAATGACTTTCGTCTGACATCTGTGATATTTGACGTACCATCAAACTACCGATATAGCACTCATACCTGGGGTGAAATCATTATTCCAACGCGTCATAAATGCCCTTCTCCGCCATGAACCACGCAGGAATGACTTTGGGATCCCCATTGGGCAACACTTGCGATGCGAGCATTCCCGCAATCCCCTTCTCTCTATCAACCCACCAGAAACAATTACACAGACCCATCCACCACAGCGTGTTTGCCCCACGACCAGACGGGCCAGGCTCGATAGTGATGAAGCCGCCAAAGCCCCAACCTTGAGGAGGGTTGCCAGGCTGAGGATACATATCCGCGGCTTGATTGACCAGCGAAGGGTCTGCAGGTGGGACATTGGCGCGTGCGAAATCGGGTTGAGAGGGAATTTGGTTTTCCCACATGAGATCCACTGACTCCTTCTTGAGGATGAGGTTCTGTGTTTGTGGGTTTGTTCCATCGTTCAACAGAGCAGCAAGAATTTTTATGTACTCGCTTGGCCTCGACCAAAGTCCTGCACCACCAGATTGGAGGAAATCTTTTTGGTTTTCCTTAGCGCAGGAAAGTGGACCGTTGTAAAGATGTTCGCGTTTCTTGAGCGTACCGTCGGTGTCGCGTTGGTGCATATGTGCTAGGTTCTTTTGAGCTTCTTTGGAAGGAAACATGGATGCGCCCTCTGTGGCGATGCCCACGGGCGTGAAGATGTGCTCTTGGAAGTATTCGCCCAGCGTTTGACCAGTAACGCGTTCGAGAACGATACCTGCCCAGTCCATATTAATGCCGTATTCCCACATGCTACCTGGCTGGTTCACCATCTTCGAGTCAAGGATATCGCGCTTGTTGCCGCTCCTCCCTTCGATGCCGTCCGCTTGGAGCCTCGGGTCAGTGAATGCGTATCCAAATCCTGCTGTATGGCTCAACAGCATGCGCATCGTGACACTCTTCTCTTGCTCGACGCCGTTAACACCATCGGCATACACCTTCTTTTCAGATAGTTCCGGCACGGTTTTCTTGATGAATTCAGCATCATCCAAAGGAACCTTGCCTTGCTCAACAAGCTGCAGCAGAGCAATGGCAGTGACGAGTTTTGTACACGATGCAATCCAGAATACCGTACTCTGAGTGTCTATGGGCTCACTGGAGTCCAAACCCAGTGTACCCGAAGCATGTTCGACAAGTGTTTTGCCCGATTTGTCGATGGCGTGGAAGGCAAGACCAGGTGATCCATCCTTGACAAAATGATCTAATGTGCCCTTGATACCTTCGACAGCCTTGGTGGAAAGAGGCATGATAGAATGGAGTTGTGTTCAAATGGTGATGTGAGAAATTGAGTACAGAGAAGTATAGACATGATACGTGTGTCTCTTATAGCAGATTGTACCATGTACCGAGGGTAATAATGTTCCATTTCCTGTATTAGGCATGCTACGCTGCATCAAGACAAGAGTGGATAAAGTGCGCAACTCATTGTGCGAGAGTAATGCCAAGGGTCATACGAGAGACCAATGACAGGTGATAAGCACGGATGACCGAGAAGAGCGAAGAGTTAGAACGCTGTGTTATTGATATTGGACCTATCGGTCGTTTGTGCAGTCATGGCGGACGACTCTCGCTCGACCGCGCTACCCCGCAGCGGGGTATCAAGTCCGTTGTTCATAGAGTAGTGCGAATGCGAGGCGGAGAATAGGGCGCCAAGGATACGCGTCTACCGTTTTATCACATGATGAGACCTCCGAGCCAGCTCTTATCTTGCTCCTTGTGGATAGCATTGGCTACCAGCTTATACACTCTACAGTTCATGTGTTCAACGCTCGCTGGTGATTCAAGATAGTCAGAATCCGGAGATGTGGACGAGTGTCTGTATGAACACCAGCGCACATCGAAACTTGGCAATCTGACGGTGCGTTCAGCCTCGCTTTAGTGCTGACTTCAGCTCTTTCAGAGCAGCCATGACCAGAGGAACAGCAACAGGACCTAATAAGGGTAGGTACACAGCGACTTTGTGCTCATCGGGAAAATAGACCTGACCGACCATGGAACGTTCGAAGAAAGCTTTTTCAGCCTCCACTTCTGCAGCGCGGGCGTGTTCTAGAGCGCTCGAGAAACGACCATCTCGAAGGTAGTCACAAGCTTGTTGTAGATGTACGATAGTCTCCTGCGTAGAATGGGCAACGTTATCCGGGACTGGGATAGAAGGAAGCTTCTGGTACACTTGAGCTAGAGCGCCCAGAGTAGAAGAAGCCGAGAAGATGAGTGATGCAGCTCGGACGCGTTCGAGGGTTGAAATGCGAAGAGGCAACGAAGCCGGGCTCTGAGGCAAACCAAACAGCGATATGAGTTGATTTGAGAACGTGTGCATTGCTGGAGCAAGCATCGCCTCAGTCAAAGCAGGCGGGGTGTTTGCTTCGCCCTCCAAGTTGAGAATATGTACGCCACCCCATTGCGGGATCAACCAGCTGTTCCCAGCGTTCTCCCTGACCAAGAGAGGTGACTGTGAGTGATCGGATACATATAAAATAAAGTTGACCGTGGGCCCCTCGCCGATGCTGGGACTGAGAGGCCACTCGGCAGCGTTGACGAAACCACTGAGATCCTCCTTGCGAAGCGTCCATGCCTTTGTGCTTTCATCATATTCTGGCTGGCGAACAGAAGGGGCAAAGGTCGCGTAGAGCTGTACTTGTGTGTCAACGGTGAAGTTGCTGATGGCGGAGAAGGCTTCCAGAAGAGGGCTCATGTAAGTTTGAAGTGCAGTCTCAATGTCCCACTGAGAAGGGGCGTACGAAGGGCTGAACAGGGAGAAAGTCAGGTGGTATGTTGGAGCATACTTCAGAGCGCGAGTAGACTGGCGTTGGAGCTCTGCGGACATGTCTGGAGAGAGCGTCTTGACCTTGGCAGCATGCGCGCCGGATTTAGCCGACAAGACATGCGCCAGCTGTGCCTGCTCCTCAGCAAATATATCGTGTAGTTGCTGGGCGAGGAACGTAGCCAGGCTGGAGCCAGTAGACGACTGCGAAGGGATCTGGTTCGAAGAGTAGTATACGTCTAGGGTTGGGGAATATGGCTGGAGGTGCGACCGAGGCGTGGCACCCGTTTCGACCGGTATCAGTCGCACAACCAAAGCGACGTCCTTGTCATCGCTATGGATGCTTGTTCCGTCACTAATGACTTGTTGCGAGACGTTTGGTTGCAGTGGAGAGTCGGCGAGCATCAATCGGAGATGGTGGGCGGAAAAGTCGTTGATATCATCGAGGGCGTGCTGGGTGGTGCGAAGCAGGTGTTGCGCATCCGCAGAAGGCATCGGGGCTTCGACTGCTATCCGCAGAGGGAAGACTGGCTTACAGACCTGCTATGGTGTTAGCCCATGTTACAGCCAGGGTGCCCAGCTGGTGCCATTTCTTACCTTGCCCTCAGCCCAGTCCGTCATCTCCTGTAGCGGCAGGTCCGCCCTGTAAATGGCCGTTGTTTTCAGCCATATTGGAAGGCCCAGAAACACGACTACAGCCCAAAAGGAGAAGATGGATAGGCGTCGCAGCCATAAGCTCTCTTTCGTCTCTGGAGGAGGCTGCTTGGGTGATTTTGCGGCAGCAATCGGCGTCGAAGAAGACAGAGAGACCGTCTGCTTCATCTCGTCCGCCAGCGGCGCGTCATTGTCATTCGGTGCCGCCATGATGCGGTAGACGTGTTCGTTGCTGTCACTTCGGGCCATGTCGCGCTACAACGCGTGCTCCGTGCGCATTGCCGATCTAGCTTCTGTCCGCCTTGAACGCCCTCCTCCAGATGCTGTTCTCTCCCTACCACAGCGGCGCAACACTCTCGACCTATTTCCGCCTTGCTCAGTCAAACGAGTTTCGACATGTTGTACTCACATCTAGAAACTCGATCATCACACTTGTATTACATTTCTGGCTCTTCTAAATGTTGCTTTGTGTAATCAGGCTTGGCTTCTTCAGCGCAGTTTGTACCTTCGTTTTATTACGCCCTGAAATATCTCAGCGAGAACGTGGTCCAGCCTGCATGATTACCTCCTCCATCTCTGATATACATTGCGTGACCCGCCTAAATCGACAATCCGTCGGTGTTCAGAATTCTTCACGACTGAGAATCTCAGCCCTTGTCCAGCCACAGTACAACCTTCGATCTGCGAAATGACCACCAGCCTGGTCCCCGGTTTCTATCGCTTCTTCTTCACGTGGCTTGACCCCATCGTCGCTATTCATGCCGCCTGCAACGACTTCGTGGACCAAGAATGGGTTATGAGTTACTGATGGGACTAACTCTTCTCTCACGCAGCCTTCTCCGAGCAACCGACGACCTGAAAGTCTGGAGATACATACAAGCTGCCACCTTGCTCGTTGATGTTGCATCCATTGACTCGGCCTTTGATGCATTTAGTGTACAGAATCAACTGCAGCCTGCGTCGTGGCGCGGTGAAGATTGGGGTACTGTTTTGATTATAGCCATTGTGACTCCCTTGAGAGTCGCATTTTTGGCTGGGATAGGATTCAAGAGGCATGCAGACAAAGACAATCAAATGATCGACAGAAGATGTGTTACTCTGATTGTAACATCCGAGGCATAATTAAAGGTCGAGGAGGGTTGGTGATCTGGACCCCATAAAAAGGAAGCAGTGGTCAAGTGGACCCGAGATGCAGTGCAATTGAGTTTCAGCTTATCCCAGGTGCTTTCTAGCGTACAGCCTCTTGACGCTTGTCGAGAAGTCAGGAGGCACGTTCAAGACGCGTCGGACTCAGTGTTTATAGCTGTCAGTCTAGTGTTTCTCGAAAATGACGTGACCTCTAATCGTTCACCTACAATGGTTCACGCGTGAACGCTTGGTCCGTGCATGTCAATCAGGAAACACAGGTACTACCCAGTCTTCATGTCGACAAACTCGTTCCATCCAGGAGTCGCCTGATTGTGTAGTAGAGCAGTACCTCAGGTCGATTCCTTACAGTTTATAATCGGTGTTTCAGGGACGCATGCGATCGAGGTGGTCCAGCAAGGGTCAGGGCACCGAGAGGTTGGATCGACGCTCTGCCCCGCCAGCTAGTCTACTTCCAGCCACTAACGGTCCGTGCTATGCGGGGTTGCATGTCTGGGGGAGGAAGCTCGACAGACCGTGACGCGTTGGTCGTCAGTTGCTCACGAGACTATAGTAGCTACCCCTCTCAGCTGAGGCAGCTTCGCTCCTTCCCACTGCTTCCTCACACGACAATTTCATGCTCACTCCTACAACCTACTCAATTCATCTCAATCCACATTCTACATCAAATCATTCACAATGAGTGCAATCGCTGACAGCACCGAAGGCCCTGTCGAGCAGGTCAAGGTGCTGTTTGCCCTGTTCCCGGGCTACAACACGCTCGACGTGGCAGGTCCGCTCGAGGTTCTGAGTCGCTCCCTCCAGGACGCCAAGGACAAGTGTCAGTCAAACACTCACTCAATTGATCCTTCGTTGACACATTGTAGCCAGCAAGGCCTTCAACTGCCAATTCGTCGGCACTGCAGCTGCCATGACCTCCGTTCAGGGCCTCACCATCAAGGCAGACATGGACTATGAGGTGAGTCTACATGTACGGTGCCTCGGAACTGACGCTGACATCAATCCTAGGACGCCAACAACGAGCTTGAGGACTTTGACGTTGTCATCGTTCCCGGTGGTGAGGGTGTCTTTGAGGTCCTCAAGAACAAGTCTGAGCCTCTTGGACTCCTCACCAAGTACGTTGAGCTTCAAGAGAAGAGCCCCAGCAAAGAGCGTACCATCCTTGCCATCGACGTCGGTGCCCTACTTCTTGCTCAGCAAGGTATGCTCGAAGGCCTTGCCGCTACAACCCACCCAGACTACTACGTCCGTCTCGAGACAATCTGTCAAGACGCGGCTAGGCGAGACATGTCCGAGCGTACGGACGTCATGGAGGAGCGTTATGTAGTCAACAACGCCCGCTTCGACTTGGGCGAGAACCCCGACGACAACCCGTAAGTGGAGTCTGAATTGCGCTGGCATGCATCGCTGACAATCCTAGGTACATCATCAAGAAGTCGCGTGAGCCACCAAGCGCTCCCGAGGGCACCAACACCGGACATGCCCGTAGGAAGTCGATTGCTCGCAAGGGAAGCAACGCCTGGCGTGACTCTCGTCGCCGCGAGTCTATCGCTAGGCGTGCTTCCATGCCTCTGGGCGGTATGCGTGTTATCACCACCGGTGGTGTGACTGCTGGGCTCGATGCCAGCCTCTACTTGGTGGGTTCTTTGGCTTCCCACGACTCGGCCCTGGAGGTCGCTCGTGCTATGCAGTATTCTTGGGTCAAGGGTGTTACGGTCGACGCGATCGATGTTTGAGCTACGGCTCCCGCGCGACAAGCGAAGGCGTTTACGATGAAAGGGTTGAACAGTGATCGAATCGGTCATCTGAAACATGTCGGGAATCTTAAAGATTTACCACGACGAATCGTGTGAGGATTCAATGAGGAGTATGTAAAGAATCAAGAAATTCTGAAAGTCGTACCTGGTGGGGTGATGTGTAGTGAGAGATGTCGACAGGGAGATGTGCCGACGCGCAGCTCAGGCGTCTCCACAGCTCCACTGCAGGCGGGTAACCGTGCTTCGCTGGTGTTAGCGTGCGCAGGCCAAACGTCCTACACTACGGCATACGAAGTATGCAATTGTCACCTCTCTTTGCATCAGCTTACGCGCAGCACTTGGAATTTCATCGTCCGTCATCTCACATAAAGTGTTGCATTGCGGCATTGGTCCTTTTAGGCGCATTCCCATATGTCCAAACTGGAAGGACACGTTCCGCACTACTAGGCGTCACGTCCGCCGCTCGTGTACGTCGTTCGTTCGCCGGTGGCAGATCGAACCTCTCTCTTGTTTTTGTGGGTACAGTGCGACTGATACAAGAGCAGTCATGTGCGTGCTACGAGAAAGCCTACACTCCATTGATTGCCGACCTACGATCTGGTTACAGTGATCCACAAAGAACATACCCACGGACATGACTTGTTGAGCTCGATGCCTCTCACTCCAAAGCTTCGATAGGCATACCGATCTACTCTTCTTTCCCCAATCTACTGCGCCACTGTATAAACCCAAGGTACAGGACGACTCTTCTGAGCCGGTCATTCGCCAAGTACCGTCTTGCTACCGAGGGCGATCTCGACATGAAATGGAGAACGAGCACTTCAAAGTCACCTCTCACCCTCGACACGCGAAAGAACCGACGAAGGCCGCTTTTCCAACCAACAAAGACGGTAGGCAGAATGAACCACTTTCCTAAAGCACTGCAACATCTGGTAAGCAAGCATGCTTACGCTCGTCACTATTCTTCTACTCCCGGCTCCGGCAGTGTCAGAGCGTGTGAACATAAGATATTATGGAGAATCAGAATGTACAGGCCAACGAGTCCAAACAACAAGCATTGCACAACAAGAGATCAAGCTGTTGCATGGGGTACTCTACCCGACATCCGCTGCTGGCCAATGACAGCCAGTTAGTGACGTACTCGCTTAGACCTGCCTCTATGTCTAAGCATCTTCCCCAAAGCAACCGCCATGTCTTGGCCAAGACGAACCTAGGCAAGCCGCAAATGTCGCAACACATGGGCACGATGATTGGACGATATGCGTCCATCACGTCTTCTTTACGACTGGAGTGTCTTGGCTTCTGCAGGCGAATCTGTGCATGCGTGCCCAGGAATAATCTCTGAAGGAATATAACTGTCGGGCTATTCCAATCTCAACCCAGCTTCCCTATGCCACAGCAACGTGTACGAGTAACCAGTATCGCCAATGCCAATCCAGTCTCTCATAAGCTCACTTCGGCGGCGTAGCCGTCGCGCCTCGCCTTCTCCAGCTCATCTGCAAGCAAATACCCAAAAGATCGAATGGCGTCTTTTGGACGTCTTCTCACGCATGTGGGATCTGGGCTTCACTGCTTTCGGGGGCCCGCCCGTGCATTTCCAGATTTTGCATCGGAGATTCGTCGAGGGGTTGGGGTTCCAGGGTGGAAGTAAATGGTTAGATGAACAGACTGTAAGTGTATAACGAACAGTGTGATTGATATCATTTCCAGCGTTGCAAGTAGGCAGTATGAGAAAGAGCTGGTGGCGCTTGACGAGTGCGGATGAGAAGCAAAAGGCGAAGACGAAGAGACATCTTTCTCACCTACTTTTATCCCATTCACCAGAGAGTATACACTGCTGATATTCCTGATCATAGTACCAAGAGCTCTTCGCAATATGTCAGGCTCTCCCCGGCCCGGCCTCAACTAAAATGTGTTTCTGCATCGCCCTCCTACATGCAGGCATCCTCTCCGCAGTCTTCGCCTTCCTTCTCTGGAGCCTTCCCGGCGCAATCGGTATGTATGGGCTTTCCCTCGGCGTACAGAAGATGCCGGAACGTCTCCCTCCCATTGTATACGCCCTGCTCTCCGGACTGAACGCCAGTACCGTTGGCATCATCGCACTAGCGGCCGTTCAATTATCTGAGAAGGCCATCAAAGACCGTCTTACACGCATTCTAGTGATCTTTGGTGGCTGTGCGGGTCTGTGTTACAATGCGCTATGGTATTTCCCTGTATTAATCGTCATTGGTGGTCTTTCAACTGTGATTTGGGATGTTTGGCTGAGACAGCGTGTGGGTAAGATAAAGGCTGCGTATCTTGCTAAAAGGAGGAGAGCGAGGGACGAACAAGGTGATGCAGAGGAGGTTCAGACTACAACACAGAGCATCCCTATTGAGCTTACTCGTCCGGAAGCTGTGAAGAGGAGACAGAGGGCGGGAAGCTCAACAGATCGGATTGTGCCTGAGCGAGAAGAGGCGGGAAGGAGTCATGCTGGTGAACACCCAGTTGTTAATGATGTGGCTGCGAAGAATGATGCCGAGACCGTTGCACCTGTGGCGGATGTCAAGACGCATAACATTTCTGTAAAGGTTGGCGTGTCACTAATCGTGGGCTTCCTGATCTCCTTCGTTGTCATTATGGTTGTCCGCGGTACGGTATCCAGCGGCCGGTCATTCAATCTCTTCTCCAACATGTAGGTTCATCATAAAGCTCCCCAGAGTTCCAACTAATCGCACCGGATAGGTATCTCGCCGGCACCATCATCTTCGGTGGCGGCCCTGTAGTAATTCCCCTCCTGCGCTCTTATGTCGTAGACCCAGGCTGGGTTTCACCACGGGACTTCCTCCTTGGCTTGGCTATTATCCAAGCTTTCCCTGGCCCCAATTTCAATTTCGCAGTGTACCTCGGCGCTCTGAGCATCGCTTCAGCACCCGGTTCTACGCCAACCATTGTAGGCGCCATTCTTGGTTTCATCGGCATCTTCTTCCCCGGCATTGTGCTAGCAGTCGGCGTGCAGTCTATTTGGCAGGTCATGCGCACCAAAGCATGGGTACTCAGTCTTTTGAGGGGCATCAATGCAACGGCTGTAGGACTAGTCTTCACGGCTGTTTACAGGCTTTGGGAGATTGGTTACTTGACGCCAGAAAGCAGTAATGGAAGGAGTTTGGCGGACGAGCCGTGGTGGGTAGTCGTGGCTGCCTTGGCCTACGCGGAAACGGCTTGGTTCGGGGTCCCACCTGCTGTGGCGATCATCGTTGGTGCTATTCTGGGTCTGGGTTGGTATGGAGCCGTAGGGCACTGAAAATTTTGACAATATATATTGGCCTTGGAAAGCAAAACGCCAACAAAAGCAATACGGTCTTATGGGTATGTGGTCACAGCACCCATTCAGCTCTTACACCAACTAACAAACACCAGTCTAGTGGTATGATGTACGTATTACTCAGTCTCAAGACGATTGTTCATCATCTAACATCTCCTTAGTCTCGCTTAGGGACGTTCTATCAGAACACAAACCCAAGCACAACTTGCGAGAGGCCCCGCGTTCGAGTCGCGGTAAGACCCGTTTTTTTGCCCTTGTGGCATACGGGCAATGCTCCAGTCTTTTTGCTGTATGCTAGCTCTTTAAGTTTATATAACAGACATTGTTCTTAATGCAGGTAGCTATTATCTGGTGCATCTAGATGTGTACATTGACGTCTTGCGTTACACAGTAGTAGGTCGAGTCACAACCTCAGACTTTTTTTTTTAAAACAGATAAGTTGCCGTATTTGTTTTATAAAAGGGATTCTATGAACTCTTAAATCTTCGGGGGTGGAGAGTAGTCACTTTATCAGAGACTATATTGCGCTGCTCGACCGCTTTGTGGGATCTGCTTCAAGTACAGACAACGATCTGCCTTTTCGAATGAAGTTTGACAATAATCGTATCCTGGTCGTAGAAGATGAGGCAATGGATACGATGCGATTGCGCACTATTCTGACTATCTGTTGTACAAGTGCTAGCTACAGCTCATTCCGAAGGAGATGAGTAGGGGAGATGCAACCCAATAAAAGGACCTCAACCAGCCAGCAAGAAGGAAATATCAACAACGCTCAACAAACGCCGAACCAAAAATCCCAAACAGTTTGTAATCGCTCCAGGCACCGAAGCCAGCCATCTAAAAAGAGAAGACCCTCACTAGAACGCCATGACCTGTCAATCACCCCGAAGGAAAGTTGTAACCACCACGACCACGAAATGACATCATACTGCCTCTGAAGACAGGAGTCAACACCAGGCCATCAGCGTTTAGCCTACTTGTAGTATCCTCCATTTGGCGCGGACGTCGACGTGTTCGGATCGTAGATCTGACCGCCGCCATTGTGAATTATGGGTGGCTTGCTGTACGCTTTGCTGCGTGACGAGCTACCTGAGTTTGTGTATAGACTCGAGGAAGCGACAGAGTAGGCTGCAGGTATGTTAGACTCATCTTTGAGGCATGCTCTGATAGGAGCAGGCAGCGTACATGTGGATGAAGTCGAGGGGCGGGATGCATAGGCGCCCTTTCCCTGACCGTAGGAGCCGTAAGACGAGCTCGACGACATCGTTGATTGGTGTTGAGCGACTTGGAGGCGTTCAGTGACCAGTGACGATCAGGAGGATGGGATGAGTGATTGTCGTATAGAATGTTGTTGACGGCGGTGAAGCTGGATTTGGGTATATACGAGACGGTAAGGGCGTATCGTGGATGTGACGAAGGTGTACTGTTGATTGAAGACCACACAAGAACAGCTGACTCTTTCAAAGATGCTTGATATGACTGTAGACTGAACAATTGTTTGATGGATTGACTGATAGAGAGAAGAAGGAAAGCAATCACCAACCTTACAACTATTTATTCCAGGCAGACAAAACCTGAGGCCGCCACTCTACAAGACTCACCTTTCGTACTATTGACTATTGTTCCGCTGGCATCGGAGCTCTCCTACGCTCAATGTAACGCCGTTGCCTGGATAGCTGGGCCAGGCGCGTGAACGACGTGGATGACTGCGCGATTGCGATGATTCACACGCGTGGCTATGTTCCCTTGGGACGGGTCCTGAGGCAGGACACGCGTAGGGAGCGAATCAGCGATTAGGCAGCCCTTTTTGGCACCTGCTCGATCTGCCAAGAAGAAGAGTCATCGCCGGTGTGTGTGTGAGTTCACCGAAGAAACCAGTTCGGTCGGGGTGAGCTAAAGCCGCGTTGCGGCTAGAAAGGGCGGAGTCAATGACTTGGGTGATGAGTAGGGTGGTTGTGTTACGCCGTCTTCTCCTGCATAGCACGTCAAGCAGGACGAACGTATGGGAAGGCAGCAAGGAATCAGTCCGAGACGCGCTATCAAGTGACGTGCACAGAGCCCCAGGCGACAGCGATGCCAGGAATGGATAATGACAAAGCGGATAAACTGGTGAACAAAAAAGTCACTGGTGCCGAAAGAAGAATGGGTGTGGGGGCTGAGGGAAAGATGGATGCCTGGAGCCATTGGCAGAATTGCGAAGTGTTCACCGCAATACCACATCATAGGAGTATATCGACGGCATCCAAAAGATGGGAGAAATGCGCGTATGATTGAGAAAAAACAAGAGACGAAGAGGCAAAGGGCGGTGTTGTGAGATACGGGGGAAGGCGCAGTCGAAGGTCGTTGATGCACGGCGGGGTCGCTGGGCTACGAATGGCAATCAACCTGGCCAAGGCTGCTGCCAGGCTTAACGCCATTCACGTGGCAAATTATCATTGCTAACTCGAAAGAGACATTTATGAAGGTGGCAATTGCGCGGCTGCAATTGCGCAGGCGCGCATGTTGTTCTGAGGTTTGCCAGCGCATAGCCGGTGAACCGCTGTAGAAGTCCTGAACGGGAGGCGCAAGACCGAACGTCTCGCCAACTATGCGGCACATACACAGAACAGTGGGCTGTGTAGATTGTGTATTTCGTTTTGCCAGTGTGTAGTCAGCGAGAAAGTGGAGGCATAGCATCCTACGCCTGCATTCCGGATTGCTCGTCAAGCCAGGGAAGTGTCATGCGGACCGATGGGGTTAACATCGCCGATGGAGTTAAGATGATCATCAACTGGTATCCGAATGCATTTGGGTATCGCTATATCCGCTCCTTCAATCTCCCCGTCTAATCGTACAGTTTTAAGACACCATTCAAGTCACCAGCAACCACCTTACTTGTCTCCCTAGGGTGCCACTGTACTGACAGCACAGGCGCATCGCTCGCCGCAATCTTGTGATACATCTTGCACGTCTTCCAGTCCCAGAAACACAGGTAGCCTCCACTGTCGCCGGAGCTGATGAACTGCCCATCAGGACTGATCGCCACATCTGGCGCATACCCAGCCACGTTGTGCCCTCGATAACTCTTCTTTCGGTTTTGTCGGAAGCGGTCCGTAGAGCTGTATACGGTGATTTGGTTGTCGGACGACTGGAAGGCAACGTATTTGCCTGACGGATGTGGTGAGGAGCGGACCATAGAGAACATGTAAGGTTCGGCGATGAATTTGATGGGTACAGGAATACCGTATTCCCAAGCGCGCAAGGACTTATCGTCTGATGTGGTGATGAAACGGCGGTTCTCATCGCAGAAGGTAATAGTATTGACAGGTCCGAGATGGTGGTCGTATTCTTGCACCATCTCTCCGCTTCTTGTGTCGTATTGTAGGATCTTCTTGTCGCTCATACCGGCCAGGAACTCGTGTGGTGTACTGGGGTTGATGCGCACGACATGCGGTGTCTTTCCAGTTGTAAACTTGTTCAAGCACTTTCCAGTCTCTGTGTCCCATAGCTTCATATAACGATCGTAACTGGCTGATACAAATTGTGTACCACTGGGATTGAAGTCAATGTCAACCACCGACTTGGTGTGGCCCGAGTAGGTTCGCAGAAGCTCGCGTTGGTGGTACACGTCCCATAGCGCGATCTTCGAATCGGCTGAAGCGGAGAGTAGAAGATGACCGCTGTCAGGTATGAAGCGCACTTGGGTAATCGACTTGGTGTGGTATTTGTAGGTGTGAATGAGCTTCTTCGGTATGAAGCTCTTAGGCTCGTAATCGCCGGTAAGTTTGATATCGAGATCCGTGGGGATATGCATATACGTCCGTCCTTGGTAGTCGTATTGCTGGCTGCCGACAAACTCGCTCGTCTCGCCTTCGGTTTCGGTATCGCGGTAGTCCGTGCCAGCAAGCTTCTTTTGCACGGGTGCAGCGTTGTCGACAATCTCGTCTTCCTCGTAGACTATCTCCACTTCGACATCCGATCCAAACTCGTCATCTGAGGCAGCGTCTGGCCTTTCTTCCTCATACTTCGCCCAGGGTCCCTTGTATGCGCCAGCGCCAGTTACAACACTCGAGTCGCCCTTGCCTTCTCGCTTCCTTTTCTTCGATCCCGCGCCTGATTCGATCGCACGCTGGCCTTGACGGAAAGTATGGTCGCTGATGTATGTCTCCGCAGCGAATCCGGTTGGCACGCGGCCTGAGCCTCCGGCTGCCATGGTAAATGTTTTTGGAGGCCGGAATAGGGTCGCGGCGCGTTGGGATCCCGGCGAAGACTCCGATATTGGGGGTGGGAAAGACTAAGATGTGGAACGCGAGGAGTGACAAGTACGGTGTTGAAGTTGGAAGCTCCCAACTCACTAGAAAATGTGGGTGACGACGCACGGACCATATTCAACTATGTAATGCGTAGGGTGCGCAGTGTTACATGTGAAAACTGGGTTCCATTCACGAGAGCTAACATAACGCTATCATACCCCATCAGGACGTAAAGTCGTTTAATCCTTTCCTGTATGCGCTTCCTGCCGCCAAACCCATTGCCTCGGGTATTCCACATTATCTCAACCCAACAACCATCCATGTCCTCCCGCTAGCAATATGCGTACGCGTGGCTCGTCTATCTGAGCCGGATATCAAGTGCATCTATCCGCCGTTCTCTAACCGCTGTTGGATTCGTGCCTCGAGGTTCACTGCAACCAGCATAGCCACAAAGATCCCCACAATCAAAACGAAGGGCGTGATCCCCACCTAGTGAGACTCGTCACGGATGAGGGCGACAATCATGCTGTAGAGGTAGAAGAAGAACATGAGCAGGTGGAAACCCAGCTTGATGAAGGATTCCTGCACGCGTGTTAGTCTGGCTTCCTGGACTCAGTATATCCTCTTATCGTACCTTCTTGTGCACGTTGAGCTTCCTGAAGATCTCCGTCGCGTCCAAAAGATGCTGGTTCTCAAAGATCCTGTTATTGTCAGCATTGTCCTATTTCCATGCCATAGCCCTGGTTTGTGACGTACTTCTTTCCATTCCAGGCCAATAGAGGCAGGTTCAGAATCAGCGCAATCCAGTATCCGTTGATGAGGAACAGGAAGGTCAGGAAGGCGTGGACAGCGGCTTCGGGGATGATGTAGGTGTTCAGGCGGTTACAGAGATCGATGGGGTTGATGTAGTCGCTGGCGCAAAATTAGCATGTGCTGATCAAGGTACAGGTTGTGTCGCAAAGAAGGCTATGCCATGGGGCCGTATGCCTGGGGCTCACTTACCATTCCAGATCGCTGTACATGATAGTAAAGAAGACTTGTAGGAACAGGTTGACGGCGTTTATCAGCACCGCCAACAGGTACAACCATGCTTCGCCAGTCATTGTGATAGAGTCGTGTGCTGCGTAGCACGGCTATAGCGTATGTAAAAGGTGGAGGATAGACTAGCTATATCGCCAGTAGGCTGCTGTCTGCGAATGAACAGATAGACGACAGATGTTCAGGACTCGGATGCAGTCGTGTGTTTGCAGGCTGCCGAGCTAGAACGCGGGAAGCTAGCTTGTGCGCGGGGCCTAGCTAGAAGTTGCGATGACGTGGGTGGGTGGTGGATCTGCACGACCGTATGGCGATGATAGAATCCTGAGGAGCAACGGCGGCTAGCAAGGTCGTTCAAATTCTGGCGAGAGTTGGGCAAAGATGTTTGGATGACGTTGAGGCGGAGACACGATTGCTTCCCTGGACAGCAGGCAGGCACCGTTAGCGTCATTCGCCTCGCTTGCAGGTGTGCGATGAGCGGGCCAACATCGTCCGACCGAAGCTTAACGCAAGATTGATCATTTCACAGTGATTCAGACTGTTCGCCGAAACGAAACAAAACGAAACATCATGCGCAGACACATCAATTCCAGCCATGTGTACTGCTACACAGGTTATCACGATCAATGCTGTGAAAACAGTCCACCACATCTGTCAATTGCCAAGTAGAGCAACGCCCCATTTCTTGACCCACGCCACGCAACCCATTAGTGATGGTGGTATCGTGAAGCTATGTGTGATCCCATATTTCCCAACTTTTATTCTAAGCAGCTGCTTTCGCTTCGCCATTCGTCTCTCCGTTTGTGGTTCCCGGCATCTGTACTGGACCGCCGGGCGAGTCTGGTAGTCGCGCAGTCAAAACCTCTACGCCATCCTCGGTCACGAGTAGGGTGTGTTCTGTATAGTGTCAGTTCCTGAAAGGATATTTGGACGAATGGGTGAGAACTCACCAAATTGCGCAGTCAGAGAGCCATCTTGGGTCACACTTGTCCACTCATCAGGCCAAGTCTTGTCCCTGTGCGAACCAACACTGATCATGGGCTCGATAGTGAAGCACATGCCAGGCTTTGCCGATCCAACTGCCTTGTTCTTCGCGTAATGAGGAACGTTGGGCGCGCAATGGAAGAGCTGGTTGACACCGTGCCCGCAGTACGTCCTGATTACGCTGCAGTTCTTGCTCTTTGCGTGCTTTTCGATGACGTTTCCGTACTCACGGAAGAGTGTGCCCGGCTTAACAATCTCGATAGCTTTGTCCAAGCACTCTCGTGCAGTCTCCGTTACCCGTACCGCGTCCGGGTTGGCCAGAGCCTTGTCTCCGATGTAGAATGTTTCGTTTAGATCCGCGTGGAAACCGCCGTGGTAGACAGAGATGTCAACGTTCAAGATATCGCCATCTTTGAGCACGCGCTGGTCGGGGATGCCGTGGCAGATGACCTCGTTTAGCGATGTGCATACGGATTTCGGGAAGTGGCAGTAGTTGAGGGGTGACGGGTAGGACTATCGCTGTCAGCACATCGCTCTGTCTTGCTTTGGTTGCCGCTCCTCTTACGTCGCGCTCGATGGTAGCCTTGTGAACAATCTCATCGATGTAATCAGTAGTAACTCCAGGCTTTGCCGCTCTTCCTGCAATATCCAGGATCTCTCGGCCGTAACGGCACACCTTGCGCATCGCATCTTGCTCCTCCTTGTTCAGGATTGTGATCTTGTTCCTGTTGACAAACACCTGCTCCGAACGCGGTATGCCATCTTTGGCGTAGTCTGGGTGTTTGATGTGCTTGGGGACTTCGCGGCGCGGCGAGAGCGGGTATACGGGTCTAAGAGCGCCGGTGTACGAGTACGTGGGAAATGGGTTGTAGTGACCCGTAGCTGGATCCGGGTGAGAAACTACTTTCGGCGTAAAGATGTTTTGGAGAATACTACTTTGTGACTTGTGGACCTTCTTGTGCTCACTCTACAAGGCCGTTAGATTATTTGGTCTGCGATGTAAAAGCAATCTCACTATATACCCAGTTGCGCTTAAAGCAGTCTTGCGAGCAGAAGTAGCTTTCTTTTCCTATCTTCTGGCAGTTTGGACATTGCAGCGAGCCGGCATCGTTCTCGCAGTCATTGCCTGAGCATTTGCGCGGGGCTTCTGTGGCCATCGCGTGTGGTGATATAAGAGTAATAAGACGTGTGGCTAAGGTGGGGAGTGACCTGTATTGTCTCAGACGTTGCAGTCTATAGCGCGCTACAAAATTGTCCGTGTGGAGTAACGGGTTGCGCACAAAAGGTCTGGTGGATTGCTACTCTCGCTCGTACGCCGCATCGTCGAGTCGGAAATCGTTGCAGGGGTCGAGGCCGCCGGCTGCCGATCAAAGATTACTAAGTAGCGGCTAACCGTAGGTCGCGCTTACCTTTTTCGATCTTGACGTGCTTCATGAGCCCTACTTTGCCATCCTATCTGACTCTTTGACTTTCTGGTTATGCTTTGATAATTGTCACCCGTGTCTCAGCTTTTTTCGTCCCTGTAGAAAATGAGGTTTTACCTTTCTTTTTTTCTTCCCTTCTCTTACTCTCCAACTCACACCACCCCGCCTCAGAACACGAACTAGTGAATCCATCGTTTTTTAATCCATCATCGCTCGCGCTGCCTCTCACCATGACGCAGAAAGTAGTCGTAGTTGGAGCCGGACCAGTTGGCTCGCTGGCGGCGCTCTATGCGGCTGTGCGTGGATATGAGGTAGATGTCTACGAACTAAGAGCAGGTAAGGCATGACCTGTGGACCATCTCGGTGCTAGCGAGTACCCTAACACTAGCTAGATCTCCGAGACCCTAATACTACACCACTAAACTTCTCAAAGTCCATCAACCTTGCTCTCTCTGAGCGAGGCATACACTCTCTTCGCGAGACAGGACTACCCGACCTTGCCGATGCGGTACTGGCGGAAACATTTCCTATGCATGGTCGCATGATTCATATAAGGAAAAATGGAGAATATGTTCGACAACCGCAGATCTATGATGCGAGAGGAAGAGTAAGCATGACTCCATCGTTCAACCTGGTTTTGTGCTGATTTGAGTAGAGCTTGCTGGCTATGGATCGAACAGGTCTGAATAAAACATTGCTCGACCATCTGGAGGCCATGCCGAATGTAAAGCTCATGTTCAACCACAAATTGGTCGGCGCAGACTTTCGAAAGAAGACAGCATGGTTCGAGCATCGAACTAAGTCTCCTGAAGAGCAGGGCGACGAGTTTGAGATCAACTTCGACCTCATGATCGGTGCCGATGGTGCACACTCCGCGGTTCGGTATCACCTGATGAAGTTTGTTCCCATGTCGTTCCAGCAAGAGTACATTGACAAACTCTGGTGCCAATTCCACGTTCCTCCCTCGCCTAACGGCGACTTCCGTATACCTCCAAATTACCTCCACATCTGGCCTCAAGATGAGTCTATGTTCATTGCACTTCCAAACCTCGACAAGACATTCACGTCTACGCTGTTCTTGACTAGAGAAGGATTCGAGAAGTTGGATGCATCTGGAAAAGTCGTCGAGTACTTTGATGAGAAGTTCCCAGGTGTTGTGCCAGACCTGATCACGGAAGACGACCTCCGCAAGCAGTACACGTCCAATCAGCACCTGCCTTTGATCTCGATCAAATGCACTCCATATCACTATGAAGATTGTGGCGTCATTGTAGGCGATGCTGCGCATGCTATGGTACCGTTTTATGGTCAAGGGATGAATGCTGGACTGGAAGATGTTCGCGTTCTGTTTGACTTCATTGACAAACATCCAAACGATCGGTCCAAGGCCTTAAGGGAATACACTAAAGAGCGAACTCCCGATGCACACGCCATCAACGATCTTGCCATGGGTAATTATCGCGAGATGGCAAGTGATGTCAAGAAGCCGTTATATCTATTGCGAAAGTGGGTGGAAGAGCAGCTCTACCTTTATGTTCCGAGCGCCGGCTGGGCTACTCAGTATTCGCGCGTTACATTTAGTAACTTGAGATACTCCAAAGTTATTCAAGCGTCCCAAAGACAGGCTAAGATACTGCACGGGGTAGTCGGCTTGGCGCTTGCTTCCGTTGCCGTCACTGCGTTCTGGTTTGCGAGGTCCGGTGGTGCACAACAGGCGAAGATGGGAATTATGAGGTCGATTTGCGTAGTTGCACAGAGAATGCAGAAGCTCACTGAAGGATGAGCTGCGATGGCGAAAGCATGAGCGATGACTTGTGCGCGGTTTGTAATATTAAGTCACTTCAAAGCGCTGGTTCTCACTCGCGTTAACGTAACGTTATCATATTGATGTCGTTACGCGAGCGATATAAACCGCTCTTATTCGCAGAAGTTTTTCTTCACATCAAAGATATACTCTCCTTCCTGGCCTCAATGTCAGCTACTGAAAAGTTCATTCGCGGACCGGTGACCGCTATCCCAGGAAAGATAACACAAGGAAGGTAGTAATGTCAAGGTTCTGCAGTCGAATACGAAACCACATCCTACCACAGCGCTATGACGATAAGCTTCGCAGCGCCACAAGCGGCAAGCCACGTGAGCTCCGCGTGGATGTGTTACTGCCCCACAAGCGAAATGTGGGGAAGCGATTCGGAGTGAGTGTATGTTTTGGCGCTCGCTTGCAGTGGCATCAACTTTCGACAAACTAGACCTGGAGTACAAACAGTCGATATGGTCCAGGGTCACGATCATCTCGCTTACGCACTTCCATGAGCAGTGTATTTGCGTTACAGCCATTTCGATGCAATCTATCATCAACTTCTTTCGCATTCGGTGCAAGTCAAGCCGGAGATACTGGTATCTTCATAGTCGCGTTGATGTCTCCCGGGTGTGTGGCAACGCATCTCCACTTCTTCGATACACAAACCCATCTATCTTGCACTCTACACACTATGCGGATAAATTTGCCAACCTCTCACAACCCACACAACAAACATTGTACCGACACTCACGACCTTCCAGAAACAGCGTGTTCACCGTACTCGCAAGGTCACATTCACCAAGGAGAGTTCGGCATGGCTTGGGCTTGTAATCAGACACTGTTCTTTGGATGTAGGCCCACGCTCCAGAAGCCTCAGAACCTCATACCCGGGTCGCAGTAAGGTCAGTCACGCGTGGCAGTAAGGTCTTAACCTGGATAAGCTGGTTGCTATTTTAGTTTATCTTGCACGCGTGCTTGTATATCGCGGCCCTGTACTTTACGCTACGGTTGTCGAGTGGATGGTTCTCCAGCGCGGCAGCTTGGCGAGCCTCGATTTGCTTTTATTAAGGCATCTTGTCGCTCCAGGTCCTGCTTGTGACACGCACGATATTTCTCACTCCCTTGAAAACTTCAAGCTCATCTTTTTGTGCGGTTGCTCTATTTGTAGACAGCACGAAATCTCCTAGATTGACAATACGGTCAAGATGTACTTCACCTACGGTCTCGCGGCTTTGGCCGGCCTTGGTGAGAGACTTTGACTTACACGGAGTGCAGTTCCGACTGACAACGTGTAGCTCAATCATGGCCAACGTCAGTGTCACAGCATCTAGCGCCTCGCGCTGTGAGCTACGTGGACTCGGAAACAGGCTTCACGTTCTCCGAGACCAAAGCAGCTGCAACACTCAGCTCCAACATCATCTACCGCATAGCGCAACCTGCCAATGTTCCAGCAGGTCAGCCCTACGACGTAGTGCTCCAAGTTGTTGCGCCCAACTCTCTCGGCTGGGTCGGTCTTGCCTGGGGCGGTAGTATGATCCGTAACCCTCTCACGGTCGCATATCCCAACGGCCAAAAACCGACTGTATCTTCACGATGGGCCACGTAAGTCACATTTGTCTAGAAATAGCCACAATTCTCTCTGACACGTACGAAAGCGGCCACTCCACGCCTCAACAATATCCCTCTGCAACTTATACGCCTTTGGCCACTGGCAACAAGTCAAACAACACACACTGGCAATACACCATCAAATGTACTGGCTGCACTACGTACACCGGCTCATCCGGTACTGTACGTATTGATCCCAGCGGTAGCAAACGTTTTGGTTTTGCCTGCGCGCAGGGAAAAGTGTCGAACCCGTCTTCGACTAGCGCAACGATTCCGGTACATGATGTGTACAACTACATCACGCATGACTTTTCCGCGGGTGCAAACCAGAATTTCCAAGATTTGTTGAGCAAGAACGGGGTTGCGAGCACGGGAGAGACAGGGAATATCACAGAGAAAATTTAGATTTACGTATCGTATAAGGTGTAGACTGGCAGGGAGGGGCTAAATGGGGGGTTTGTAGATACTTTTGCGTCTTCCTTGAATATATTTGACATAGCATAAGTCCATGTGTTTTCGGAAGTTGCTTGATGCTGCGTTATGAACTTCTGGTTTTCACAAGTTAGAGCTCTGGGTAGAGGCTTTCCCGGTGTGTTCAGTATGGCTCAACATAATTGCTAGAAACGCTTTTGGTGCTTCGCTACACAGCTATGTGGGAGAGCTTTGTCTGTCGAATTCGTATTATTGCTCTCGAAGTGACAAGACTCCTAGACAAATATGGTAGGCCGAAACTTCTTACGCAACAAGGCCAGACATGGAGATGAGCGGATATGAGGCGACAATGGCTAACAGTCATGGAGTAACGGCATCACGGGCAGATTACATCGCAAGTACAAAAACTCTGGTAGCAGTAAGGTGCATTCGCATCGTCCTCCGTGATCTAAAGAATTATATAGAATGATGCCAAACGAGTGGTAAGCAGAGGGCACCACGTCAACAACTCTCAGCAATAGGGAACCAAGCTAGTGATAAGTGCGTCGCCGCAGCCATAAAATCAGTGTAAAGACCAGTCGTGTCTAAGCCTTGATGGCCATGTCACCGAGTGGCATCTCCTTGAGCCCTGTGGCGCATGTGTTAGCGTCGTGCTACATTGAAGCAGATTATCGATGAGATGCTTACAGCCGTCAACGTCTTCAGGAGCTTGTTGCTTCTTCTTGCAAGCGTTGTATTGAGCAGGCTGCTGGACGGTAAGACCGGCTTTGGGACAGGCGGTGTTGAGGTTGCATTGATTGTCCATGGCTTTCTGAAGAGAATCGCCTTCCCAACCGAAGACGTAGTCGCCGTGTGCAGCAGCACCGCTAGAAGTTCATGATTAGCTATCTTCTATCTCGCTGGAGACAAGGCTGCCAGGTGAAAGTGGACCTGGCGAGAAGACGTACCCAATGTTCATACTGTAAACGAAAGGATCTGAACCATCAGTGGGCCACAAGCTCTTGTCGGCGAACTTGTTCACATCCCACATCAGTTCGTACATGATCTGAGGAAGCTTGACGGGGTGAGTGGATGGGCAGGCACCACCTCCATTAGCGCCTGAGCCTTGGCCGTAAGCAACGTGACTTTGATGGTCTGGTGAGTCGAGGTTTTTGCCGTCCCAGCAAGTAGGGAAGATGATGGTCTGGCGGATAAGCTTGCACTTAGGATCCTTGGGGATGGCGACGGTGTCACTCCCTGAGCAAGGTGCGCCACCGACGAAGGTACTCTCAGAGGGGGAAGTCCAGCAGCGATGGCAGATGTTGGATAGCTTGACTTTGCTGGTGTCGGTGTTGGTAGCTGAGCCTGCAAGCATGCGGAAACCCTTCTTGAAAGCGGTGGTTTTGCCGCTGGGGATATAGTAAACATCAAGACCGCCGTCGTTGATGAGCTTTCCTTGTGGTCCGCCATTTCCGATCTGAGCCATGTGTTAGCAGCGTGACCTGTTGTTTTCTTTCTCGCTATGATGTTACGTACCTGAGGCACGCGAATGTATGTGCCTAAAAGACGGTGGTACAAAGTCAGTGTATGTCTCACATACGTTTCGTGCCTTCACAACTTACCGTTCTTTGCCTTGAAAAACATCACAGCAGTCCAGTAGTTCGATTTATCTTGGACAAAGCTGCAGGAAGTGCACTTCGAAAGCTGCGCGGGGTCGTTTGCGGGGTCCATGGTGATGTTGAAAGAGTCACCTCCGACGATCTGATGAAGATGAGGTGTGTACTTCACGCCGGGGTTGACAAGAGGATCTGTTCGTTCGACGACAAGCTGCGAGCAGGCAAATCGCAACATATTTTGTGCAGCAACATTCCCGGCGAGAGCCGTTGCTGCAGCGAGTAAGGTAGCCCACTGCATTGTGACTAGCGATTGTAACGTAGTTTTCGACTCGTGAAGGTGTGAATGATACTCGACAAGATGAACGATGATGAGTGAAGAGACGTAGAGTTTACAGCCGTGTCCTGTAGTAACTTCTCTTATAATGAGAACGCAATAGTAATCGCCGAATTGGGGTCGTCCACGAGGACAACTGCCGGACCACGGGGAGATCCTGATCGATCAGTTCCGCAAATTATGGATTTAATATAAGATGGTATGATGATTGGGCTGGGGAAGCATGCAACGCATATTGTTCGCCCATTTCGTAAGATGAACCAAAGAACAACAAATTCTGGAGTGTGCACTGGGAAGGTCGTTGCAGCTTGTCAGGCTCGCTGCCAAACCATACTGCTGATTTGACCACTGATGAGCCCGGATGCCCGGATGCAGGCTTTAGATTTGCCGCCCACGATATTACGCCTGTGGCATTAGAGGCAAAGCGCCCTTACGCTGTATTTTCCAAGGCACTTGGCTTCTATCTAATCAACAGATAGAAGTCGGTGTAGTGAACCCCGAGCCCTACTTGAAGACTAGGGTCTGCGAAGACTGGATGATCGATAGCTTGTCTGCTGAAGTCCATCAAAAGGTGCTGTAGAAAGTCAAGAGACATGTTAAGTGCAATAGGTCTCCGGGGTGACTATTGCCAACTTTCTGCAAGTATTCAACGAGTAGAGCTTCGTCAGTCATACCCACCTAAAGTGTGTGAAGCGTCACATCTTCGGACTGATTAAGCGTGGGGTGAGGATCAGCATCACAATCCAAATTGACGTGGGTCATCCACCAATCGAACATGCCGCCGATGCGGCCCACATGCTTGGATGCTCTGAATCTTCCAGTTTATTCGAATGAGAAGCTATGGATGTATTTTTGAGGCTGAATAAGACGCAAGAGTTGTTGGGCTCCCACGTTGGCGATATTACGTCGTGCGTGCGGTGCTTTCGGACATCCATGCCGACTTTAGTGTCAGTTTGATGTCATCGGGCGGTGAAGATGATTGGGAACAGAGTGTTGGGAAATAGAGACGCCAAGCATGCTCCGATCTCCAGATACCGGGGCTATATGTGGTGGTAAATTCAAAACACTGACGAGCTTTTGACTTTGCTGAAGCACTACTGTACGCCAGTAAATGTCGAGGACAAACCATGCAATCACGAGCATACACAGACCATTATAACATCCTGCATTGGAACTAGACGCATGTTCTGAGCCTCATATGGCGGCAGGAGATTCTAGTGGTTCGTCGTTGTGGGCATGTGGAACGATGAAGTCGGAGCAAGGTTTGACGAAGTCTGCGGGGCGTCTTCGCTTGGCTCTTCACTCCGGAGCAGGCGCTAACACCCATGTAGTGACGCTTTCCTCACTGCATGGAAGATCATCCGCAGACACCTAGCTTTGCCTCTTTCCCGTCACCAAACTCATCTATTGTTCCTCACGCAGGAAGCCGATTGGGGTACGGCCGCCTTTAGCCGCGACCAATGTGGTCAAGCCTGCGTCCTGAGTTGTCCTTTGCGACAGCCGACATATTACAAGGTGTTTATATTGGTAACAGCTGATTAAGGTCCCTTATGCTCACTGGCCGGCACTTCAGCCACGCGACTCCTCGTTGTGCAAGGCAGTTCGTGTGGGGTATCGCATGGAAAATTGCCGAGGGCAGGGGTTGCGCATCTCCAGATATTGCGGCTGAAGTAAAAAGTAGCATACTGAATTGTGGGACGATTGATTATGTCGAAGGAAGGCACAGTCCTTGACCGAATCGCTGGTGAATACAAAGAAGAAGTGACGTATGTGAACATGTTTCTATCCAGAATTGCTAACCATCCCGACTGCCCGACAAACCAATCTCCGCGACGACACGATGCCGAGTGGACCAAGCAATTCGCATCCTTAGATAGAGCCAAAGAGTATCACCAAGCAATCTTGGCAAGCAACCCGTTGGGCCATCGGCGCACACAATACTTTCTTGCCTCATCAATGGTGAGCCATCCCATGCCAAAAGCAGCTGGAAGGAACCAGTGTTCGACGGATATCGTCCTCGTGTCGATAGTGTCCTGAAGAGATGGAATGTAGCAGAAGATAAAGACAACAACGATCGCGAAGATCATGGCAGGGAAAAGTGACCAGTTCTGAGTCGCTTTGTTGAAGATCGGTGGCTGCTGGAAGATGCTGAGCCTACGGGTGCGAGTAGCAAGTAGGTTAAATATTTGCCTGTCGTCAATGTCAGCTGGTTCTTTGCATCACTGCTCGTTCAGACTTACATGATCACCAGTGTGACGAAGTAGACACTCGAGGCCTGATTTGCGATTTCCGTGACATAGTCCGGATCGTATTGCTCGTCGTACACACCGAACTTCAACCACATTGCCGTGAACGGGACTCCCTTGCGCTCCATGTACCAGAAGCTCATAGTGAAGGCCAGAAAGCACTCCAACAGACCGACGACAAAGTAAGCATGGAAAATGAGTCGAGCATTCACAAGTCGGTCCTTCTTGGGGTTGCGGGGAGGGCGAAGCATTACATCGGCCTCCGGCTTTTCGTAGGCAAGAGTGATAGCGGCGGCACAGTCGGTGAGACAGCAGATTATGATCTGGACAATGTTAGCTAATAAGCATTGAGCATCGAACCCAGACGTAATTACCATGAGGAAAGACGACAGGATCTGCGGGATACCGAATGCGACATTGGTAACGACCGGCCACAGCTCGCTGAAGCTACCTGCGGGAAGCAAGTAAACTATTGTTTTCTTGAGATTATCGTAGACGAGCCGACCGTATTGGACAGCCTCAATGATGGCGGCGAACGAGTCGAGAAGAACCATATCAGCAGCTTCAATGGCGATGTCTGAACCACTGCCCATGGCAATACCAATGTCAGCAGCTTTGAGCGATGGAGCATCGTTGACACCATCACCTGTCATACCGACAATGTTATCACGTGCCTGGAATTCCTTGACGATACGTAGCTTCTGTTCGGGCGTCGTCCTGGCGAAAACGATCTCGTGATACTGGCAAAGCTGATCCCATTGCGCCTCGTTCAGGGTGATGAGTTCTGGTCCACTCAAGACGATCGACTGCTTCGTAGTGCCGATCTTCCCGTCTCGACCAAGAGCGCTGATGTCATCTACCAATGCGGAATTCGAAATGATGCCGCACTCCTCGGCGATCGCCTGAGCAGTGAGCTTGAAATCACCGGTCACCATGAAGATACGGATAGAAGCTCCTCGAAGAACACGCACTACCTCTGGGATCTCGTCGCGGGGCGGATCAACGATACCAACGATGCCGACAAACGTAAGACCCTCTCGGGCAGCGACCATTACTTCTTTCTCAGGATGGCTTGAAAATGGCACAATGGTCGGCTTGCAAGCGAGAAGTATGACACGCTTGCCCTGGCGGGACCAACTGTCTTTGACGGTCTCGATACGAAGGCGTTGGGCTTCGGTAAGCTCCACTTCTTCGCCTTTGTCGTTCAGGAGAAGGTCGCATCGGGGTAGGAGGATATCAGGAGCTCCCTTGACCATGAGAGTGGCGTTGTTGCTCGTCGACGTTTGATTAGTGGGTGTCATGATCCGCACCATGAACTTGTTCTTGCTGTTGAATGCAATCTCGAAGACCTTTTTCCAGTCGCGACGCAACTCAGCCACTGATCCGAGGGCCTCGGAAAGTCGAAGTATGGCTTGATCTGTGGCATCGCCGTTGATTTTGCGCTCAGCAATAGGCAAATGTGATGTAGCGGCGTCAAATTCACCAGAGTTGCAAAGGCCACCGAGGATACGGACGTGGTCCATGATGCTTTGCTTAGGTTTAGAGAGCACAGTGAGGTTCTTCTCAGACCGAAACACCGCCATCATGTCACGCGCGGCATCCGTGGTGTATTCTTCTCCTGCTGCGTAGATGTCCGTGACCACCATCTTGTTCTTGGTCAATGTTCCGGTCTTGTCAGAACAGATCACTGAAACGGAGCCTAGTGTTTCGACAGTCTTGAGCGACTTGCAAAGGATCTTGTTCTTGCGCATGATGTTTGCAACTATGGTCAAGCTCGTCGTAAGCGCAATCGGTAAGCCTTCTGGGATGACTAGAAGAAAACAGTAAAGTCAGCACACTTGTGATGGATGTACGGATCGGCAGTGTCTTACATGCAACAGCACAAGAAACACAACTAACGATGAGAAGAGGCACGTCGATCCAAGTGGGATGAGATTTCCTCAGCCATGCTGCCCTGAGATGCGTGAGTACAAATCCTTCAATTCGTAGAGAGCTAAGCATAGGCATGTCGCTCGAGACCAACCGCAGACATACCAGAGAACCACAATGAGAATCACGACAGTAGTGATGAAGAGTGAGATGATGAGCACAAAACGCAGGATCTCCTTCTGCAGCGGTGTCATGCCAGTCTTTGGATCCGAGGTAAGCTTTGCGATGCGACCGAATATGGTGTTGTCACCAGTAGCAACGCACACACCCAAGCAGGAGCCTGCTATGCAGTGTGTTCCTTGTAAACCGATATTGTTGGTCTCGAGATAGTTGTCTTCGGTTGATTCGACGGTAGCTACGACGGGTTCGGATTCACCTATTGTATGTTGGTCCTCGTACCTAGGATGCAGACATGATACTGACCAGTAAGGATTGCGCGATCGAACATGGCATCGCTGGAAATGTCAACGAAACGAACATCTGCGGGCAGCTTATTGCCCTGCTTGATGACAATAATATCGCCAGGCACTAGGTCCAAGGCTGAGATGCTAGCATGCGATCCGTTACGCACAACGATGCATTGATCGGGCAGCATTGTTCCGATAGATGCCATCACTCTACTTGTCGACCAGTCTTGCCATGCATTGAAAGCGGCTTGTATAAGCCAGACAGCAATCAATACACATGCAAGCGCCAAGTTGGCAACAGCTGGTGGATGACCAAGAGGTCTCCAGGCGATGAATACGAGTATGCCGGCAACGACGAGGATGCTACCAAAACCACCGAAGAAGTAGCCTATGATCTTCCAGAGCAGGCCCGAGGGTGGAGGTGTCATCTTGTTCTGACCATGTTCGCTGAGGCGACGCTTTGCTTGATCTTCGGAAAGTCCCTGCTCGATATCGACAGAGAGGCGGCGGCACAGCTCGTGGACGGCGAGTGTATGCCATTCGAGATCTGCTAGATCTAGAACAGAATATTCAGTACTAATAGCGCTGGTATACTTGAGCAAACTTACCAACGGCAGCCTTCTCTTTGGCTTTTTTCACCTCGATCTGCTTCTTGTGTTGACCCTCATCGATCTCGATGGAAAGCGTACGGTCTGAACATCAATCGAGGAGGTCAGCACATGTTACACACGCGGTCCACATAGAAGCATTGCTCACAAGTGATAGGTAGTGCAGTCTCGGGCTGAACAGTGCGAGCTCCTCCAGCACTGCGGATGGAGAGACTGCCCACACTTGACCGTCGCGATAGATTACGCTCATGGCGGCGTTCGTGCGTCGCATATCCATCTTCTTCGTCAGGAAGGCGAAGCTCTCCAAAACGGACGCGAGGTGCGACCTTTTCTTCTTCTTGATCCATGTACGGACCTGTCGGTGTAGTGGGCTAGACACTGAATGGAGCACCACAAAGAGATGTGCGAAAAAGAGGTAGAAATGAGCTAGAAAGCGAGAAGACAGGTAGCACAAGACTCATGGATGCATGAAGCGCGACTTATACCGTGACAAGTGGAAAGACCATTTGCCGTTATGACAAGCAGCATGGCTCTGGCAGCTCTGGCAACGCGTCCAACACGTGCTCGTTCGCTCTGGGAGGCGTTCCTAGGACGTAAAAAATCCTTGGAAAGCTGAGCTACATGAAATTGCACCAAGAAGGTGGTACAGGATCTTTCACCTCTTTGTCATAGTCGAGTTGAAACGATTCGACGCACAAATACCTCATACAAACCAAGACAAGACCAGGGTCCTGCAACAGGTAAATCGCGACCGCCAGAGGTATCCCGCCGGACCTTTTCCCACGTGAGCATGATAATCCATTGGCGATGGTGTAGTTCGGGACCGTTGATGGTTAGCCGTGAGCGATTTTCGAACACGTACACAGCCACGCTACGATGCACGAAAGCAGGCTTCTGCCGCTCAACCTATGACCATGCGCGATTTTCGACCTCACTTCCCTTTGGATGTAGTCATCTCGTTTCAAAAGAAAGGAGCATGGCTTTCTTGGCGCTTTGTTGATGCTTTGCGGTGGTGAGCGACTGCCTGTTGAAGCAACCCGGGTTTGTGGGCCTTCTTAAATCCCTTCGGCACGTTCATGGCCTAACAGCCACATCGTGTCAGACGTTGCGTGGAGGAGCATTGCATACGTGCTTCAAGTGGACTTAGCGACAACGTGGGGGAGGATGAAATTCGTTTTCGTGTTCGTTCATGCCATCATGTGTCTCAATGCTGAGTTTCGGGCCCTTGAAAATCACAGTGCATGCACATAGATCACTGTTCACACGAGCAGGAAGCGTCGCGAGAACATGTACAAAGCCGTGAAGGCCATTGAAAGGTTGTGCTTTAGGCAGAGTTGTGGGTGGTAAGAGAGGAGGCCTGTTCATAGAAAGGGGTGTCTTCTCAAGGTTGTCTGTGCGCAACGAAGCTCCCCAAGCCAAGAGGCGGCCTGGAGCACGCGAAGCTTACCACCACGTGCGACATTCCTCTCGCAATGGACACCCACCACGCGAATGGACAATCGCAGAGCCGTTCGGATGTGCCCTCTCTCCCCGAACAAGAGGCACAGCCCGCCGTCTCGGCATGGCGCCGATATGTCCATCTATACGCCCCCATGATCGCTAGCATCTTTGCTCTATCCTTGTCGCCAGCCATCCACCAAGCCCTTGGCCTTCCAACTGGCACGAACATACTACCAATCACGGCCTCTTTTGCGATACCCACGTATCTCGCAGCATCCTTGTTCTACCCCACAAACCAACCCGAACCTACTCCCGAGCAATCCATCCGCTTCACGCGTAAGAACGACTTCTACCGCGCAGGTGTAATCGCAACATACGGTCGGCTGTTCGATGCGCCGTACAATGTTATACGCTTCTTGATGGATGTACTATTGAGTTACGGCGCCGACCAAGTCATCGGCGAACCTGCTGTTGGCACGAAACAGCGGCGATCAAATTTTCTGGTTGCCTTGATGTGGATTGTCGGTAGCAAAATGGTCGCACTCTGTCTGGCGTTCGATACACCTGTCCTGCAAAGGCTAGTCGTCATGGTGGATCGAACGCTCTTTCGCACGGCCTATGTCGCGCTGGTAGATGACGTTGTCGGTGTTTTGACCCAACCTAATGTTCGAACCTTCAAAGGGAAGATCACCCTCATCGCGACCCAAGCATTTGTTATCTGCGCGATCGGACTAGTGTTCGTTGCATGGGCAATGAGCCATTCTGGCGAGATAGAGAGCGCCTTGGCCGAAATGAACGCAGAGTTAGGTGACGTCAGCTCAAAGACCCCATGATGTATCTTCATTTTAGATAAGATTTACCAAGTGTACGAAGCACAAGATTGTAAGGAGCACGAACAACGTTCGACTACTCTTCGAACCGGACATCCGTCACACTCCCCCTTTGATAGGCTCTAGACAGTATCGATACGGAGCATCGGACTGATGCCTACCTTGCCGAGACTTTCGCACTTAGCGACTCCAAATCAAGACTTAGTATCGCCCGAGTAAACGTCGCGATTTTGGCTGAACATAGCGATATGGACTGGTAAGTTTGATCATCGTAATAGCATCATGTATATTTTATGATACCTCTTACTCATCATCGTGCTATGCTCATGGTACGTAAAGCTACATGCAGATTTCGCACCTTGACGTGTCAACATTCTCGGGTCATTCCGTTACGTAGAGGGGTGCGTTTGTCAAAGCTGTCCACACGCCCGAATCATAGTCGATATATATGCTGTCGGTTCGGATAGTAGTTTACTTTTGACAGCGGCTCTTAGCTGCTCCAATGAGACCAAAATATTACCAGATAAACAGTTCGTCTTTCTACATCCGCTACAACCAGATATGGCGGTTTGTCTTCTGTTCACCTGGTTGCAAGGTTTTGTCCCAGAGAGGAGATGTCTTGGTGTGTATGATGCGCGTTCACCGCACAATAAAAGCGCGCGTCTGCGATACGCACACTGATTTGAACTTTTCCACTCTCGCAACCCCAACTTGTCTACCACCCTCTCTGATACTCGTAGATCCTAACTCTTTAAAGCACACGATTCAAATTATCTCAGCCTTACGAGCCGCCGTAACTGATCGCTCTTATTCACGAGCAGCAAGCCCTTCATCGTTCCAACTCTACCCATGGTATATATACAACACGTATCACAGTTTCAGTTACGCTCTGACTGATCACATATACCCCATTCTCCCTGTTGTCTTCAGTAGCTGCCGCCCAGCTCGAAAAAACCAACATCGCCGCCATGGAGGCCCTCCTGCCAACGCCCTAGCAACAAACTGTACGTCTCAGATTCCTCGATTTGCCCATGGAGATGTGCATCGAGATACTTGGACATATGCTAGTAGAGAAGGGAAGGCTGTTTCCACATAACACAAACCCAAACTGAAGAGGCAAGGACGAGGCTACTACGAGCTTACCGCGAATTACGAGTCGACGTTTTCTCAGGCCATAGGTTCTGGGATTCTGGAAATGAGATTAGGAGCGAACTGGCTACTGCCAATCGTATGAGGAGTGTTCTTCGGACACAACTGCATTGACCTGAGGACGTAACATAGGTGGACAAGAGGCGTTCAAACATACCATAGAGCAAAACTAAGGATGTGAAGGTGCTGATGATGGAAGAAGATTATACATCGGCTACGGCTAGATGGTATCTCCCCTTTCTCTAGGATACCTTCAAGTGCTGGAAGCTCCGTAATCAAATACCACTTGTTAGGTAGAAACCTCCATTGTAATGCCATATGTTCCAAGACGTCACTGTCAATCTCTCCCTGGGTTGTACATTCTTTGAAAACCTCGGAACCGGCGTGATGTTGCCTCTGCGCTTCCTTTGATTTGTAGATTTTCGAAATTCATCCCCTCTCACCACCGCTCCTTTAATCCTCTTCGAGTATCGCCTGGGTGACCGTTCGCGAGGGACGCTAGCCCACTCACAGTCTTGGCAGGAAGGTCAAAGGACACAACAACTCTGTCTCACTTCCCTCTCTTCAGCAGGCCAAAGTCGTATAACCATCAGTATGCATTCAAATACCCCACCATCGTTCGAGTCTATCGTAGCGATGTTCAGCAACCTCCCGGAGGACATGCTTGCGTATATGAACGGAGTCGTTGACGACATCATGGCCCAGGACCCGAATGGCTTTGATCCCTCTGCCTTGTCAATTGCGTCCAGATTCACGGAGTCTTCAAGTTCTCGTCGTCGGCAGGAAACCGCGGCGTCTCCCTCCAAGCTGTCCCCTCCTTCCCCGTCTCCGCCATCTCCGCCTGATCCCAGTACGTGGGATCGTGGCCGTGCCTGCGTGGTCAACGCGACCAATACGTACTGGTCCTATGGAAGGGAGCATGGAGTATGTACACCCTCCTTCTCATTTACCCGATTGTATACTAACGAGTTGTAGTGTAGTCAAGAGTCGAAGAGCAACCTCGTGGACGGCGAACGAGTTTATATGAAACAGCCGAACGGTACTCTTCGCTGGGCAGTCCTCAAACAGCAAGCTCGGGGCACGCTGGCAGCTAAGGCGCACCTGAATCAGATGGTGGAAGCTGTAGGCGGCGACCCTGCGACATTCAGAAACAGGCTTGCCAAAGCGGACTACGTTCTGGCTCGAGAGGCACCTACTGGTGTCGTCCGTGAGGAGGACTCTGGGGAAATGTTCTCGCTTTGGTCACCAGTTCACCTGGGCCAACCAGCGATCAATCTCTTCTGGGGGACAGGACAGTTCGCGAGCGGTACACTGACGATGGCGCCGTCGACCCAGGAGGAGATGGAGTGGTTTTGACGAGGTGGAACACGTGGTCCTTGGGCCGAAGAGGCAATCCAGTTGGTGTGCGTGCTCGCTCAACCGATGATGGAAGACATCTTGTCGATGGAGGAGCTCGCCGCTTGATATCAGGTAGACCAAGCATAAATGAAGACAAATTCCTCCGTAAATTCTGCCTTATCATATGCATATCTCATGGTTCTTTTGAAACGTTGACCTCCAATTTATGCTTATGCTTTGACACTTCAAGCATGGACAGTGCCAGCTCAATCCATCTGCCCGAAATGTTACTGAAAATTCTTAGAATAGCCCTCAGACATACAAAAAGTTCTTAGCGTAGTTTAGGAAGTTGGCATCGTCATGGCTAACGCTTGGGCCCCACAATCTGGCGTGATGTTGATGTTCGTTAAGTGTGTTCGTCTTACACTCTTCTCGCACGCCAGACTGCAACACACAAAGAGATCTCCATAGTCGTTCGCACACATACTAAGCAATAGAGGAAAGTGATTGTGCCGTTCACGGGCGGAACACCACTGGCGTTGTTTACGGCTCTTGTAGTCTCTCAGGTAAGGCAACGCCCACCCAACTCGATCGCGCTGACTTTTTATCAGCTCCCCGCTCAAACCGCCACGACCAGAAAAGAGTCGCCTCAGGCACTATGATCGCGCTCGGCACTTCGAACAATCTACACCGCAACGCTTCATCGATATGTCGACGGAAACCACAAGGGTGATTGCGTCTTCGCAGGATCGTTTCTCCCGCCTACCGGAAGAGGTGACCACACGCATCATGAAGTGCCACTACAGCAACCATATCCGGGGTGTGCTTCTTTGCTCTGTCATGTTCGTTCCAGAGGATCCAGACTTCTTGGAAGGCATTTGTTCTTACGCTTCTGAATTACACTGGTGTGAAGAAGAAGAACGCAAGTATGGTTATCAGCCGGTGGCCACTACAATCGACACAGTAAAGATCCAGGAGGTCCTGAAGATCCGGCTTGTCAACAAGCTCTTCGCTCGCTGCGTGCTTGACGCATTCTTCAAGAGTCCCATCATATTTGAGCATAGGTCATACGATTTGACAGGTCCGGGAAAGATTTTCTGGTTTCTACCTTGCCAGATCGAGCCAAAACTTGTCCAGCGTGGTGGAAGCATTCAAGCTGAATACTACACCAGGGTTCCTTACACGTATCGCTTTGTTTTGAACAAGACCGACATCCATTGCGTAAGAACTGGTATGGACTTAGCTCTGACAAAGCAAACGCATCTGCCAAGTATTACCGACGCCGATGCGTCGCTGCTGGCCAACGATATTGACAAGGTCTTCGTCCACAACCCCAGCGGTCTTACTGTTCGCGGTATCCAATTCAGTCGTGATTTGGAGAGGGGGTCGTTCTTTGATACCGAATTCACAGCAAAACTAGTTCGATTGTATTGGGACGTGCTTGGGGGTGCACATGGGCAGACGATGGACCTTAACACAACCAAGAGTTCACTCTAGACCTATGATTCTCAGGGCATGTGGAGCCAGATGTGGCACTTTCAGCTGACACATGGGTCAAGCATTGGCGGAACTGACGGTAATCTAGCATCCTGGAGTGTGGAGGAGCCAAATGGGGGCTCATAGGCGCGTGGCACGATCTGCTCCAGTTGAACCAGAGTAGCCCAAGCTTTCCAAACTTAGTTCCAGAAGCTGTATTCGTGATATAGACGAAGCCAAAGATTCGTGTACGACTCCTGGAGGGCCTCATATCTAGCCCGTCAAACGTGGAACTGGTGTGTTGGCTGTATGAAAGATGTATCTTCCACTTTTGCAAGTTGTGTCTCGTGTAAAAACCTTCTCAAATGATGCCAGCACTCTATGTTCCACATCTTCAATGAACTGATCCCATAATTCTTTGTTTATAGACACTGGTCGTCGAACTCTCTGAATGCCAGAAATCAGATGAAAAAGCTTCTAGGAACTCGGCATTCCGGTCATCATGAGGAAAGGGCGTTGACATAACTGTACTGCCGGCAAGCACATGGATTTCCGACTTCAGATCAAGTCATTGGTGAAGTGCACTCGCAGGCGCTGTTCAATCTATGGCGGTGCTGTTTCGGCGTAGTGATCCTCGGGTTTGGTGTTTGCCTACTCTAGTCTCTCACGGCTCCTGGCTCCGAAATCGTGACAGCTCTACCACACGACCGCCGCATACGACTACACCTGTATTCTTAGACACAAGTCCGATAGCTCTCATACGCTGACAATAGTTGCGATAACTGCGATGCGCGCATAGGCATTTCCGCGCCATCGGCCACCGCCGCAGTACCGTACTACCATCGCGTCCTTGGCCACCGATACCATAATGACTGCAACTACGATAATGTCTTCATCAGACCCCGGATACCTCCGAAAAGCTCATAACGATACCGATGGCGAGATGTTACTGCTTGTTTCGTCGGCAACGACACCTTCTGGAGGCGTCGGATCGAGCGCGAATGCGACCCCTCTCCTGTAGGTCCTCCTGGCAGCATGCTCGACCTCAACGCCACCCACAGACAGCTCTTACAGCATACCGTCACAACCAAGATGACGGTGCTGACAGCTATGAATGGTACCAAAAGCTCTCCAGGCGTTAGGGGTCCTTGAGGCCATAGAAGCCCTCAAGCAACCCCTCAGCTCGGAGGCGGATCCGCAAATACCAACATGCTTGCCCTCTTCCACGGGAGTTGAAACTGGCTACGCACCAATGTTCGATCATCGTTTAATCCCATGAATGCTTGCGGACAGCCGCCTCCGCAGCAAGACAACGCATGCAGTCGACGGACAAACCAATTGCTACGACGAGAATCTTACAAGGCTCTTCACACACTCAAGCCGGTGACGACCGTGGCTCCGGAGAACGAATCTCTGGCGTCTCTCAGCTACAAGGAGCGGCCAATACTTTATCCTAAATTGACTTCTGAGGGAACCACAAGATCATGAACAGATGTAGCTTGCACGTCCGTCTTCTATCTCCCCACTTGGACCGACAGGAAAGTACAACATCGCCTGCGTTCCCAGAGCATGAAGCATTACCTCGTCTTCTGCGAGCCGGATATGGCGACCGCCTGCGAGTATCTCCAACCAAAACCCCAGGAGACGAGCGGGTAGGGAGAGATTGGAAGGGTGTTATGACATACTTCGCATTGCTAGGGAAAGATAAGAAGCTGGATATCGCCTTCCGCACCTGCAAAACGACAGAGAAGGGCGCATACACAACCCTGGAGATCTATTCTCACTTCGCAAGTTTGCGAATGACAACCATGGGTGCCGAAGAGGTGTTTTGGTTTGCAAGGGAGACGTCGATTTCAAGGACCCAACTTCAGAAGACGTGGGATGACGCTACCAGCTAAGACATCGAACCCAAAGTCTTCTCTCGACAGTTCAAGCTTCCTATACTCCTGACATCTCTGGAGTAATCTCTTTCCTCTTCTAGGATGATGTACGAATGCGAAGAGCCCTTTTCTTTCCACAGTGAAAAATGGACATGTATACAGGGCATACTTGGGTCGCACAATCCCATGCTTGGAGGTAGTAAGTTAAGAAGCGGATATGACAGCCTCATTTCTGAGTATGGGGTTGGATCGCAGCGTTGTGTCAATGGCTCTAAGCATTTTTGCTGCGAGGGTTTACCTCCAAAGTACCGTTGCGTTGGCTATGGTCAGGCATATCACTGGTTCATGGCTGGCCAATTCTTGAAGAACATTTTTCAAGTTCAGGACCTGCGTGAAGCTTGTCGTGGTTGGTTGGTGTGATCCTAGACAATTCCTCAGGACACTTTCCGATACCAGAGTCGCCATCGGCCCAGCAGATGAAGAACTGGACTCAAGCTTGTAACCATTCGCGAACCCTGTACTTCGTGGTCTCAATCTCGGACATTTTATCATCCTCTTACTGTGTCGAAACATATGTTGACAGTAACAACGATGGGCTGTAGTCGTAACTGTCGAAAATAGTGCGGTTGTCGGCTTCGCCTCTGTCACAGAGATCTGTCAGGATACGTGCATGGTCTGGTGGCCATGGCCAGAAACCTAGATTTCTAGCAATTGGCTGTATTGACTCTGCGGAGATTAGGGTCATAAAGCGCCAGGTCTATTGGAGTACTCAGCGGACGTATCGGTGACGACGAGGATTCGAATTCGAGTCGAGACCGACGTGCGACAAGGAAGAGGTCATCCTATCATACAAAAACCTCAGGTTTGGACCGAGGTGGTCGTCTAATCAGCGAGTTCGCCCTTACTTAGGGTGTAGAGGCGTATACCTGAAGTATTTTCTGTCTCACGCACAGCCCTGTTCTATTACAACAGTGGCAGAGGGTTGCCCTATAGAATGATCGAGGGGGCAAGCGCGGGGCAGATCTGGGAAGAAAGGGCGTCCGACCCTAGCGCTACAGAACCGGGTTGCTTTGGTGAGGTTTTGCGACGACCGTCATGCCCCCGCTGCGGTAGAATGCCTGCTATTGATCACACAAGCATCCCAAGAGAGATGTCTCTACATTGCTGTCTTTGGCCATGCTCGTTTTGGACGGAGCATTGGGCGAAGGATTCGAGGATGAGGTCGAGTCTGCTTGCTACTCGGGGCTAGGCTCGCAAGAGTGCACCGGTAATACGAGAGGCTAGGAAGGACGGGAGAACGTAGGGCGGGCTTGCTGTGAGGTTGCTCAAGATCCCGGTCTTGTCAGCAAATTGTACAGTGGTACATGTCGGAGGTAAACTGTCCCACGCGAGATGGGATGATGTCAGGAGGTTGGGGAGCTACCCCACCGGATTTTGAAAGCTCCCCACTGCGCGCTAGACAGACCCCGGCCTCCGATACAGGCCGGCAGAGTCACCGATATACCTTTCCCGAAAATTGTAACTCAACAATCATCATATCATCTGCAACATCACAATGGCGACCGTGCCCGACTACTCACGGCCGACGACGCCTGACAATGGTACCAATGGCACCAATGGCCTTGTCTCGCCTCGCACGCCAAAGACAGGCCTCGCTCTCACCGAGTACAGCGCAAACCCCAGTCCGCCTTCCGAATCCAACACTTCACGAACCAACCATGCCATACCCGACGCGTTCCTTCTGCCCAATGGCTATCCCGATTACCTCCGCCTCATCCTCACTTCGCGCGTCTACGAAGTCGTCCAGGAAACGCCCCTCACTCACGCGACCAACCTCAGCAACAGGCTAGAGTGCAATGTTCTACTCAAGCGCGAGGACTTACAGCCCGTCTTCAGCTTCAAGCTACGCGGCGCATACAACAAAATGGCACATCTGGACCCCAAGGACAGGTGGAAGGGAGTCGTTGCATGCAGCGCCGGCAACCATGCACAAGGTGTCGCATATTCTGCGCGCAAGCTGAAGATCCCCGCGACTATTGTCATGCCTTCTGGCACTCCCGATATCAAACACAAGAATGTCTCACGGCTGGGAGGTTCAGTGATACTACACGGCGCTGACTTTGACGCTGCAAAGGCAGAGGCGGCAAGATTAGAGAAGTTGCACGGCCTTATACCTATACCACCATTCGACGATCCCTATGTCATTGCAGGCCAGGGTACTGTTGGCATGGAGTTGCTGCGACAGACAAATCTGCAAGATCTCAAGGCTGTCTTCTGCTGTGTCGGTGGTGGAGGACTCATCGCAGGCACAGGTGTATACATCAAGCGGATAGCACCACACGTCAAGATCATAGGAGTGGAGCAATACGACGCAAACGCCATGGTCGAGTCGCTCAAAGCCGGAAAGCGCGTCTTCTTGAAGGACGTGGGACTGTTCGCCGATGGAGCCGCCGTCAAGACAGTGGGAGAGGAAACCTTCAGGATATGTCAAGAGGTTGTCGATGAGGTAGTCCAGGTTACAACAGACGAGACATGCGCCGCCATCAAAGACATGTTCGAAGACACACGCTCCATCGTTGAGCCTGCCGGCGCACTTGCCCTCGCAGGCCTGAAGAAATGGGTGAGCCGCAACCCATCACCGGATCGCAATCGCGGTCTGGTTGCCATTGCTAGTGGCGCAAACATGAACTTCGACCGCCTCCGTTTTGTCGCCGAGCGCGCCGCCATTGGTGAAAACAAAGAAGCCATCCTCTCCGTCACCATCCCCGAACAACCCGGTGCCTTTGCTAAGCTCATTTCGCTCATCCACCCCATGGCCATCACCGAGTTCAGTTACCGCTACTCGGGCCCCAACTCCGCCCAAATACTGGTCGGCGTTGAATTAAAGGCTGCAACACGAACCCGCGACCTACCCGACCTCCTCAACCGTCTCGGCGCTGAGGGCATGACTGCTGAAGACCTTTCTCAAGACGAGCTCGCAAAATCGCATATCCGCTACCTTGTTGGAGGTCGCAGCAACGCCGCTGACGAGCACCTTTTCATGTTCGAGTTCCCTGAGCGGGGAGGCGCTCTGTACAAGTTCCTGAACACATTGCAACCAGGCATGAACATCAGTCTCTTCCACTACAGAAACTACGGGGGAGACGTTGCGAAGATCCTGGCCGGTATTCAATGTAAGGAGGAGGACAGTAGCAAGCTGGCAAGTTTCTTGAAGGACATTGGATACCCGTACAAGGAGGTGACCGACAGCCCAAGCTACAAGATGTTCTTGAGGCAATGAGATGGGCGAACCTAGGAAGGAGGGAAGACGTCATGTTAAGATAGGATCGGGAACGAAGATGTGAAGGAACAATACAGATACCCCTTTCGATTGTCACAATTGCTCACTCACTACCAAGCAGCATGCAGATTACCGAGCCCATGCTCACAGTTCCACAGGCACTACCTACCAAGGCCAGCACCCCTCTGCCTTCAAGTAGCCCCCATGCTCCTCATCCCTTCTCCCCTCTAAGATAGCAATCATGGGCTTCGCACCCTCACTCGTAGGCTTCGCCCCATGCTCTACTTTATTCTACTCCGGGAATTAGTCCCCATTTGACCGGACCAAAGACGACTGCAAAGCCAGATGCAGATGAGATGCAACATACCATTGGTCCCAGATTACTCTCAGTGAATCCAGGGCAGAAACAAAATACCTTCCATCCCTTGGGCCCGTACTCATAGTCTTGACACGCAGTAAGCATGTTCAAAGCCGCTTTGGAAGTGCGGTATGGGACCTGTTCACCTTGTTAGCACGAACATGGTCACTCGGGATACGTGGGAGTCATACGACTTTCATCTCCTGATGCGGATTGGTCCTGTCACTTCGCAACCCAATACTACCAGCTCCACTTGTCACGTTGATGATTCGTGGCGTCCTACCCATCTTTTCACTCTTCTCGAGCAACTTCGCGAAAGTCTCGACAATGATGGCGGGACCAGTGACATTAGTCAGGAAGGCGGCTGTCATACGTGTGGACAGAGAAGCTGAACTAGGTGGCTCACCAGTTATGGCGGCGTTGTTGATCAAGGCGTCGAGGCGACCGTGTTTCTCTTCCACCATCTTCCCAGCATCACTGATGCTGTTCTCGTCATTGACGTCTATCGGCAACAACTCAACCTTGCCAGGTAGCTCTCTTTCCTGTAAAAGCTTCACAGCGGCTTCGCCTTTTTCAATGGATCGGCTACCAAGCAGGATATAGTACTTGTTATCACGCAAGAGTTGGTCGGCGAGCTCGAATCCGATCCCTCCGTTTGCTGTATCCGCAGTGTCAGCGAACAAGATTTAAGGGCCTCGATCACGGAAAAGGGAGAAGTTATGAAAGGAGAAGAGGAGTGGCAAGTTGTACCATACAAAGGCTACGGACTGAGGAAAGGGGGTACTTTACCACCGGTGATGAGAACGATGGTCTGTTCTTCGGAAGCCATGTCGTTCCTTTGTCCGTTCAAGTATGCTCTTCACAAGGGGATATGGTGTTTCTTGCTGCAGCCAAACTTGTGTCTACCTCGAAACGACAAAGTCTAGCCTCTTTATATCTCTTCTCTTCCCTCTCCCGCTTCTCAACCTCATTTTTATTACCCGTCTACTTCTTCGGCTGCTTAGCGCATTCCTCAGTCTATGCGGCACTCTGCCGACTTTTACCTGCATACGACTGCGTCTTCGGAAGTGCAGTACGCCATTTGCATACTGCGATGTAGTATGCGCCCATCTTTCCCGCTTCGAGACATACCATGTAGTGCAAAAGCCCAGGCGGCAGAAGCACGTCTGGACCAATAAGTGTCCTTTAGACCGTGTGGATAGCATGTCAGTAACGCACTGTTGATCCTCCTAACTCGATGGTCTTAGTCGGTCGGCGGGGATAACGGACTTAGGCTCACAGCCATGGGGTTAGACGGAAGCCACGGAGTCCTTGAGAATACGAAGGGGGGTTAGACTGAAGAGGTAGGATCCTTTGACATCCAACATGCATGATGAAGCTTGATTGTTTCTCTCATTTGTCCGTTGACTATCTAAATTGTGCGGTGATGTTGCAATCCGAGAGCCGCTGTCGGCTGCGTGGTATCCTATGATGCAAGCTCCATCCTTACCCAACAAGAAAATAGAAAACACCGGCGCCTCACCAACGCCCACCTGATGCAATAGTGATAGCGAGTGTAGAGTCGGTTGGACAGAATACGAGCAGCCGCGATCATGCACGATCACACCCTATCTTCTGCAAAATCCAATACTTCGCAATCGTCCTCGAAAAAGTTCTCCTCATCACCCTCCTTCTTGATACGTCTTCTTCGCGTAGTGACGACAACCTGTTCCACCTCTTCTTCACCGTCCTGAAGGACAAGCTTATTCTCGAACTTGGCAGCAACACCGGCAATATCGTCCTCTCCAGAATCGTATGCTTGGGTAATGGGCGTCGAAAGTCGGGTCACCTCAATACTCTCGCCAAAGAGCCAGGGGGAGTCGTCTTCGTGGTGGAGGTCGGAGATTAGTCCTGGCAACAAGGGCTGGTACTCACTGCTCTCATCGTGAATCTCGAGAGGCTGTCTTGAGTAGACAAAACGTGCGACGCGTTTATCCGTGTAGAAAGGCTGGTAAGGAGGATTCGTTTCAATCTCAGAAAAACTAAGTGGTGCGAGAGACGATGTGACAGGCTTGCGAGACGGCAAAGACCGAGGAAGCCAGTCGCCATAGCAGTCTTGTGTTGGCTCCGGATCACCGGGCTGTGGGAATAGTTGCTCGGTGATAGAGAGCGGCAGTGCGGAGTCTGAGATAGGGGCGAGTCCAAATTCAACTGTCTTCTTCTTGGTTATCGACGCAGTATTGGATGACTTCCCCTTGCCTGTCGCAGCTCGCATCTGCACTCGCCAGATCTGGAGTACGCCACCTGACACCAATGCGATTGAGCCGCGGCCTCTGCCAGAAAGCCAGCGTACGCTGTATGGCTTGACACCGCTGGGTGACGATGGCAGCGTCATCTTGTTGTCTCCCGCGTGACGTATGTTGTTAATTGACTTGCCTACACCAGCAGCAACGGCTTTACCGGACTTTGCGCCAGCAGCAGGTGTTACACCTAGACCACTCAGACTGAATCGAGATCCCGCAGCGCTGTTCTTCGCGCGGACGGCATCAAACCAAGGCCTAGCGCTATTGACAGCCTGCATTGCTGAGTTGACCATGCCGGTCGAACCCGTGGGAGCCGTGGTCTCCTTTGGTGGGGCAGAGGGTGCCGCAGGACGGATTCGTCGAGCTGGCGGCCATTGGAAGGCCGACGCAGGCATAGGAAACATGTGTACTGTTCCTTTATCGGTGATGACTGCTAGTTTATCGACTCGAGGAGCAGACCAAACAACGTCAATGACATTGGCAACAGTCATTCTGGTAAATCGAGCGACTTGTCGAACATAAGGACCGGATGGTTGCTCTCGAAGAGTCTTACGGACTCGTCGGAAATTCATCCGCTTCAAGTCCCAGACATCCTGGTAATCGCCCTTTTTGCTTACAGTCATGAGCATCAGACCGCTGGGGGCGAATGACATGAAGCTACAGCCGAGAGCTGCTGGTATAGTAGCAACGGGATGGAGAGCGTTCTTGTTCCTCGTTTCTTCTGCGTCCACCAGTCTTTGCAAGTCATAAACGGAGATGACGGTTGCTTCTTGTCTTGGCTGAGTCTGGCTGTGGCCATGAGTCGGTGGGAAGTAGTGCTGCATAGGATCTTGACCATATGGCACGTTATTTCCTTGCTGACCTCTGTTCATGTAGCTCTTGAAGGCTTGCACTCCCTTCTCGGTAGCCCAGCGCGCGCCCTTGATTGCAACTTGTGTCCCTTCCCGTGTAATTCTATCGAGCAAGCCTGCTTCGTTGGGCATATCGACAGCACAGTTGGGCGACGGCTGAGGTGGTACGCTATGGTGTGCAAGACCTGGAGCACGCCCATAGTATGGTGAGGTCAGTGCGACACCATTGACAGGGTAGAGCGCACTCGAAGCTGGCGGAGTGACTGCGAGCCAGCGATCAGAGAGAGAAAATACGGGCAAGCCATATTTCTCAGGAGGGATCTCGTCATGACTTCCATCGACGGCACTCGAACCGTTTGAGTGAACAGCTCGTTCGCGATTCTGAACCGAAGTCCACAGTTTGCCAATGCAGCGGAACTGCTCGCCGTACTCTGGGTGATTTCCCAGGTAAGGTGCGAACACGAAGACTTCGCCACTTGCGCCAGATGCAACGACAACAAACTTGCCCTTCGCCTCGATGACAAAGTCGCCTATTGGAGGTGGAGGTTGGAAGAGCGGGCTGTCAATTGGACTCGTGAGAGGGATCAAAGGAGTTCGGTATAGGACAGCTAGCCTTCGCTTCTCTTTCAGTGAGTAAATTTCGACGGTCGTCTGGTAGCCACTGATCTGGCCATCCCGATTGCCATGTCTCGAGGATGGCCTACTAGGCGATTCAGAGGCTGAGTCGTCGACCACGGAGGATGCCCCGCTTCCACTAGAGCTTCTACTGTCCTTGACGACCGGGCCGTGAAGAATGAGTGCGACCAATGGACGGGAAGCAGCTAGAGGGTCTCGCCGCGATGTCCAGGGCAAGATCTTGGCGCCTATGACACCACCCCTGAGGCCCTCTAGACGGCCCACAATATCCATCTTGCTCTTCTCGACACGGAAAACGTCGAGCCCTCCTTGAGATCCAACGAGCAGCACATTCTCGGATGGCCGAGCTGCCTCTTCTCCTGCCATGGATAGAGTGTCGAAGCCACAGAAGTAGCCTCCTTCGCCCGGCTGGATACCATCGGTTGGGCCATTGTTGAGGCCGAAGTCAATGTTTGGCAAGCCATAGTAGTGTGCTTGAGGTTGATGTGGCAGGGGCGGGTTTGGCACGAAGTGTTGCGACGGCGGACGAGCGCCGTGTTGTGAATACATGGATGCCCTGCGATCTCTGCCGGGCGAGTTCTGCAGACGGTCGCCGAAGTTTGTGTATTGACTGGGATGACTCAGAGGCCTTGCACCTGGAGGGGAGTTGGACATGGCCTGTTGTGCATACAGTCCGTCTCGTGCACCTGGCGAGTTGTGAAAGGTAGGCGGTGAACTGGCTATGGCTATGCCACCGTTTCCTGGCGAGCCCGAGTTGGGAAAGAAGGGCACCGACTTGGCCCACTCGTTGGTGTATTGTGCGGCCGTGGTTCGCGTGGCACCGATAGCCGATAGTAATGGAGACGTGGTGGCATTGTAGTTTGAGGGTGGGGACGTAGAAGACAGACGCTTTGCTGAGGAAGGCGACTTGGTTCTGCAGCAGTCAGTTATGTTTGAGGACAAACAGGAGTCACTCGGTCGCTCTTTCCACCTGAGCGTCACCCCTGACGTGCACATGGCAGGGACACCTACATCTCTCTGGGATAGATGCGCGTAACCTTGTCGGCCGCCCTATTTCTTCTTCCCAGCTCATATCTCGACGTGTTGCGGCCGCGCGCTTGTGGCGTGTCCTGTACCTTTGTGCCCTTGCGCTGTTGCTTGTGCAGGTAGGTGAGGTTGGAGACAGGCGTCGTATACTCGGCGGCGTTGTCGGGCGATGAGCTCATATAACCTGTGGAGAAGCGTGTGGAGGTGTCTGTTGGAGCGCCAGCTCAGTCGTGGAGAGTTGCTATGTGTTGCGGCCTGGAGGTAGGTTGTGGGGGTAGCGACGGATGAGCGCGGCGAGTGAGTTCGGATGGATGCTAGACACGGCGTTGCGTCATGCGCCTTCGTGACCAAGGCGCGTGAAGGTTGCAGTCCCGTGCTTGCACAGCAAGACGCTTATACAGAGTACTGGCTGGTGCCTTGTTCCTGACTCGGCGGCGCGTTATCGGGGCCTATCTGGTCTTCGCTCGGTATGATCGGGAGGCGCTCGTGGTGGCTATCGTTACAGCCGCGGGGCTGGAGCTTCACGCGGCACGCTATGTAGGAGGCTCCTCAGCGCGCAATGCAAGTCAGTCTGGATACAGCGCGCAGTCGTGAGTCAACTTGGAGCTTTATCTAAGCTTCCAAGTGTTGAGATATGAAATGCAGGGCGTCGTAAGTGCAGTTAGCTGTGTCGCTGGCCTGGTCGGTACTGAGGGGCAGCTCATAGCTTATGCAGGTGCATGTCGCGCCCTCACCCTTCCATTCGCCCTGCAACATGGTCGCCGCCGGCACCGCCCTTTGCGCTGATATCTAGCCCCTCTTTAGCTGCTTCTAGTCATTCCCAGATTGCGGGCGTGCTAGTTGGGTCAAGTGACTTCAGCGGTAGATGCCTGAGTAATGTTGTTGGGCAGCCACATGCGGCGTTCCGCGAAGCATTCCGATCAGTGACGTCCTGGCATGCATATCACGAGGCCCACATCCCGCGCGGCATCTCGTGGCTTGCACGTGCTTGTATCTTTGGCCTCATCCTACAAAACCACAGGCACATCGCTCACAAGAAGCGACATTTGCCAGGTAGAACCTTCCCATTTCCAGTTCAAAGGCATGATCCGTGTTGTCCCGTTCACAAAGACGATCATCAGCAAATCGACTCTCAGCTCGTAAATACGCCCAGACAGCCTTGTCCATGACCTTGTGATGATTTACCACTTTTGGTGTAAGCGACCTGCCATCCTAGAAGAACTTCGCATCGTACGTGCTAGCCGACGTAAGTAATGCAAGCGAACGTCCTGGGTAAAGTCAGGTACAAAAGTATGCAATCCCCAGGCAGGTCGCGAATAACTAGGTACTCACCAAGCATTCACTCACCATGTTCAAGTCAAAGTACCTCAGCCTCGTCTCCTTGGCCCTTCTCCCTGTGGCTCTGGCGCAATCCGAATACACGAATCTCCCAGAAGTACCACCAGGTGTCTTCAGTGCAAGCGCACGCACTGAAATTAAAACCACCGTCGACGCTGCTTGGGATGCACTCACCGACTTCCCCAACTACGGAGCTTGGAACCCATTCGTGCGCTATGCTCTCGTCACTTCAGCCAACAACATCACCCTACCCGACCAGCGAGCTGTCGAAGGCAACTACTTATTCTTCCGTGTGCAAATTCCTCCGCTCCCGTTGCCGGTGAATAAGGACACACCAGACAATCTCTTGCATACGCAGACTGCTTTCGAGCGCATAACTCATGTACAGCCAGAATTGGAAAGGCTGGCGTGGAATTACTTGGCGGAAATTGCTGTCAAATCGACGCGATGGCAGGCGGTCAGCGACATAGGCAACGGCACTGTCTTGTACGAGTCTCATGAGGAGTTTAACGGGCCGTTGGCTGGAATGTTAAAAGAGACACTTGGAGAGAGCTTGCAGGAATCTTTTAAAGCACAAGGAGAGGGGCTGAAGTTGTACCTCGAAGGTAAATAAATAGCGTAGAATTGCGATACGTTAGCATCTTATCCTGAGCATATCAAACTCGTTCTACTTCATGTCCATGGCATTCCGATGAGATGGATAATGTGAAATCTGATCCGATGTGTCGTCGGAACTGTCCCAGATGAGCAGCGAAGGAGCACATCGGCGTTGGAAACAGCCATGCCGGGATCCCTGCCGCTCCGCGGGCATGCGCGCATCTGTCGCAATCGCACATGTGCAGTACACGCGTGTAACATCAGGCGCTTACCCACCATGAGGCCTTGTCTCAACAACATGTCTTTGTATTCTGACTGTCTTTTATAACACTCTCTCTTTGGTTTGGCACTAGTCAATTTCCTGCTTCTGCTATCGCGACACACCAAGGTCGCATGCCGCACAATCGTTATCGCCCATGTTCATAGCTCTTTCTGAGGTCCTCTGTCCACCATGACGATAAGTCCTGAGCTCGAAGCCTTTGCACGAGCAATATCACGCGTACTGGGTTGGGCGTACTTCCTGTCGTGGTCAGTACCAGCCATCTCTCGTCACGCACTCTATGATCCCGTACTAACTCACGATCAGGTCCCTGTCTTTCTACCCCCAACCCATATCGAACTATATCCGCAAATCCACGCTCGGTCTCGCAATAGACTTCCCCACCCTCAATGTCCTCGGTTTCACCTGCTACACCATCTCTACAGCCTGCTTCCTATATTCGCCTACCATCAAATCGCAATATGCGTTCCGTCATCCGGAAGCGCCCCAGACGACAGTACGATTCAATGACTTCCTGTTCGCAGCACATGGTGCAGTCATGTGTGTGATTATTTACAGTCAGTTCTTCGAGAAGATATGGGGCTTCGAGATTGGCAAGAGGCAAAAGGTCAGCCGGGTCATACTAGGAGTTTGGTGGGGATGTGTGCTTGCTATCGTGGTCGTGGTGATGCTTGTCAAAACCAGAGGAACAAAAGGAAATGATGCGCAGGGGTGGGCATGGATCGACGTTGTGAGTTGATCCAACTTTACACCTTCTGACCTTACAAGTTCATGCTAATATCGAACAGATATACACGCTCGGCTACGTCAAACTTCTCACCGTATTTCTCAAATATATACCGCAAGCCTGGGTCAATTACAAGCGCAAATCTACGCTGGGATGGAGTATATATCCTATGCTCTTGGACTTCGCAGGAGGTTGGCTTTCGCTTGCGCAGTTGTGCATCGATTCTGCGTTGGAAAACGATTGGAGTGGTGTCACAGGCAACCCAGTCAAGTTCGGGCTGGGAAACATTACTATTGTGTTTGATATCATCTTTATGCTGCAGCATTATGTGCTGTACAAACGTCCTGCAAAGCATTTGGAGGATGAGGACGAAGAGGAGAGGCAAGGACTCGTGGCGGGTCAGAGGGACTAGAAATTACAATGTGACATTCCGTCAATAACTTGCATCATTAAGGCTTGAAGCTGTCTGATGGTGAAGTGCCGCTTCATGCCAGACCTATTCAATCCAAAGAAGCGACATTGACGCTCCTCTCAGACACTTGGGACGTTCTTGGTATGACCGGAAAAAAGTCCGTCGACGGATAATCCAGCCCTTTCCTCGACAGAATCCGCGTACGTACCGTCAATTCCTACCGAAGAGCGCTATGGAATATAGGGACGCGTGGAGCAGGGAGTGCGAAAACCAGCCTCATGATATGTGTTCCGGCCTCATAACAAGCGCCGACAGACTAAGCGTCGCGTTCCTGAATTACCTTCTACCAGAACATGCCCCGCACTAGCCTGCCGCGCGACGCCTCCGAGCCTCTCCACATCTTTCCGACTCAGCGTTAGCAAGTTCCGGTAGAATATATATCCAGCATAACTCACGTCTTGATCCTACAAATACATATTGGACTCTGCTCGAAGCATCCCCAGGATTCCTATCATCTTTTCACATATATCGCAACAATGGCACCAAACTGGGACAGACTTATTCGCTTCATTGCGACAGATGGCCGTGAGCTGCGGGGTCAGCCAATCCTCCCTTCGGCAGACTTTGACGTTGGTACTACGACAGAAGAGACGGGACTAAAGGCCAAAGTGATCGATGTAAAAAACAACGACATCTTCGACTCAGCCACCAAGGTCACAGACGAAGAAGTGACAGTGAAGAAACTGCTCGGCCCAGTCACAGTGGACGAAGTGCCTATCATCCGCTGCATAGGTCTCAACTTTATCAAGCACAGTAAGTTTACCTCTCTGCTATACAGTTCCGCTCATTGCCATGCTGATAACTTCCCATAGTCCAGGAAGGTGGCCGCACCCTTCCCCCATACCCATCCACCTTCATAAAAGCAAATACATGCTTAAACGACCATGGTGCACCCATTGTCATCCCCAAAATCGCACAAGACAACCAAGCCGACTACGAGGGCGAGCTCTGCTTCATCATCTCTAAAGACGCCAAAGACGTGTCTGAAGCTGAAGCTTTCGACTACATTGGCGGTTACACATCCGGCAATGACGTCTCATCGCGTAAACTTCAGCGTGATCCTCTCCTCGCAGGAACAGTGCCACAATGGAATTTCTCCAAAGGCTTCGATACCTACGCGCCTCTGGGCCCCCAACTCGTTTCCACCAAAGTTATCCCTGACCCGTCCAAACTGCATCTCAAGACCATCGTTAATGGCGATTTGAGACAAAACTCAGGCATTGACGACCTGTGTTTCAAGATCCCAACCTTGGTGAGCTATTGCAGTCAGGGCACTACGCTAAAGAAGGGGACTGTGTTCATGACGGGTACGTGTGCGGGTGTTGGTTATGCGATGAAGGAGCCGCAGTTCTTGAAGCCGGGCGATGTGGTTGAGGTAAACCTGAGTCCAGAGATTGGCACGCTGAAGAATACGGTGGAGTATGCTTGAACGAACGAATAAATCCAGGAATTGATTCAAGAGATACCTCACTATTTTTTGGTGAATGAAATCTTGCTAGCCAGAACACAGGAAGATACACTACGTATCACAACTTTCAGATCTTCGATCTAGCCTTACTCTTCTGCTCCATCTCCTCCCTCTTGATCCTGAACCTCTCCGCGGGCGCACCCTCAACAAACCTTTCCGCCAATGCATCAATAGCATTAACTACAGCAATCATCCGCGCATCCCTAATCGGCGCATTTTGCAACCTCTTCATCTCCATCATACTCTTTCCATCATTTCCCTTTAGCTGCTCCTCCAAGAACTCGACAACCTTGCCTTGGAACTCATCACCTGTAGCGTCCCACACATAATTGTAGAGACCCGCATCAACAAGCTCTTGTGCCGAGAGTTTACGGCCGAACATGAGGAAGTCGTTGGCCCGGTGAATGCCAATGGATTGGGCAAAGGATAAAGCGGATCCGTTCTCAGGGACGAGACCGAGGGCTGAGAAAGGACATTGCAGCCAAGCTGTTGAGGAAGCAAGGACAATATCCGCAATACCCGGGAACCAAGCTGCACCACCACCGACAGCGGGGCCGTTTAGGGCAAGGATGAGGACTTTGCGGTGGTCGATCATGGAGCGTAGAAGTTCCGTGGCATAGCCAAACCGAGTCATGTAACTCAATTTCTTCTCTCCACCATTTTTGAACACTTCACCAGCTCCGGGGATGCCTTTGACGTCTGCACCGGCGGAGAAGAATCGGCCTTCACCTGTCAAGACGGTGAAGACGGTGTCTGGGTGCTCATTTAGAACGCGTAGTGCGGCAATGACGTCTGGGATGAGATTTCCGCCGAAGGAGTTGAGGGCCTTGGGACGGTTGAACTAGGGAGTTGTGTTAGTTCTAGACATATAACATAACACGGATATCGATGATTCGACGAGAAAATCTTTCGTTGAATGCTCCACAATCCTGTCGTGGCAGAAAGAGCATGATTGGGGTAATCTTTTACCTTGATGATACCAATCTGTCCCTTGATCTCGAACTTGATGTCAGAGTAGTCGGATGAAGAGGTCATGATGTTTCAGAAACTAGCTTCTTTGCCAAGTTCTTCGAGACAAATAAATGAATTTTAGCTATGACCAGTACACTTTTTTTCTTCTAAAGAGTTGTTGTTGAGTCGTTCTTTTCGATGGAATGGCGACCTGCTGAAGACTTTCGGTCCTAGGAGCTGAGTTGTGATTGAGTAGTAAGCTTTCCCCGCCTGGGACGCGACGGGCCTCGGTTCGGTAAGAAAGCTGGAGTATTATTGGGCGTACCTATGCACGCGTCAACCTAAACCATTTTTGTAAGACTCTGGAGAGGTGATTTACGGATATCAGCTTGAGACGCCAATTGTGTGATGAAAGTGATGCAGCGACGTTGCACAGCCGCTGACGCGTGAATGAGTTGCTGACGATGCTGATAAGGACATGTTCGCGTTTAACCTCGGCACGTTTTTATTGCACGTCATCACGGGCGTTACGTCCATGACTAAGGCACGCAGACAATAATGAAGAGAAGTCAATTTAACAATGTTAGCCAATAAGACTGCAAATACTCTCAGTTGAGTTGTAGTTTAACACGTTACGACACGCAACTCAGATTAAGTAATATTCATAACTAATGATTCATACATTGCAGGGACTGAAAATATACATTTCTCTTCATGGGAGTGGATAAATACATATATCATACATCTACTCTTACTAACCCTCGAAAACTCCATGATTCAGCTCAACGCCAAAGTCCTTGGCCATAACGCGCATGTGCGCTTCGATATCGTCTTCCATACCTCCACCAACACCAACCAGTTGCTTGAGCTTACTCCAGAAGAACACCGCATCGCTAAGTGCCAGTACACACCGGAACCGCAGATGGTTGACCCAATTCTTCCATCTTTGGCTCACGCTAAGGTCCCTGGATTCAATCAACGCCCTACTAGCCCACAATCCGGTGATCTTGATACGGTTAACAGGCGAACCAAGGAACTGATTGTTACCCTGTACGATACGCAAGTTGCGGCCGATGAATAAGAGCTCACGAGGGAATTTTGCGTCGTCGCCGAGGATGAGCTTGATGGCATCGCGACCTTTGGCTTGCATTTCGAAGGCGCGTTCAGCTTGATCTTTGCCTTTTCTCTCGGATTTGAGGACCTCTGCTACGCTTTTGTCACCACCTTCGTATGGGCGCATGAGCGTTGCTGATGCGAAGATGTCAGCGTGCTTGACGCCCCAACTGCTGACAATCTCCTCAATCTTAGCATTATCGAAGGCGAGGAGTGATTTCCAGAATTCCGAGTATTGGAGGCGGAACTTGGGGTCCATGCGAATGTACAGACCGTGATCGATGAGGACAACCTCGGGCTGTCCGTTGGGTAGGCGGCGGATGAAGATGTTTCCAGGGTGAGGATCGCAGTGTACTGCACCCCAGAGGAACATCTGTGCTGAAAAGAGGTCGACGATGGTATTCATGGTAGTCTTCAGTGAAACGCCGAGACCGCCTTTGCCATCGTTGCCTCGCCATGAGTTACGGTCCGGCTTGAAGCATTCATATTGTGTGGCGTCCTCTGGGACATGTGTATCAACTTTGGCGTCCTTGGGGATAGGGGGAAGAAGGTTGCCACCAGCACCAGGGCTGCCTCTGCGCCATCCGCCCTTCCAGCTGTTCGTGATGCCTTCTTTATCCCACAGTCGCACTCCTTCAATCCATTCGGCAGTCATGACACGCTTGCTCGAGAGCTCACGATATACTGCAGGAATGTAGACTCGACCATTGAGCCGCGGCTCCCCTGCCACAAGTCCCTTCATCTCTACGGCGTTGTCCGCTTCGTTCTCGAAATCGGTTTCCAGCATCAGGCGTTCGGAGATGTATGGGACCAGCGTATAGACAGGGATGCCAAACCACCAAGTGTAGACTTTGGAAACAACCTTGAAGGCCCACAGATCCCATCCGACCTGCTGCGCAATCTCTCTCTTCTGGATCTTGATTGCTACCTCTCTTCCGTCTGCCAGCCTTGCCCAGTGTACTTGCGCAACACTTGCACTAGCCCTTGCAGTCTTTTCCATTATACCTCGACCGTCTTGTCCCTCTCGTGCAAAACTGACGCCAAAGACTTCCTCGGCGCTTTTGCCAAAGTCCTCTCGTATGACTTGCTCAACCTCCCACCATTCATTCTGCGGTGCGTCGTCAAACATTTGCTGAAACATCTTCTGGAACTGCGGCGGTAGTATTGCGCTTTGCATGGCAATGGCCTGCCCAATCTTCAGGTATAGTCCGCCATTGTACCGCAACAGATCGAATATTCTCTGTGCGTTCCTTGCATGCAGATCCTCGATGCTATTCGCAAGCGGTGGGTGCGCACGGAAGTTGATCTTGTAGTCTATGCCTATCAAAAGACCAGTCTTAAATGTGCGCAAACTACGTGTGATGGATGAAGCGTAGAATTGCCTGTCAGCCAGCCATCCCGCACCGAGCAGCGCAGAAACGACGACAAGGCGGCGCACCCATTTTCGGCGAGTAAACGGAGGCTTGATTTTGCGCTGCCTCGGCTTCGGTAGGTCTGCGGGATTGGGAGGGCGTAGAGGCTCCCATTGTTGTGTCTGCAGGCGGCGTACGATGGGTGCCTGGTAGAGTCGCGTGGGGGCCAAGGTTGACGTCAGCAGTCTTGATGTCGCATATTGGGCAGGTGCTCTTCGAAGAGCAGACAGGCCATGTATCATGGCTGTCGAATGCAGGACGGAATCAGCACGAGAAAAGTGTGGTAGGACATGAGGACTACGTTGTGAGATTCAGTTATCTTTCGCGCAGTGTCGGACTTAAAGTCATGACGGCATTTTCAACGCCGCCCGAATAAACCGCTATTTCGTCCGTGCACCATAAGACATACCAACTCCACGTTCCGATTCAACCCGAACCTTTGATTCTCTTTGTATTGACGATCAATTGCCTGCGGCTTTGAAGTCATGTATGTTTTCCTTGGAGTCAAAACCCCTGTCTTCGCGTGATCGGTCATGAGGAGAGTCACACCCAGAACTGTCTCTTCGCCGAACACGATGGATGACTATGCTGTGTCTGTTGATGATAACCTCCCGTTCTGTAACCAGACTGTAGAACGTTCTGATTTGAGGAGCGGCGAACCAATTCGGAGAAGTCACTGTCACACCATCTGGCGCTTGTTGGCGTTACTTGAGGATGCACTTGGAAAGTGGCACTGGGGAGAAGGCCAATCTTCAAAATGCTCCTCACGACTGGTCATCCTGTGGCACTTGACTTTTCTCCACAGCCTGGAGATCAACATTCCACCTCTTTGCCAGTTCCTCAACAACATCTATCCACTTCTTCACTAGAGGATGCTGATCCGATACCTCTCTGAATGTGGGATCTTCATCCTTCCCTACAACACCCCACTTCCATATTCCTTCCTCATCTACCCATTGGCGACCCAACAACTCCTCGATTGCAAGCTCCTTGCGCGCAGATTCGTAGAATTCTGCTACTTCTTTGTGGATCTGCTTGTCATGACCTCTCCATGCAGCAGTAAAACCTTGTAGGACTCCTAGTATGTAGCCCACCTTCAAACCCAGATTTGCGCCTAGGGAGTAGCCTTCATCGAAGCCTTCCTGTACGTATTGCCCCTTACTATTCGCTAGACCCTCACGATATGCATCTGTGTCTAGCGCACGTTGACGGGATGGAAGGTCTGAGAGTATCTCATGGTTGTGTGCATGTGGGATGTTCGCAGCGAGAGTGGGTGACGCGGGCGCGGAACCGTAGATATCGTCGAGCGCATTCTCGTGCGGAGGCGTTGGAGGAGCGTTTCCGGCAGCAAGTTGAGTTGGGCCCAAGGTGGGAGACACATCACCGATTGCGTTCATAGTGGGCGTTTCTCCCTCCAGCGAGGATCGTGCAAGCTGTAAATTCCATGTTGTGAAATGTACCAGGTGGGGTCAAGAGTGAGGGTTTGGTGGAGACTAGCGTTGTCTTCGGCGGATGCGGAAGCTTGAACTTCTTTGAGCCCAGATCTGCAGTCTTTTACTACCATGAATGTTCGCATCGCTGGAAGTTGTCAGCTAGCATGAGGGAACATTATTCCGGTAGATTCAGTCCGCTATGTCCAGCTTTGGGTGATGGTAACTCCGTTGACGCGGACGGACGAATACGGGCACGCTCGTTTAAGCTGCATCCATCAGGCATTCACTCACTTTATCAAGGACAACCACCCTAAGTCCCAATAGCGATTCATTAACCTCACAGTTCTGCGCAAGACCAACTTTCTCGATTACCACGCCGTTGCCATGGTTGCTATTGACGTTGTCCGCGCTCACAACGCATCGTTGAAGAGCCTACCACCAAATCTAGTGGCAGTTTTTGTCGGAGGTACAAGTGGCATTGGCTTCTTCACAGCTCGAGAGGTAAGTCGCGACTACTTGAAGGCATATACGATATATACCGACTAGGTAACTCCTACCTCTACAGTTTGTCCGAAACACTACATCACCACATGTTTACTTGATTGGCCGCAATGCAACAGAGGCTGGAAAGATCATGGAAGAGCTTAGCTCCATCAACAGCTCATCCCAGATCAGCTTCATCCAGAAGGACCTCTCACTATTGAAGAATGTGGACGAAGCATGCAGCGAGATCAAGAGCAAAGAAAAGCAAGTCAATATACTGTTCATGACGTGCGGATACCTTACGGTGCAAGGTAGAAACGAGACATCCGAAGGTCTGGACAGGAAGATGGCGGTCCAGTACTACTCGCGGATGCGATTTATCTCCCAGCTCACGCCGCTGCTCGACAATGCCTCTGAAACTAACAACCTCTCTCGCGTTGTCAATGTTCTGGATCCGCAGGCTGGCTTGAGGCTGGGCGGCCTTGACTACTCTGACCTCTCTCTGAGGCGTAACTTTAGTCTCAAAAGGGTGCTGCTGCACGCGAGCGCCATGACAAACCTTTCCGTCACTCACTTGGCAAGTCAGAACCTTAAGACAAGCTATATCCACGAATACCCATCTGCTGTGGATACAGGCATAACGCGAGAACTATTCGGCCGCTTCAACAACGCTGTCACGTTCGTGCTAGGTGGTCTGTTTGGACGTCTCTTCTTTGTTCCGCAGGTGGAAAGCGGCGAGAGACACCTGTTTGCTGCCACTGCACCGCGTTACGCCCCCAAGGCAGATGGCGCTCAGACAGAAGTCGTTGGAAGTGACGGAGTGAAGGGAAGTGGAGGCTATGTCCTGAATTGGAATGGGGACATCCTGGCAGACACAAAGAAAGCGCAGAAGCTGAGGGAAGAAGGGGGAATGGACAAGGTTTGGGAACACACTCAAGAGGTCATGAGCAAGATCGCGGAGAGTGGAAGGTTTACTGGATAGAGTTTGAAGACTTGCGCCTGACGTAGGATCGAGCGGGCCGGGAGAGCATCATCAATCCATGGGACAACTGAATCGCACTGTGTGGGGCATTATCGATAGGCGCACGTGTTGCGTGATGATGCTATCTACAGCTGAGACGTGTTGGTTGGACTATCATGAGGCGCAGCTTGTTGGCGTTGGCGTAGAAGCCAAAAGTGGAAGAGCCAGCACGCCCTCCTGTTCGTGTTTGATGGAAAAACAGAGTAGGATGACGCCAGAATTGTTTCTTTATGTCTATTCTGTCTTTCTGTGACACAGCATCGTGGGTGTCCCCAGAAGCGTTGTGTCGGATCGGAGATGGCGTTTATGCGCTCCTTGCCTCCTAACAACACATGGCTTCAGCGTCCCCAGCCCTCTGCACTGGGCACCGAGGCTTCATAAAATGAGGATTCCGGCTAGCGGGAACCCCTATTCATGTGCATGACGATCGCCAGGGACCGGCAACCCAGCTGCACGTCGCCGCCGAAGCGATAAGGATTGCACAAGACAAATCTGCCGCGTTGTGAAGAATGACTGGCTGCTGGATGCAAATTGGCGCGCTGCCGGTGGTTGTCTGGTCAGGCCAGATGTTTCGCATTGAGATTTCGGGCGCGCACCCCCGTCGGTGTCACCATCGCGGTTTCCCGCTGTGCGTCCAACGTCGAGAAGCGACGGCCAATGGTACGGCTGCTTACAGCCTTGCTCCTTCCGAGACGCGTCACGCCGATGTTGACGTCTGTGGTGTTGCTTCTTGTGGTGGCTGGCCTTCACCACTCCTCCACCTCACCCTCCTTGCGCGATTAAACTACCGGCGATTTACTTTTGTCGAGAATCCGGGGGTGCCATTGCGCCGTATCGTTCCTGCAGTAGTGTCTCGGGCCAAAAGGTTAGTCGAAGCCTCTGACTAGACCCTGGGCCTTTCACCCGCACGCGCCATCGAGATGCGCGTTTGAGCAGGTGCTGACCTTGCGACACCCGCCGGCAGCTCCTCCTTCAATTTCACTTGCACTAGGACGCTGCGAGGTCCGAATTGCTGTGCCGTGCGCAGGATAGCCCGACCCAGCAAGACTGTCCGCTACGCTGCTGCAGTCCTCCATTGCTAAGATTACACGCGCGAAGTCGCAGCCACTGATATTAAGAGCCCTTCCGCCGCCCACCATGGCCACCACCATCGACGACCGGTCCCCTAATCCACCTAATACCTTGGCCCACCAAGACGGCTCTCCTGATCCCTCTGGCCGCCCATCAGTAGCCCAATCCACCAACTCTGACCAAGCAGGACCGCGCAGATCCAGCTTCAACTTTCTGCGCCGAACCAGCGGGAAGAGCTCCTCCGAAGTTCGCGGTAATAGCAGTAATCGAAGCACTTCAATCGGCAAGATGAGCAGGAAGCAGAAGCAACTCGCCCAGGAGGAGGCTCTTCGCAAGCAGCGCGAAGCTACCATGCTGCCCAAGCAGCCGCCGCGCCTGCCTTCTCACTCGGCCCTTCCCCAAATTGCCACGTTTGGAGGTGAAGACGCCCGTCCAGACTCCATTGCCATTGTCTCCAACAAAGCTGGCACCTACAACCCCAGCGCCCACAACTTCAGCCGACCCTCAACCGACACCTATAGGATGGCGCCTATCCCCAGCTCCAGCCCCGCTGTGGCGCCGCCCGTGCCTGGTTCCTCGCAGTCCAACTACATGGACTACGATCCTTACCCGAGGACTGAGAGTATGACCAACCGTGGTCGCTACAGCTATGCCAGCAGCCAGATCAGCACCGTCAACAGTCCCCGCCGTGTCAGGAGGAGGAAGGACCCCACGCCTTTCAAGTAGGTTCCACATTGCACCCTTCGACGTCAGCGCTAACAATTACATAGCATCCTTGTCATTGGTACCAAGGGCTGCGGCAAGTCATCGTTCATTGAGTTCCTCCGCACTGCGCTTGCACTTCCGGCTCGAAAGCGCCCACATACGCCCTCCCCACCTGCTACAGCCGTGGGTGGTGACGACTCACCTTTCACGTCAGAGTTCCTCGAGACTGAAGTAGACGGTGAGAGAGTCGGCGTCACGCTCTGGGACTCCGAGGGCTTGGAGAAGAACATTGTCGATTTCCAGCTACCCATCATCACCTCTTTCCTCGAGTCCAAGTTCGAAGACACATTTAGCGAGGAGCAAAAGGTTGTACGCGCTCCAGGCGTCAAGGATACACACATTCACTGCGTCTTCCTCGTCCTGGATCCGATTCGCTTGGACCAGAACATAGCCGAGGCCCGCAAGAAGTCCAACGTTGTTAATGCTGGCAGTGCCATCTTCGGTGGTCTGGATGAGCGCCTAGATCTTAACATACTTCGCGAGCTGCAAACCAGAACGACTGTGATTCCAGTCATCAGCAAGGCAGACACAATCACCGGCGCACACATGCGCTACCTCAAGAAGACAGTCTGGGACACGATCAAGCGCGCAAAGTTGGACCCCTTGGAGGCCCTGAACCTAGACCTAGGTGACGATGACGAAGATCCCGACCGACTGGATGAGCGAGATGAGGACGAATATGAGCAGTCGTCTGAGGGCGAAGGTAAATCCGAGGTACTTAACAAGATCCTTGAGCGATCTTCCTCCGAAGCTGCGCGCTCGATTGCTTCATCTGGTTCTTCTACTAGGTCGCACTCACCTCCGACCTCGCCCCCGAGCGCCAGGAAAGGTCATAGCCGCAAACCTTCCGCCATGTCCGCCTCTATTCACAGCGAAAATGCCGAGACTCCGTTCTTGCCTCTTAGCATCATCTCGCCAGATCCTTATGACCCCGAGGTTGTCGGTCGTAGATTCCCGTGGGGCTTCGCCGACCCTTACAACCCGGAGCACTGCGACTTCGTCAAGCTCAGGGAGAGTGTCTTCAGCGATTGGCGCTCCGAACTCCGCGAGGCTTCCCGCGAGCAATGGTACGAGGGCTGGAGGACCACCCGTCTGGAGAAGAGCAAACGACGAGTCGCGACTTCAGATGGGCCAGCAACCAGAGGACTCTCCGTCCCGGCAACGAATGGTCGGGCCGTCAGTGCTGGCGGCGGCCAGTATCGCCCATATCGCCCCAACGAGTTCTAGGTGCCTCGATCCTAACACTCACGCCTCTTGCCAGTCCGGCATCGTCATCGAGTCAAACCAACTACGGACAACATCCACTCCACAACGAGGCCATTTAACGTTCATCCAGCGAAGCATCTCTTGATCCTTCCACATTCAGCACAACTCAAGCGGTATATGTGTACACTTGGAGGTCTCGATACTCTTTCCTATATTCGTTTGCATCTGGAAGTTTGTGTTTTTATTTGATTTTGAAATTGCGCATACCCTTTTTCGTATTGTTTAGTACCATTCTAGAGTCACGCCGTTCCGACACTGTTCATTCTGTTCAACGAGGATCCGGGTGGTCGATGTCTTTTACGCTGAGCGTAGTAGGAGCAATGCGGGATCAGCTTCAAACCTGTTTATTTAGCGAATGATTAAGATATCAGTGGAGGATTGGTAGCAAACAGATCGTAGGGGTTGAGGGGATTCGACAGAAAAATTGTATCTTATGAAACATTCGTCCCGCTTCACGAACTGTGGCTGTTAAACCTAGTATCGATCAATGTGAGCGCGCAGGGGAGAGACGTGCCGAATACCAAATTCTTGGGTTCGATGCAAAAAGCAAAGTGATTAGCGCAATGTTTCCAGAAACATGGTCGGGATTACTCGTGGTGTTTGGAGCCGAGATACCAGTTGCCAGGTCCACTCTGACATCTCAACCAACCAATCGCCTGTTCGTACCTCGCATCGTGCATCCTGTCTTGCGCGCGGCGACCATCCTCCTGTTCCCAACGTTCGTCATTAACAACGAGACCTTCTGCATTTGCAATGGTTGCCGGTATCGCACCTCGAGCGATTTAGATATAAGATATGCGTTATGCTGTCTTTTCCATTTTGTTAGCGTTTGTTTTCACCTGCACCTTCTTCACGCTCTTCCATCTCCTACCTCACGACATTGACATGGCTTTCTCACGCAACTATGTGCCGCTATTCTTTGCCTCCATAGCCACTACAGCAGTAGCCCAAAACATTTCAAAGGTAGATTTGGGCTGGTACGCGCCCAAGAAAAGCTGGATCAATGATATCGGCCAAGTCTTGAACGGCACAGGGACGAATGGGTTTGTGTTCAACAGCTCGCAGCTACCAGCTGGTGTGGAGTACGGAACGTACAATTGGTGTAATATGCCGCATGTGAGGAAAGAAGAGTATGTAAAGGTTGATGATGAGTTCGAGTTGGTGTACGTGGAGGTGTAAGTGTCAATGTCATTCTATTCAACTTCAACTGGGAGCTTACAGTTGGCGCAGTATCCATCGCCATCACAAGCGCACACCTTATGCCTCCAATACTTTTCCCAAAGAGGCTTATCCCTGGGATTGCAATGACCAAGGACTCTTCTACTATGGCGAGCCTCTAAATCCTGCTGGTAACACTTCTGCGTCAACATATTGGAGTGTCTACACCAATCCTGTTAACCCCTTCGCTGTGGCTGGCTTCAACGGATCGTGTCAGTTTCCGCAAATTACCCGTGAAGGCCTCGACGACTCGTTACAGCACGGCAAAGATCTTTACGGCGTATACCACGACATGCTCGGCTTTCTACCAGACGTCATCAACGAAAAGACAACATGGCGCGTCTCAAATAACGTGATCACTAGCCAAGTCGCCGGAATGTTGATTGAGGGCATGTACAACTCCAAAGACAACGTACCACTGCATGTTCAACCGTCCACCATCGACTCCCTAGCCCCGTCGTACTCTTGTCCAGCAGCCTCTTCTCTCTACAGCTCCTACGGTGTTAGCAGCACAGCTTCAAACTGGACTGCACATCTCAAAGCCACAGCACCACTCTTTGCTTCTCTCGACGCCATAAGCGGTGTTGCTACCGACTCTTCGGAGTGGCATAATTGGTTCGATCACTACTACGACAATCTCTCCGCTCGTCAATGCCACGCCAAACCTTTACCCTGCAACATCACCAACCCAGATCTTTGCGTCACTCAAGAACAAGCCGATACTGTTTACCGTCTTGGTCAGTACGAGTATTCGTTCATTTACCGCGATTCTCCGCTTTCTCTACAAGCAGCTGCAGCTTCCTACGGCATTTTCATGGCCGAGGTTGCAGAGAATATACGCGCTGTTCTTGCAGGCAAAGACTCCGTCGTATATCGGCATAATGTTGCGCATGATGGGTCGTTGGCGCGCTTACTTAGTTTCTTGCAGGTCGAAACTATGGTTTGGGTGGGCATGGGTTCCGAGGTTGTGTTTGAGGTTTACCAGAAGGGGGGTAAAGCATATCTGCGTATACTTTGGGGTGGACAGATTTTGAAGAGTTCAAATCCAAGTTTAGGGAGAATTGATATGATTGATCTGGATGTTTTTCTGGGGTATGTGGATGGGCTGGTAGGGAGGAGAGCGGACAAGGTTGTTGAGAATTGTGCGGAGTAGATGATTACCAAGTATACGATTCAGAGATAACAGAGTTCCGGGTAAGGTTCTTGATACCGGTTTTCAATACTATGACTTCATCCTGGTATGTATTTGAAAAACGCGTGTAATTTCTAACGATTCCAGCCCAATTACTGAGAAAGCAAATGTCAGCTAAACGCTCCTTCGACTACTTCCGAGCGAGGCTTACTAAACATGGAGAAAGGTCTCGACTGGGATTGTTAGCTAATCATTTGTTAGGATGGACATGCGAGGTAAGCATGCTAAGCATGCTGTCAGCGTTCCTTCAAGACTACCCCACCAATCAAAATGAAACGATTAGACTAGCCACCTCAGTACCTCAACGCTTCTAGGCAAAAGTCGTGATGAGGTTCCTGCCGAAAACCGAGATTTGGAATGAGAGTGTTGCAAATCAGGTTCAAATTGCGCAAGAATACGTGCTTACTACCAAGTATTTGCGTTGATGTTTGCGTATATAGTAAAGCAAGAACCACTTCACTGTAGACTGTATACTTCCAAGGTTATTTGACTGCTGGACTCTACGCTGTTTTCAGTTATATCTACAATTTCACACAAGGACAAGAAAGGCTCCTGAGAATATACCAGATTATTAGTGAATCATGCCACTTTCTACAAACCTGGAGGTAGTAGAGACGAGCAATGGTCTTGTGAGCACTCTTCGCAGTATGGCTGGCAACGCGCCGCACAGCTTCAGACCTGGTATGTTGTTTCCACCTTATCTTCTCCTTGCTGGATGCTTTCTCGGGTCCCTCCACTATGCATGTCTATAGTCACTATCGATTTTCCGCTTCGAACATCAGCAGCTGATATACTACAGCCCACGCGAAAGGACATCTCTTGACTGGAATCTTTACACCTAGCGCCACAGCCCCATCCCTTACAACAGCACCCCACTTTAATAACTCCTCCACACCGATAACTGTGCGCTTCTCTTCCTCCACCGGCTTCCCCAAGATTGCAGACACAGACCCCAATGCCAATCCGCGAGGCATCGCAATTCGATTTCACCTGCCTCCCAAGGAAGACGGAACGCGGCAACATACCGATATCATTGCTCATTCGACACCATACTTCCCTACACGTACTGGTGCTGAGTTCCTGGAGTTTCTAAAAGCGGCAACAGGGCAGAACGCAGGAGAGGCAGTGCCCGAGTTTCTGGGCCGCCATCCGGAGACGGCAAGGTTCTTACAAGCGGCGAAGCCTAGTCCTGAGAGTTTCGCTACAGAAAAGTTCTTTGGTGTAAATGCCTTCAAGTTGGTCAAAGGGGGCAATGCTACCGTGGTCAGGTACAGAATCGTACCCGTTGCCGGGGAGAAGCATCTCGACACTGAGGCGTTGAAAGAGAAATCCGACACTTATCTTTTCGATGAGTTGACCCCACGTCTGCAGTCTGGATCTATTGGATTCAAGTTACTGGCTCAGGTTGCGGATGAAGGTGACGTAACTGACAATGCGACTGAGATCTGGCCTGAGGAGAGGAAGGTTGTCGAACTGGGTGAGATTCAGATCGAAAAGATCAAGGACGATGAGGAGAGCGCGAAGGAGCAGAAGAGTATAATCTTTGATCCTATTCCGCGAGTAGAGGGAGTAGAGCCAAGTGACGATCCGTTGTTGGAGGTACGCGCCAGCGTTTATCTGATCTCTGGAAAGCAAAGAAGAGCTGCGGAGGAGCCGGAGAAGGCGGATAGCGTGGTCGCTACGGATGCTGCAGTGGCTGCAACATAATAGCTGGCTCTGCATATTTTCTAGATGGATGATGAGAGATTTGGAGATGTCTTTTATTTCCTGAATGAAATACACTGTTTGTACGATCGGACTCGTATCATCTTGTGCGTGGAATTGACGGCAGAGCCACTATTCGTGGCAAGGTTGAAAGCAGGGTTCATTTTCTTCTTGTTTGGTGGTTCGAGAGATGAATATACCGCTCCACGTCCATTCTCCGTTTCGCTAACGGCGACAGTGAAGGTAATAATCGCAGGCTGCATTGTGACTGACCAAGCATACAATTTTAGAACTCGGGATAGTTTCGCTACCTATTTTCTGGTAACCTTAAAGGTTTTTTCTGAGTTCTGGAGTTCTGAATCAGCGGTGGCGTAATATGTAAGGGTGCAGCCATCGCCGCAGTAACAAAGGCGGAGCCGCTGTAGCTGAGCAACCAATTCTGCACTCAACGTTAGGGCTGAGCGATTCCGATGCAAAAGCATGTAGCATCCCTTTCTAAAGCCTCTCGTCGGATTATACCATGTTGAGAGCCCTTGGCGATATAGCGTGTGGCTGACAATTCGGATAAGTCTGGGGCAGCTTGGAGTTCAGCGACAGCAAAGAATGATTACGCCATCAATCCCCGAGGGTTCATGGTCAACGCAGCTCACGAATAACATCGCGATGTTTAGGCTGTATCACGATTGCGCATTATATAAGGTTTACGCATTGTTCTTTGTCCTCTTATCTTTCCAAAAAGAGGCTTGAGAACTCCGCCACGCGTTCGTAGTAAGCTTCGGGCGAAGAATGCCATTCGCCTGGAGGTCTTGGATGGGTGTGTGATGGCGTATCATGATAGGGTTTGATAGGCGAATACCTTCTTCATCACCCAGAAATATCGCTCTCGGCCTAGTAACAGGTGTTGCGTGACCAGATGACTGCGCATAGCGGTTGGTGGTCTGTGATGCGCTCTATGATTGGTATACTCAGTAAGCGCTTTGCAGATGCTCACAGCTACTCAACTTTCACCAGTATTCGAAAGTCCTGGCGACATGCTCTGACTGATATCACGAAGAATTTCGGCTACCGATTGATTGGAAGAGGGCTCTTGTGAGATTGTACATTGCCGATACAGTAGCGGGAACGATGATTGCGGTGCGACATAACGCGATACGCCATAGTCTTACATTTCCTGGCTGCCCATGACGCCCGGATTCAGTTAGTAAGCTTCGAAAATCCTTTGTTCAACGATAGTGATGTGCAAGTGAAATCGGAGGACGGGACGTGCGTCGAAGGAGCTGCCAAATGGGATCAAAGTGGAGCTGCGGGGAAAGATGACATTGTATCTTGGCATCTCCCACGTCGAGCTCTTGACAACACTGCCTTCCAGATCACAGACCCTATTGGCAAATTCTCCTGTGTCATGGATCATCTGTCGGTATCAGCTTTGAGGATGGCAGTTTGCCTGTACGCCATTTTTCTGAGCTCTCCACCTGTGGACGCCAGTACATCAATGCTGTTGCCAAAAGTAGCTGTCGCTTGCTACAAACACCATTCTTTACAAACACGGATGTGCTAGCGAGGCATGTACTAGAGTATCTGAGGCAAAATAACAGTGGACGCCTGTGCCTTTCCAATTTACCTTGCGCTACTTCTGATTGAATATCTTTCAAACGCACACAGTGCATCGAGACGCTACTGCTGTGCACAACACCCCATTTCTATGAAGACATTCTCACGAACCATTCCAGTGGTCCAATCTTTTCCGCATCTTTCTCCTCCCTCTTCAGGCTTTGTACGACGTAGTGCGTAAGAGTTTCGTGTCCTTCGCTAAGCGCGTTGTACGCCGATTTACCAAGCGTCCTACATTGCTACAGGCGGAGAAGCCCACCTTCTAGACTACGCTCATAGTCTGATTTGCATGAATCCCGCGACCCTGCGTTGCTCACACAAATCTCTTCCACGATTGGAGGTCATTCAAATCCCCCAGGACCTGCATTACCCCACAAGGCACCGCGGCTACTCTCACGCCATACAACTTATCCCTGTTGGTCCTTTTTCCGACTATGCCGGTTGTTTGCAGTTTTGAATCCTAATGCCATTGAAGCAGTGAGAGACGTCAAATAACTTCCAAGCACAGGGACGCGCATTCAGTCAGGGCAAGCAGTCACTCTGAAAATTACCATCGCCATCGTAAAAGGTTAAGTCCCTCTAATCTCAGCATATTGATTACACCCTCTCGAGCAAAGTCCCGCCTATGTAAAGGACTCGAAGCATGACTACTCCACTCTCTCATAGCAGAGACAATGCTATCGTGATTGCCACACGAACAGCATCCGGACTTTCCGTCATTGGTTCAGCGTTCATCATTAGCACCTTTGTCTACTTCCCATTCTTCAGAAAACGTAAGTTCTCCTACTTAACCAAAGCTCAGGGGCTAATCATGCACAGCGATCAATCGTCTAGTTTTCTTCGCGACTTTCGGCAACATCTTGACCAACATAGCAACCTTGATGTCAAACGCAGTGTTACCGAAGGGCTCAGAACCCCCATCCGGCCTGTGCGAGCTTCAGGGACTACTCATCCAATGGTTCCTGGTCTCAGATTCCCTTTTCTGTTTATCGATGGCCACAAATGTATTTCTGGTATTTTTCTATGGGTACGATGCTCAACAGCTACGGCATCTAGAGAAATGGTATATCGCATGCAGTTATGGTGTTCCAGCAGTACCAGCCCTTGCATACTTCATCCTAGATAGGACTGGACATCAGGTCATTGGGTCAGCAACTCTTTGGTGCTGGGTAGCATCTGACGTCGAATGGATGCGCATCGCATTCTTCTACGCTCCTGCCTGGTATGTTCTGCCCTCATCATGTTAAACATCACTAATATTCCCAGGATTGTCATCACCGCGACCATAAGTATCTACATCGTTACCGGCTACCGCATTTGGAGAAAGAGAGTTGAACTGCGATTAGTTTCTCGCGGCTCGGAACAGTTCCTACGAAGAGATTCATTGACTGCCCCTATACATGACGCCGCACGGGGCTCTTTGCTCGGCATGAACAACATTATAGTAACGACACAGATTAAATGCGATGTTCAGACGAACGACACAATCTCCCGCACGGCTTCACCTGAACTGGACCAGAACTCTATCAGTTCATCCGCAAGCAACCGTTTGCTTTCTAAGTCCAGGAGAATGGATGATCTGGCCACAGCATCATCATCAGCTCCTGTTCCTATCTATACGCCTAAGATTCAGATCGAGGACGTCGAAGCCCAGCAAGTTCTACGCCAGGGCACAGCTGGAAGGAATGGGTATAGGGCAACAGTTGTTGCCGCAAGCCCCACAGCGGGCACGGCAACGGCGCCAATTACACTATGCAGATCGCGCCCTGTTATAAAGAGAACTGCTGAAGGCCATGCTGCGGCAATGGCATACTTTCAAGTGGCTTTTCTTATGTTTCTGGCCCTGTTTGTTGTCTGGTTGCCCAGCAGTATCAACCGCATGTACCAGTTCACGAAGAACCGCCCAAGCTTCGCTTTGAACGTCATCTCGGCAATCGTCTTACCTCTCCAAGGGGCTTGGAACGCCACGATATACATATTCACCACCCGCAGGGAGTGCAGACAAGCTTGGAATACAGTGATGTCGAAACTCAGTGGCAAGCCAAGGCCGGACCGAACATCACGAGGCACATATCGCAAGGGGGCGATGATGAGCTCACAGGATACCCGTGAATCTGCTATTGATGTTGCGTTAGACGATATCACAAAACATAATGTCGATGTCCGTCACTCCGAGGTGTCAAACCAGGATGCGATGCAGCCAGAAGCCCAATCTGATCAAGAGTCCCGGTGCGCCGTCAATTCTTCTTTACCTCGTGGAACTACTGTAGCACTACAATAGTGCAACATTACTCGAATGTGTTCACCTTCGATCATTGATTTCTTGTACATTCGTTTTAATAGAGGGTTATTATTATCTTAGAAGTATCGACAGTACCAACTGTGTGGTTCATTTCTATTTTATGGCTTCCTCTACTTTGACGATTCCTATTTGTACTTTGGCGTGGGAACAATGATGTCTTATCTGTGTATACGGTATTGTGTCAGATGTAGTAGTGGCTATTTGTCTTGATATATATGGCTATGTTGGTCACGATGTTCATAAATTTGGGAGGACTCCACCATGCCTGTTTTTACGTAGCAGTAGGCCCAAATTATCTCTTATTAAAGTAAATACATAAAAGCACCATGATGTCTTAATCATCCAACGACCTCATCTCGATCTCTTACAATGCTATCCATACCCGTTCTCCTCGGCACGAGGATACTCCTCAGAATGCAGAGCTGCCCGTTATCTGGACAAATCTTCTCCCTGTTAAGCTGCTTATCAACTGGACCTGTCGGCCCACCAGTGAACTTCGCCTGCCCAAACAGCTTAACCTGTCTCTTATCACTCTCAGGATACTCTTCATCACCCCACCTACCCTTGAAGTTCAGCCATGCAGTCGGCGCTTGACCATCGTATGCCGAGAAGGCGTTGTTGCCAGCATCGAACTTGTAAAAGCTGGCCGATAGCACCGGGTCCCACATTACGCCTTTGTCAGTGTAGTCTTCTAGAACGCCACCAGGGAGGTTGAGATTGGGGATTGTGTGATCGTGGGTTCCAGAAATGGCATAGTTCGCATGAGAGCCTTTGGCGGAGTAGGCAATAGGTCTATCGCCAGACTTTTCGACGGTGTTGTAGCGAAAGGCTTGGCCGTTGGCGTGTTGAGAGTACCAGATTGCTTGGGGAGAGCCGTTTTGAAAACGGACCATGACATGCTCCCAGTCGCCTACGTGATTACCTAGAGAAGTCGTATTAGAATCGGGTGTAGTCTGGAAAACAAGGGGAAAATGTACCGAAGTTGAGCTGGCTCCATCCAAGTACGTTACCGCCATAGTTGTAGGCGTAAAAGTACATGTAGAAGGCATCCACATTGCCGTCTCCTTTGTCGTTCACAATGATAGCCGCGGTAGTTGCTCCTTCGGTCTTTCCTTGTCCGTTGGGTTTTGTGCCTTTGATCCATGTGGGATCCTTCGTCACATCATCATTTGATGTGAGCCAGACGTCGCTGCCCATTTGGTCGAGGTTGGATGTAGTCAAAGGTTTTGACGGGCCAGAAACTTCATTGAAGTTTACGCGGGGAGTGGTATTGTCCAAGAATGTTTGTATATCAGTAGGAAAATAAGTATCCTCTGAGTGAAGGTATACGATTGGCGCTAAACATGTATTAGTTAGTCCTGGTACACAGCATTTGATAAATCAAGGGTGTTGGGGTATCCAGGTTGCTTACCATATTTGAGTACATAATCTGGGACCCCATTTGGTGTCTGCCTCTCCTGCAATGTAAGTGGCGCGCAGTTGACCAGAGGCACAACCACCATAGTCAAAGCAACGAGCGATCTGAAAGTCATCGTGCCGACTTTTGAGTGTATGTCGAGGGTAGTAGATGCAAACAGAATCAGTGTCAGATTGCGCATAGAAGCCGTCTCATGAATTAATGATTTCTTATACCAACGCCTACACCCAGCTGACTACCAACTCACCTCCCTCAGCTGCCACCAAACGAACCATTTACCCACCCATTCTCCTTCCCCATCAGTCGCATCCTAGCGACATTTCGTTTGTGCATGGCAGACATACCCTCACTAATTCGCCTATATACCCGAATGGTAATCAGCTGCCCCTGCCAATAGTCGGGAAAGCCGGCACACGTGTGAACATGTTTGATGAGTGACCAAAAGGAACGTTCGAATTAGTTGGAGTTGACAGCGGGTGTGGCTTGGATGATTGGTTGTCGGGCGCTAGGGCCCTGATAGCGAGCCGGTCGCAGCGATCCGCGTGGCAGGGATGCACTGAGTTGATAGGGTGAAGGCTAAAGTGATCTGCTTCTGAAACATGATGTTCAGGTGTTAAGGCCATTACTGGTGAGCATGCAGGTGCGATAAGTTACGATGGCGAGACTGATGCAGGAGTCGTGAGGGGTGCTGCATAGGATTGCTCGTAACACTTGGCTGAACATGCGGACGAAGGTCCTGTCCAAAACCATTCTCATATCTTACACCCGGCTCCTAAAATACAAAGGTTCGCGCGTACTTGCGATCCATCTCAGCGTACTCCTCCTTGAGCATCTTGCTTCTGAGCTTGTTCAACCGAAGTATCACGCCCTCTTCTTCACCCTCCAAGTCTTCTACCTTCTCATCCAAGTCCTTCGTACCCTTGGCCTTCCACACTAGTCCCTGCAGACCCCCGCTCTTCGCGTGATCGCGTTTTTCGCGTGCCTCAGCAGCTAGGTATGTCATGATCTTCCCCCATGACTCAAGACCAACTTCTTCGCACTTTTCGCACTTCTTGCGGAGGTCGTCGTTTGCACGTATAGGTTCAAGGGATTGCGCGAGCTTGGAAGTAGAGACAGCGTCACGCACCCAAGAGAGTCCTTGTTGGCGCTGACCAGATGAGCTGCCAGCTGTCGCAAAAAGAATCTCGCCTATGTAGTTCTTCAAGGCAGCCTCTTCGCAACGATCGCTTTCCTTCCGGAGAAGTGGTTCGTCACCAGAAGGTGGCACATCTGGGTAGTCGGGTTCGCGCAGCAAGCTGAATAGAGTGCCGGCAAGTGTGTTGTCTTTCTTGGCCTGTGCCAGAGGGACACGCTCCTCCTCCGCTTCGATGCGAGCACGAAGCAAGGATATGAATATCGGAAGCGCAGATGCGACTCTTCGTTGCTCTGCTAAGAATGTGGCCAAGTTCGTCGCGGCATAGACAATGTTTGGTGTTATTGCTTCTCTCGGCGCTATGGACGAAAGAATGCCACTGTCGCGATCGATAACCGCCGACGGCTCAGATGTCGGCAGGCCTGCAATCGCGATGTCGAGTGCCCACCTATACATCTCCTCCGCAGAATCTGGAAGCTTTCTGAAGCTGAGCCAGTCTGCGTAGCTTAATGCAGCTGACAGCCGTTGGTATGTAGTGAAACCCTTTGAGGTGATTATCTTGAGGTAAAACGTCTCTGGCGCTTCCGCTGCGGGTGTGCGATGCTCCTCATCTGGTGGCTCGGGCATACCAGGGAGAACAGCCTTCGGTCGTGGATTCGAGGGTGATTGAATGAACTCTGGTGCCCATACATTTCTCCTCCACTTGTCCGTTACCCATCCGTCTAGTCTTTCCGCGGCATTGCCCATGCCCATTAGGACTTCATAGTACCCTTGCCGCCACTCCTCGCTTTTTGCTGTCAAGTCGAAGCCTGCCTTGCCTAGGCCGGGCACTAGTATCCCTCCTTCCTCCTGGTCCATCAAGCCCGCTCCATCCTTGTCCGGGTTCTCCAGTCGATTCAGCGCATATTCCAGCTCTGAGTAAACCCGCGCCCAGTTGGGGAATCCCTCTTCCTCGTTGTTCTCGGGCACCTGCCACCACTTTCCTCTCCTGAACCTGAACCTCGTGATCAGACTCCACTCATGGGGCGACGGAAAGGCCCGCTCTTGTTGCTCGCTCAATATGCCCAGACTCGCAATACTGACGCATGATGAGAGCAGAAAGATGAGAATGCTGTACCGCACACTCAATTTTGCTGTCTCTTTTATGAATTTCTTGTGGTTTGCGCTAATGGAGAAGAGACGTTGTAGTTGGCCATTGGAAAGGTGCTGGCCGGAGGGGTACAAGAACGGTAGCTGTGGCCGCGGCGAGCCTTGGTGCGCGACGAGGAATTGGCGGGGGTGTTTGTACGAAAACTGGCGTGGACATGGACGGTCAGAGGAGCGTGTTGTCGGAGGCCTCAGTGAGCCCTGTGGAAGCTTTGTTCGATGCGCCGGTGGCCGCATTATGGCTTGCGGCCAAAATACTGTTGCTCAAGGTGCGCGTTCCATATGCGGTTTCACGCGCCAAGACAACCCTACTCTGACCGCCCTGGCAGAAAAGTTGAGAATCTCCATTCTCGTTTCGCGACGCTCTCACTTATCTACAACATTTTTGCGCGCCCACCATGTCCAAGTCTAAGATTGATACCCCCGAGAAGAAGCGCAAGCGCGACGCCGAGGTTGCAGAAGATGCACCAAAGAAGTCCAAAAAATCCAAAAAAGCCGACAATGTCGAGGATGCGCCAGTCGATGTGACCGAGGTGAAGAAGGAAAAGAAGGACAAAAAGGATAAGAAGTCCAAGAAGTCCAAGGACAATGTCGACACATCGGCCATCGACGACGCATTGGAAGATGCAAAGAAGGACAAGAAGGAAAAGAAATCCAAAAAGTCCAAGAAGTCCAAGGATGCCGATGCCTCTGAGGACGCGCCAGAGGCTGAGCTTATCGAGGAGATGAAATCTTCTGAGAACTTCATCGGTGTCAACGACGATGAGCCAATGCCCGATGCCACCGAAGCCGCACCTGCAAAGAAGGAAAAGAAGTCAAAGAAGGACAAGAAGGACAAGAAATCCAAGAAGAGCAAGGATGCTGCGATTTCCGAGGACACACCTATGGAAGACGCAGCTGAAGATGCCTCGGCAGAGACCAACGGAGTAGATGCCGAGTCCAAGGCTGAGAAGAAGGAAAAGAAAAAGGACAAGAAGGAGAAGAAGGACAAAAAAGAAAAGAAGGCAAAGAAGGCAGCGGAAGCAGCAACCAACGGAGAAACTCCGGCTGAGGAGCCCAAGGCTGAGGCCAATGGTGACGCCGCTGCAGAAAGCGCTGAAGTAGAAGTTGAGGGTGGCGAGGAAAGGGAGATAGAAGGAGAGGAAGCCCAAGCTGCAATTGAGGCTAACAAGGGCCGCTTCATCGTCTTTGTCGGTATGTCTTGTGTATGACCCGCCTATCACGACCTATCTAACGCGAGCCACCAGGTAACCTTCCCTACAGTGCTACGAAAGAGCAGATTGAGAAGCACTTCGAAAAGATCAAGCCCACCGACGTCCGTCTCCGTACATACAAGGGCACAGAGAAGTTCATGGGCACATGCTTCATCGAATTTGACCGCTACGACCGTATGGTGACTTGCTTGAAGAAGTACCATCACTCAGTCTTCCCAGACCCCAAGAAGAAGGAGGGCAGGAAGATCAACGTCGAGCTGAGGTAAGATTCCGTTCGCGCATTCATTTCCCGCCATTGTCACAATTTCGAAAAACCACCATGCGAGAGATGAAGACACATACTAACTCCATATTACAGCGCAGGAGGCGGCGGCAACAGCGAAGCCCGCAAAACCAAGATCGCAGCGAAGAACGAGAAACTGCATGACGAGCGTGCCCGCGACCGTGTTAAGAAGACTGAAGTCGAAATGAAGCAGAGCGAGCGCAAGCAGAAGAAGGAAGCCAAGTCAGGCAAGAAGGGTGGTGACGATGCAGAGGCCGCTGAGCCGGAGCAACCCGACGAGGCTACTACCTTTGGCATGAACCCTGCGCGTTTGGCTATGATGCAGGGGCCTGAGCGACCTCAACACAGGTCAAGATATTAAGGAATGGTTTGGTCGGAATTTAGAGTCGAGGGGTTCATGTTTGAGTTGATTTGCTTTGAAATCTGTTTGTTGGCCATATGAATGGACTTGTACACGATTTGGGTTCGCGGCTTGGCCTCATCTCATGATACCATAGTTTTAGACTTTCGGAAAACGTTGGACTTATAATACTACAAGATACATGCAGCTGCAAACAGGGGGAAAGAGGTGCTTGAGAGGGATGCCGGCACTGCGATCAAAATACAATGTGACTATAGAACGTTGTGCGTATTTTTTGGCACCAGCACGCTTATCGAATCATCAATGCTGCAACATGGTCTTGTGGAACCGCTTTGAGTTCAAATCGTAATTTTTTAATCATGCAGCTCTATTGCTGGGTAAAATGGTAGTCTAAAGGAGTGACAAAGAATTGAAAGGTGACGTGATCCCACCTCTATTAACAACGTTGCAATCATGAGGAGCGATACATGTCTTGACTTTTGTGTGGCCATCGATCCCGTGGACATCAGTGCTAGCTTCCGCCATACTGTAGTTTTCGGACTTAGTAGCCACCGCCGTAGCCCTCCTTAGTGGTGCAGACTGTGGTTGTGCCAGTGGAGATGTAAGTGGTTGGCTTCTTCGCAGTTTCCGTAATGACGGCCGTAGCGGTCTTGGAGGATGTAATGGTCTCCTTAGCAGTGGCGACGCTAGTCTTGTAGGAAGTACCGGTGGAGCTATGCAAATGTGAGCCAGAAGATCATCTTGGGCGAGAGTAGATGGACACTTACACATATGGCACGGTCTCGCACTTGGTAGACGATTTGACTTCGCTTTCCACAACGGTGTTGTAGATGGTTGTTACAGTCGAGTAGGTTTTGGTGTCAAAGTGGGTAGTGTAGTCGGTCAGAGTCTTCGTGCTAGCACCAGTAGTGGTGTATGGGCAGGGCTCCGTAGTAGTGTGGAGCATCTCGGTGACAGTGGTGACCGGAACGACTTCAGTCTTGGTAGACAACCAGGTAGTTTCGTACTCTCCGACACTAGAGGTAGTCCATGCAGCTATGAAGAGTTAATTCAAGACCATACAAAGCGGCATTGGCATACATACATGCAGTGCAGGTTCCAGTCTCCTTCTCAGGGGGAGGAGCCTCATATCCGGCGGAAGACTTAGCCGGTCCAGGATAGCCGGGCAAAGCAGCAACCAGGGAAGCCGAAGCAACGAGCGCGACGAGGTTGTTGAAGAGCATTTTCGGCTAGAGACGAGAGTGATCTGGGCCTTGGGAAAGCGAGTGACGATGTGTATAGATCTGAAGGATTGGACTATTGGATAGATCGTTGCAGACGCTGAAGGCTGATGATGATTTCGAAGGGGATCATAGATTCGCTTTATAGTTGAGCCCAGCTCCTCAAAGCTCGTGTCTCCAGTGTATCATCTCGCGTTTCTTGTTGAGCGTTGGGCCAAAGAAGCAATGTCGTTCTCCCGCAGCATCCGGGTGATCGACAACGCGATCCGCAGAGCCTTGTACATCTTACAGTATGGCTTAGAGAGATAGGCACTGCGGAGAATGTACTGCATGAAAACTAAGAAGAGACAGGAATAGGCCAAGCATGCTGATGCAGGCCTAGATCACGTCGTGCCATGGGAGTATACATGCATGCAGTCAGGACTCCACCATGATCTTTTAGCCCCCCCCCCGGTTGCGAGGACTACCAGTGCCAACATACTTGTTATGCATGCGTAAGCCTTGGAAATTTCCCTTCATGCGATAGACATCGAAATGCATCTCAAAGCGTTATGCGGTATGGAATGAATAATGACAAAGAAAAAAGTAGCCTGTTTCAGGGGATCAAACGGCCTGAGTATTTTTGTGACATGGATGTACAACAGTGTATACAGCAGTATCTTGAGAGATTCCATAAAGAAGTGCGTGGTTAGAGGAACATGCCATACGTCATGCATGTTTGTGTGGTGTGTTTACTCATAGTTCCATGTAAGAATCCCGGGAGCCCGGAACCCGTTGTAGTGGCTGGAGTGGCTGAACGACATGGAACCGTAGGCTGAGTCCCTCGCTCTTGATTGGAAGCTACCGACTAGTTCGACGGGATATTCCTAGTGATGATCACTGCAGCGCTGCAGTTCAACATCGAGTCGTCTTGTCGTCCAGATTCATTGCGGGAAATGATGCGTGGTATGATGCACGTGCGGCTGGAGCACTTCCCAATTCTCGATCGACGTTGTTGTTGTTCGACAGCTAGCAATCTACGCGTCGGGTCGAGTGCGCTGTGCACATGGGAGCCTGTTTGCAGATGGCAGGGAGATGTTGTGATGCACGACGAGGGTCCAGCCATTGTGGGGTTTCTGGGCGCACGGCCCGAGACCCACCGACCGCGGCTTCCATCACAACTTTTTTGTGATGCCCGCTGGCGAACACATCACCTCTGCCATTGCCTCACGACCCCACCTCTCTGTCTAATAAATCAACCGTTCCGGGTATCTTCGCCATACGATCTCGATTGTACGACGATCGGCAAGCGCGAATTCTAGCTCTTCGTCAGCAAGGACGCGCTCGGGGGTCCGCAACGAATTCGATATGCGACGCTAGTCCTGCAGTCACACGATAGATCGCCCCAGATTACTTGCAGCACGACTGTAGTAGTTGATGTGAACTCTCCAGAAGACTCCGATCTCGAGAACGATGAGCCAACCAGCAGCTGCGCCGGCCAAACCGCCTACACGGGCGGCTGAACGCGCGTACGAAGGCACACCCATTACATCTCCACGATCGTTACGCCAACTTTCGATATACTTCCTCGGGAGCGCCTGCCTACTGGCATCAACTGCAATAACGCGGAAGGCTGTATGGAGACGGCAGCTTCGTGTTATGCCAAAGTTTTATGAAGCGAACACGAACCCGCACGAATACTTTAGTCCCTTCTCAGATGCCTGTCAGGCTCTGAACCTGGCAACGATGAACTGTGCCAGCGTCGGAATCATGGCATTAGGTGGTGCAATGTGGACCTTTGATATTGCCAACCTGAGAGAAGCTCGGGCAGTTCTACGGAGCCGCTTGAATTACGACCGAATCTACGAATCTGAAGATGATATACCAAATAGCATCAGCGAGATGATAATAGCCTCCGGTCAGATGCGAATAATAGAGGAGGACGAGCAGGATGATTCTAAGAAGAACCAATAACGACTGTAGACGTGTACGAGTACGATTGTAAGAATAGTGTATGCAATGAAAAGGCTGGGCACTACCAGCCGCGCATGGTAACACAGCTGCGGTAATCTCTCAATGCCTCATCGGATGAGCATTCGCACCCAAGGCACAGCATCCCGAGCCTAATGAACTAGTCCGCCTCATGCCAAGTCGAGATTTTTCTGTACTATCAACATGTCGTAGATCATACAGGCTGTTGGTGTTAGTGCGTCACATGCAGACTGCCGCGCTGGAATGTGGAGGATGAACGCGCCAACTTTCGATCCAGTTATATGAAAGATGCTCGTTCAATGGCTTAGAAGATGGACGCTCAACGACTCCGAATTGCTCTCAGGTCGGTCCAAAGCTCAATAGGAGGGGTACACAGATATGTCTCACAATCTGGGCTGAACGTGACATCGATGAGGGATGTCTCATTTCTAACATTCACTCACTCAGCCATGTCTCGGCTAAAGCGGGTCTTAACAGGCAATTTTCGCGAGGCTCTGGAATTTGTGCTACTTGACTGCTGCTTGTTTTGACATCACATTGGTGCCTAGAGCCATAACCCTGGTACACAATGGTCTACGATGAGCGTTCTTCTAGTACAAAATTGGAACAGCTGCATTGCTGCACACATGCAAGTTCACGTGTTCAAGTAGCCCCGCACTCGGTCAACATGGCGAGTGAATACATTTGTGCTTATGTTCACGACTTATGTCGTCAGCGCAAAGATAGGAACATTGGCTCAAACAAGGGCTTTTCCATTGTAATCGTGCACCATAAGCTTACATGGCTTACTCTTTCACTAAGCTTCATCATCCTGGGGCTGAAAACCCATCACCTTAACGCACCACTTTAAGGTTGAATCCTCTGCGCGACTTGTTGTATATCTTACCGACCCTTCAACAGATGTCGCCCAGCACACCTGGCAGGTGGTATCACAGAATAATCCATAAAAGCTCAGCAATCGGCAAACTTCCAGGTTTCAAGAGTTCATTTGGGGATGGCATCCGACTTAGAGTTCTCTCCATCATGAAGGTTTTCCATCTTCAACCTTGACACCTTTTTGCCCGTCTCTATTTGCTCTCCAAACACCCTCACCTCCCTCGAACCTTTCGAGCTTCCAGATCTCAGCTTTGTCCTTCGTCTCCTCCAATGCTTCCTCACCAGCTCTCCATGCGGCCTGGCGGTGCGGTGACGATACTGCAATGACAATGCTCTCCTCGCCAATTGGACATTCACCCAACTTATGAATGATGGCGATCTTAGTGCATGAGTGTTTTGTGAGGATTGATGTGGCGATCTTGAAGAGTGTGTTGATGGCAAGGGGAGCGTAAGAAGTGTAGGCCAAAGATGAAACAGGCTCGTTGTTAAAAGAGTCGCGAGTCGTGCCTATGAATAGAACAGTTGCGCCTGCGGATGGAGAACGGACAAATCTTGTTGCTGACAAGGAGTCTAGATCGTGCGGAGTGAGTTCGACATGGATGGTGTCTGTGGTCTTGGTCACAGGGTCTGCCGGTATGTCCGGATTGTAAGATTGAGATTCTGTGGTTGCCATGTTGGTGAGAGACCGGCGCTGTATGCCTGGGTGTTGTCTGATGGTTAGCTCGTACCCTTTCAAAATTTATATAAATACGCTACAATATGCCTAGGTAGAGCAAGAAGATACAACCCCCACCATCGCTGACTCACTTCCGCCACGCCATAGATATCGAGCTGTGTATGGGATTTACTTACTTTTAGCGAACTCGTAATACTAGCACAATCTTAGGATTTTTGGGATGTCGAATTCGAGGGTACTGGTCCTTGCCAAAAACGTGCTGGTGAAATGTCGAAGATGCCGTCATAGCGATAGCAGCGCGGGACATTATCTTAGCGCCGATCAACGACCTGCATCCTCACACGTGGAGCGTTAACTCCGGCCCCGCTCGTACCATAGCTCTAGCTCGCGTCGAACGACTGCTTTCACTGCGAGCCAAGTCCGAGGTTACTAGTCTTCGTGAACACCTTATTGCCTTGTTGCCTAAGTCCTCTGACTAGACATTCGCGCAACGTACACGAACGGGCCCCTGCATTCCTTCTATAGCCGCCAACGTCATTCGCTCCCCTGCTTGTCTCGACGCGCCGTGTTAGCCGAATACCTCTCGACCTACATTTCCAACGCATACACGAAACCGCCTTTTATCCACGAACGAACGAAAGCCCTCGCGAACTTATATATATGGCGAGGGATGGTCCACAATACAGCATAAGACATAACCCAAGATGAGCGGGGACTGGGGGTATGGAGCCGCATTCAAGATATTCGTATGGGGCTACCTCGTCGGAGGGCTGACCCTTCTGCCCGCTGTACTTGTGGCCGTCTGGCTTCTGGGAACCAGCCCTGTTGGACAGGAAAGCATCACCGCCAATACAGAGGACGGGACAGCTTCAGGACAACGTAGGAAGTCGAATGGATCCACACACGGGAAGGACAGCGATAACGTGCATCTGGGTATGGGTATAGATGATGAGATACTGGAGAAGCTAAAGGGCAGGACTCACGAGCCGGATGCATGTGCTGGATACTTCGCAGTATGCCGAGAGTACGTACCAGGGGGTGTCAATGGCAAACCCCCAGATCGAACAACGCCAGCCGGTGCTGTAGTAGCCGTGGAAAGCCCGAGCGTCTATCAATCCATATACAGAGGCATATTTGACAGAAATAAGACCACAAGTCCTTCGATAGAAGCAACGAATGTAAAGAACAAAAAGGCCCGCAACGTCTTCTATGTTGTCTTACGGTATGTTTATACATCCCAAACGCGCAAAGTCGGACTAATGCAGAGCAGCCTTGGACACCTGATGCTATACGACAACGAGGATCAGCTTGAAGTACGACACGTCATATCGCTTGCGCATTACAAAGTAGATATATATGGAGGTGGAGAGCGCATACCAGAGGGCGAGCTATGGATCAAGCGAAACTGTATGCCTTCATACTAGGATCTATAATTCTGCAATACTGATATATCCAGGCATTCGGCTAATCCGGCAGCTGGACAATAATGGCACGGACGCGGCGAAAGGCTTCTATTTGTTCTCCGACAACTGTTCTGAGAAGGAAGACTTTTACCACGCAATGCTAAACGCTCAAGAAAATCAGAAGGACCCTACGGATACAGACCATCCATTCGTTCCACTCAAATTCGATACACCCGATCTTGTCAAGCTAGTGCAGCAGTTGCATGCCTCGGAAGAGAATCTCCATACTCGCTGGATCAATGCGCTGATCGGCAGAGTGTTCTTGGCTCTATACAAGACCTCGCAAGTTAAAGACTTTATCGCGAGTAAGATCAACAAGAAGATCGCGCGCGTTCCGAAGCCGGCTATTATTAGCAGTGTACAGCTACGCAAGGTCGACATGGGCACTCTTCCGCCTTTTATCACGAATCCCAAACTCAAGGAGCTGACTGTTGATGGTGACCTTGTTGTGGAGGCAGATGTTAGCTACAAAGGGAACTTCCGCATCGAGATTTCGGCTACCGTTCGGATCGACTTAGGGACTCGATTCAAAGCTCGCGAGGTGACACTCGTGTTGGCTACTGTGTTAAAAAGGCTTGATGGTCATATCCTCATCAGAGTGAAACCTCCACCAAGTAACAGACTCTGGATGACGTTTGAAACACCACCTAAGATGGAGTTCTCACTTGAGCCAATCGTGAGTTCGCGTCAGATTACATATGGTGTTGTTCTCAGGGCTATCGAGGGCCGCATACGAGAAGTGGTGAACGAGACGTTGGTGTTGCCTAATTGGGATGACATGCCGTTTACCGATACTATCGCGCAGATCATAAGAGGCGGTATCTGGGAAGATAGTGCAAAGGAAGACGAGGAAGACACGGACAAGATCAAGCAGGATGAAGCTACACTTGAGACCGCGATTTCGGATGCTGAGAAACTCGATGAGAAGGCTGACTTGGCAAGTGCGCACTTCTCTATTGCATCAAGCGTTGATTCGGAAGAGGTCGGCACTGGCATATCGTCCTCGACGGATCACAAGTCATCTTCTTCAGTGAGACCGCGGGCGATGCGGTCTTCATCGTCTGTCGCTCAGGTGAAGATTGACTCGTCGAATGCTTCTGCTGAGATTGCACATGACCGCACCATGACACCGACAAGTGTAAGATCACTTCCTGTCACGTTGCCTACGAAGTCGCCCGTACGACCCAAGAGCGCGCGCAAGACAACGGAGTCATCAGAGAGTTCCTCAGAGGACACTTCTGCTGCATCAATCTACGCAGAAAGCACTGCATCTGCACCGGTCCCAATCACAGAGCATTCGCGGACCAGGTCGAAAGAGCTAACCGCACAAGAGATCGCCGCGGCCGCAGCCGCCGCAGCAGGAGCAAGCAATATGGCGACGAAGAAACAAACGATCAATCAGTCCCTCAACTCCGCCACAGCAGCGGCCAGGAATTGGCTCGCAGCCAAGCAGAACACCAAGCCCAACGCCAATACCAACAATAGACCACCGACATCTGAAGGCCCAAATCCAGATCATGACTCATCATCGTCGTCGTCTTTGGACGCCCGTCCGCAGCTTCAGTCAAACCTCTCAATCTCCAAATCCCACACAGAACCCATGGGCAGAGGCCAGCCCCTCCCACCCCCGGGCACACCTCTCCCGCACCCCAAGAACGAGAAGAGACAGACCTGGGCCATCCCCGCCGCCGCCTCAAATACATTTGCTAATCTCACAAAACGGAAACCCGTCGCCCCTACTACCAACTCGCCTGTCGTTTCCAGCAAAAGATCAGTGGAGGACCTCATTGAAAGCCCAAAAGCATCGCTAGGTACAGCTTCCTTGGGTACGGCCTCCCTCCTACCAGCCGCGCATTTCCCAGACCAGGACGCTAGGACTGGCGGTGGTAACAATGCTGGAGAAGAAAACGACGGAGAGGATGTTTTTCGTGAGATGCGCAGAAGGAAGAGCAGTGCTGCTAGTAACGAATTAGCAACGCCGCCTCCACCGTTACCGAAACGCAGACAGAGACAACCGAGTTTGAATCTTAGTGCGCATCAGAGGCGGGCGAGTCAGAATCAGAACCTGCAGCCTTTTGGCATGGGAGAGGAGTTGCTTGTCGTTGAGGCGCCGGTTATCGATGGGAAGGATGATGAGGGGAGTAGGGAGAGAGGAAATATGTGATGAAACACCGGTTTGAATTGATAGCACGAATACTCTTCTCTGAACGATTTTGAAAAGACGTAACATGCCTATCGTGGGAGCATGGGACTTGTGATGGCTATGCTGTGACTCGTGGCAATGGCACGCTAGAGCTACGTTCTTGTCTTCCAGCCATGCTCTGCTGTCGTTCCTGTTCATGTGCGAGACTCATGTTTCCTGTCCCCTTGTCCCTTCCAGTTCTTGGGTAGGAACGTCAAAGTTTGCGAAATGCTAGTGACGGACAGTTTGCAACGATGCCATGAGCGTACGTTTGAGAGGCTTGATATCGTTAACGTGTGGGGCTTGGCAGTAATGTTTGGGAAGGCGTGACGAACAGATGCTGGGTACAGCCTGAGAAAAGCTCGCTCCTTCTTGACAGGGGGGAAACTGTTGTTTGGCCACTCAGACGATCAGATCCTCCCTGTTTCCTGCACGCTATAATATCAAGTTGACGGTATCGACCTTGGTACTTCCTTCTGCCCATCGCCACTCGTAGTATTCTACATTCATGTGCTGACGAAGAATAACACGATGCATACCTTCAGAAGTAAACACAACGAGGCTTTGATTAGTCAATTCGACGGAGCTAAAGTCGGTGCAATCCATCTGGCATCTTCTTTCGCCAATTTGGTTGACGACGTGATCTCCAGATCCGCTGGAGCGTTGTTTGCTCCATCCTCTTCTGTAGTGTATAGGCTTCCATCTCAGGAGTCTATTTCCCTTTGCTTTTCTGTAGCGGCATATCTCATGTACCGTCGCCTCATCAACCCATCTTCGCATTGGAGAAATCCATCTCAGGATGCTGCTTCTTGAACTGCTCCAAGATATCCGCCTTCTTCTGCTCGTCACTTGTCGGCTTTCCTGCCTCCTTCTGCCTCTGGTCAAACATCATCTTCTCTACCATACCCCGTGTCTCTCCGTCGAGGTCGCCTAGTTTGCTGTTCTCGGGCTGGATCTTGGACGTGTCGATCTTTGGCGCGGTTGTGACTACGTGTGCCCACCACTCGAGCTGGTTCACCTTGTCGAGGTGGATGGAGATTTCCTTCTGCGACCCGACCGAGGCCAGTGTCCAGGTGGAGTCGTCGACGCGGATGGGATGAGGCAGCTCGCCCTGGAGAAGGCGTTAGTCAGCGCAGGCTACCTGCAGACAGGATAGGAAGCGACGAACGTCAATGAAGGGCTCCTGGCCCTTGATGCCGGCCTTGAGCTTGTTGCGGCCAATGTCGACGACCAGGTCCTTTCCCTTGTACTTGGCATCAATGGTGATTGTGATGTCGAGGTCCTTGATGGTCTGGTCCCATTTGTAGGGCAGCGCTGCCTGCTCGGCCAGCTCCTTTGCGCGCGCCTCAGCGTCGGCCTTGTTCTTCTCCTCGGGGGGTGGCGAGGCAGACATGGTGAATGGCTTGGTGATGTTTTGCAAAGTTTCAGTGTTTGCGAGGGGAAGCGTGGGCGGGACACGATGACGCTCCTCCGCCGATCCATCGTTCGCAGCAGGACCGACGCAAGCGCAAGCTCCACCATGCGCCCTGCTTCACTCACCCTACCCCGGTCCACTCTAATAACGGACATGCTCCTCGGGCCTTGACATCCACGGGCCTAACCTCACTTCTATTGATAACGCGACGTCTCCTATCCTTCCACCCGCGCCGTAATGCTGTCCTAGGAACACCCGAGCTCTCCATTGCGACACATAGCCAGGACACCCGCAACCCACGGTAACACCAACGGCAACACACAGCCAGCGGCCCAACCGGGCAGCGATCTGTCTGAGCGACAGTATCCATAGCAACTCATGGCCAGCTCCTTTGAGAAGAGTGTCAAGGGTGGCACCAAGATCAAGGTAGCTATGCGCCTGCCCGCCCTTCTCCCGTTCACGTCATTGGGACTCGTTGCGCCGTCACAGCAAACTGACAAGTCTCGCAGCTCGCAGCACCCAAGTCCAAGTATGTCGAACACATCCTCGTCGCGACGCATGCCGGCGAAGCTGGTGTCGCTGAGATCTTCCGCGCCCTTACGAACCGATTGCGCGACTCGACATGGACCATCGTATTCAAGAGCTTGATCATCGTACATCTCATGATAAGAGAGGGAGAGCCCGAGGTTACGCTCAAGTTTCTGGCGCAAAACCCGCACAGAAAGCTGGCCATCAACCATTTTACAGAGGGTATGTCTTGAGACTTCGTCCCAGGCACACGTGTCCAGGCTCATGCACCTCTATCACGGACACGAGTTGGGCAGCAAGCACGTCGCCCAATGTCCTGTGAGTTTGGGCGGATGTGGTTTGGCTCGCGACTAAAGGCGTATACAAAGTGCTAACATTGCGTGCAATAGTACAGACCCAGGGACATAACATCCGGACCTACTCCGAATACCTGCTACGTCGAGCGATCGAATATGGCGCCACCAAAGTCGACTACGTGCGCGGCGGCGAGGGGCGGCTTAAGCGGCTCACTGTAGAAAAAGGCCTTCTTCGTGAGGCAGAGAGTGTGCAGGATCAGATCAGATCATTGCTCAAGTGTCAGGTATGTGCAGCTATGCCCAACCACATCCCTTGCTGGTTTGACTTTATATAGCCATTCGACGACGAACCAGAAAACGAAATTACCATGACAGCGTTCCGACTGCTCACGATGGATTTATTGGTGCTCTTCCACGTTATGAACGAGGGCACTATCAACATTCTCGGTGGGTTCAGCAAACGTACTTGGGTTGCAGTGTACTAATTAAACAGAACACTATTTTGAACTATCCAAACCAGATGCAACGCGTGCCCTGGCAGTATATCGCACATTCGTCAAGCAGACTGAAGCTGTTGTTCAATACCTCAGCCTTGCAAGAGCGCACGAACACTCGACAAGACTGGAGATCCCCAAGATCAAGCATGCCCCTACCAGTCTAGCAGCATCTCTAGAAGAATACTTAAACGATAAGGACTTCGAGATCAACCGACGGCAGTACATCGCCGAGAAGGAAGCCAAGAAGAATGGTGGTAAGCCTACCAATGGCGCCAGCAAACCCATCGATTCGAAGCCCGTAGCTGCATCCTCAAATACTGCTAGCAGTCAACCACCAGCGGCGCCAGCGAAGCCTTCATCTAGCGCCCCTCTAATTGATCTCTTTGCATCACTCGAGGACAACCAACAGACCATGGCCACGCAACCGATGATGCAGCAGTACCCCCAACAAACAGGCTTCCAAGCTCCACAGCAGACTGCGAATATGGGCTTTCCCCAACAGCAGCAGCCCTTTCCAATGCAGAACGGGCAGAGTACCAACCCATTCCAGATGCAACAGCAACCACAGGCGCCGCAGATGCAGGCACCTCAGATCCAACAACAATTTACAGGCGCGGGCTTCGGAGGCTATTCCCCGCAGCCTTTTGGCGTGCAGAACACCATGCCATCAATACCACAAGGTGGTATGCCTGATTACTCACAACAGCAGCAGATGCAGATTCCCACAATTTCCGAACCTCTGCAGCCACAACAAACATCAACAAATCCATTTCGACAGTCGATGTTACCTAGTGCCGAGCCCAAGATGCTTACCAGCCCTACCAGCACAGGTTCGCTCAACCGTTCATCCACGAATCCGTTCGCAAAACACAACACTGGGTTTTCACCACAATCGCAATCCCCCGTTAACTCTCCGCCTTACTCAATGTCACCCATCCAAGAATCACCATTTACCGCCATGCAGCAACAGCAACCCATGCAGCCATTACAACCAACGCCTACAGGCACGAACCCATTTGCACGGCAGCCTTCTCCACAAAGTGCTGCGCCTTCACAGGGTGGTTTGACAGTGCATGCGACCGGCAGTACCAACCCTTTCCGACAGAGCGCTTTCGTCAACCAGCAAACAGGTCAAGGCTGGCAAAATGCAGGTTCACAAGGTACAATGGGCGGGATGAGCTTGGACCAAGTACCTACAACAAGTGTCTTCCCACGACCTGGTCAGCAACAACAGCAGAATTTCCTTGGCTAGAATCGAACGGGTTGATGGATCAGTGATGAGCTTTGGGATCTAATAGGTCTAAAGGCTAGTTCGCGTGACACGTTTGAAGCTATTATTTTCATTGGAATGGCGTTTCAACTGCCTGCCGCTGTAATTATTACGTACTTGGTTGCACATAATCATGCCGCACTGCGCAAAGCTGGGTGTGCATACATCGGTCGCTATGAAGGAGCGTTGGAAGTCCGCTCAACCTCAGATGCTCGGAGGACAGACTGGGCTATTTTGTGATAGATCATGTATCTACGATTTGATAGTTTCGTTGGGCAGCTGGGTGGATTCAAGGAAGGAGGAGCCCCTTGCAAATGCAATACATAATTACCGTCGCACTAACGTGTTATGCTGCTTGTCTTATTTGAATCAACAGTTGACTATATCTCGAGTGTACGTCTAACTCAAGAGTCACGATGGTGGAGATTACACAGCCGTCGCTGCCGTCTTCGTGAACGCTAGGGTAATAGAAGCCACGTGCCGACGCGTAACCGTAGATTTAGCGCGACTGCCCTCACCTTCAATCCCAGACTTCAAATCCGCCACAACAGCCCCACTCGCTTCAAGTTGCATTATACAAACTGCAGCATGATCACGATCCCTGTCGTCCCTATCACCGACTCTCATGACAGTATTGATAAAGCACAAAGTTGCCCGCTCGCGCTTGCAAATTCGCATCTGCGTCTTCAACGATGAGACCCAACGGGTCTCTTGACGCTCCCATCATTTTGGATGACGATGAACCGTCTAGCTATGTACCTGGTCCCATATTACGGCGGCGGAATCGTCAGACACTTGAACAAGATGGCATTGAAGAGGTATCCCATGAACGGGAAGCTGCAGCTGAATGGAAGCTAGCTGCCGCAAAGAGACAAGCAAAACAAAGGAGTGTGAGGAACCTAGGCAACGATATGTCTGAGAGAGGTGGCAATACAAGAGATAGCAATCTTGCAAAACAAGCGAGGGAAAAGACGTCGCCTGCAGAGCCTGCCGGCGTTGCTGACCTTGTAATCAACGAAGAAGCGGCAGCATTAGGAGGGATAACGCAACACAAAGCAAGTACTAGAGACGATCAACTTCCGGCTGATACAACACAAAAGCCGATATCGCAATCTAATACGCATCACGAAGCTGTGCTCCCTCAGCGAGCCAAGCCCCCTGGGCCTGTTCAACAAACCGGTCTGGACCAACCTTTTCTTATGGAATCCTCATATTTAGCTACCCCAGTGTATCGCTCACCATACGGGCCCCAACTGCCAGTCACAAAGCTACCGGAACCAAGCGTGGTACTCTCTGGGTCTGCACAACCTCTTTCCTGGCCGTTGAACATACTGAAAGCGAGGTCAGATCGAAGCGCTACGGCACCTGCAATCGCGGAAACCAACAGACGTGTCATTGAGCTTACGTACAGCACAAATTCAGCCCTCGCTACTTCGAGTGACGCGATTGCGCCCGTTTTGAGCCATGTTGAACCTCTACCCATGGAGCCAATCAGGGATGTTGCCGATAATCACCGTGAACGGACCCTCCTCCCTAATCGCGTAAACACGGCTTCTGTGCGCGACCACGCAGGACTGGATGGCGACGACAACAATATGGCAATTCCAGTGACTGCGAAAGCACCCAGCCCGAGCGTGTCAGCAATTCTGAAACTGCCACGGAACAAAAAAGCCATCAAATCAGTGAAACGGAGGAATGATGGATTCTCCAAAGCAAGTCTCCCTGTCAGGTTACCGCATCACCTTCCGGGTAACGAGAAAGAGACGCCAGAGGTTCTCTCAGATCGTCCTGATGCAGGCTTGAGCGACACGAGACTCGCGTCGCCTCTTATAACGCATCGAAGCCAGAGCAAAGATCCACCAGGTGACATTAACATTGTCTTCGACACCGATCCTGTTCATGTTGAGCAAGAATCCATTCAACCTGAGGGACCTGAAGAACGCAACTTAATTCCAAACCCACCGACGTTACTATCTCATCAGGAAACACGGGAAGCTGTACCAGAGCGCGCCCTTAGCACTACCGTTCCGCTGTCTCGTACCGCTATCCCCACTGTGCAGCGTTCAGTTCAGGGGTATGTAGAGCCAGGCGAAGCGTCTGGAGTATTGCCGCCGGATTCAGATACTATACCGGCAAACACATCCAACGCAGCATCGTTCGAAGTAATTCAGAGTGGTAAAGCACAGCCCAAAAACACGGGGGTGCTTGGCAGACGTAGTGACGGTCAAGCAAGCACGGCTCTTCCGTTGCAGGCAAACGTGCTGACCACTACTCGCTCGGCTGTAGAAGAGTGTTTGAAGCGTCATCTCGCGGAACGACATGAAGAACACGCATACCTGGTCTCGGTCAAGATGTTACGTCAAAGGACTTTCCAAGAGCAGGAGCTTCGCGCTCGAAGCCGCAAGCAGAAGCGTCCACCAAAATCAACCTTACCACAGAGATACATACAAACCACCTCTCCTTTCCAGGACATGTCTCCGATACAGGTACCGTTCGACCGGAGCGCCAACACGAAACGTATGTTAGATATGAGTCAGGAAGTTTACGTCAAAGCCAAACCCAAAGACACAGTAACTAAATCTGGTTTGGCTGCGCCTCCAACAAAATACAAAAGCGACGCACCTATGATACCGCCCTTTAAGGAGTACGTTAGTTTGAGGAACAACATTCTCGCGGACAATGAGTCAAAGCTGCTCGCAACACCCTACTTTCAGGACGAGGACTATACCGGTCGCGAGATCTTGTTAGATACGCTTCCATATATCTACGAGATGACACATGACGAAAACGGCCCGTTGGACTTTCGCAAGGAACAGTGTCGGTTCTATAAAGACGCTATAGAAGTCTTCCTATCCGAGATAGGCATCGCGTGGAATGACATTTTGTATTGGTTGCTAGCACCAGAACGAAATATCACCAAGATCAACGATTTAGCACCTGGCAGTAAACACTTTGAAGCACATGTGCTTGAGCGATCGCGGTACGACATTGAAGAGTTCGAGCGAGATGGAGTACCAAAGAGAAACGTACTATTCAAACGGAATGACAGGAAATGGCGGGAGTTTTTGCCCCAGCTCAAAGAGCCTTCTACCAGTGCTCTGAGACTTGCGGCAACAGCTTGTGCAGCGGTTCTTCAAGAATGCGAGTTTAGCATTTGGTACCTTGCTCGACAATCGGAAGCCGTTCAGAATCACGTAGCGAAGAAGACTGCATGTGGACAAGCTGCCAGGCAATCCACTTATAAGGAGATATTGTGTAGAGTTTGCCATCAGTGAGTTTGATCGTGTGATCTTTGGAGACGCAACTCTAACATTCTTGACAGACATAATTGCTTACTCCATGGTGAAATCAGACAAGCACCCGAAGACTCCTGGAAAACGGATTCTGAGGATGAGGATCGCGCCACACAAGCGACTGACGACACCAGTCGACGAGGCTCTGAGACCAAAAGAACTCCCCGCCGCATTTCGACTTACGGCGGAGATGATACTGAAGATGAGCACGAAGAAGGCCCCTTGCCTGCACACTTTGACAACGATTCTGATATCGAGAGGGTCATCAACTACAAGTTGCCTGCAAACCCAGACGCCTTTGATACTTGTCCGAATTCCGAAATGATTGCATCTAAGGGCGCAAAACCGCCTCCCGGTAAATTCAATGCAAACTGGTGGCTACAGCAAGACATGACACAGCATTGGGAAAAGCGAAAGCCGTTCTTCCCATGTAAACACGAAGGCACTTGTGAGGATGCGAAATGCCGGTGCTTCCGGGAGGGCATCAATTGTGAGAAGACGTGCAAATGTTCGCGGACATGCAATCGACGCTTCCCTGGTTGCAGTTGCACGATAGGACCTGGAAAACGCCCATGTTTTACCATCTCGTGCCTCTGCGCCAAATTCAACCGAGAGTGCGATGCAGACCTTTGCGGCGCTTGCGGAGCGTCTGAAGTCCTCGATCCAGTGAACCGATACAACGACGACGTGATTGAACGCAACTGTTGCAATGTTGCGATCCAAAGAGGTGTTCCTCGGAAGACGTTGCTGGGCCACTCCGAAGTGCACGGTTTTGGACTCTACATGGGCGAAGACATCAAAAGCGGCGATTACATTGGCGAATATACCGGTGAAGCTATCTCGGTCAAGGAAGGCGATCGGCGAGTCACCATTTACGACTACCAGAAAACGATGTACCTGTTTCGGTTGAACTCAAGTGAGTCTTCAAAATCACACTAATTTGTATCAGATTGCTGACTCGATGGCCTAGAACAAGAAGTCGATGCCACGTATATGGGAAACAAGCTACGCTTTATCAACAATGCTGACGATAAGTACACAAATTGTAGCCCTAAGAACCTGCTCTGCAACACAGTTTTCCGCATTGCTCTCTTTGCGACCAGAGATATAAAGGCAGGCACCGAGCTCTACTTCAACTATAATTATCCCAAGGAGAAGACTGCGCAGTTCAAACAGCCGAATGCTAAGGCCGTCGCAGTCAAGCAAACCAAACAAAAAACAAAGAAGAGGCAGTCACTTACCAGCAGTCAGCCCATCGAGGATCGCTCACGTGTCCTAGCCGCCACAGCAAAGGCCAGAGAAGTTAAAGCTGCTAAGCGCGCAGCGGCCCAAGCCATGCTAGAATCCAGTGATGCGCAGGCTGCTACGAAAAGGCATTCTGGAACACTGAAAGCACGGAAGGCAGCGACCGGTGAACCTGGACGCAAGATAGCGAAGAAATCCATGCGTGAAGCACTCAGCAGGAATGACTCTACAAACACAGACACAGACACTGGCGTAGATGCGGAAGTAGAAGCAAGCGACCCCGACATCCCCGCCGTCATTGAGTCGCAGAGTACTCAGACTAGTCAGTATGTTCAGGACACTGAAGAAGACAACGACGAATATGTCTTGACTACGCAAGAGGATGACGAAGAGGAAGATGTAACTGAGCCGGCCTCTGATGATGAGCAGGCGGTTGTGCCAGAGAGGAGTGTGGCCACAAGAACTCGTCGTGGGCCTGGCAGACCACGGAAGAGGATTTCAGACTTGGCGCCGGTGGTTGTGGTGAAGGACAAGAAGACGAAAGCGAAGATGGGCGGTGCACGACCGGGTGCTGGCAGAAAGAGAAAGCGACCTATCATTATGTTGAATAATGATGATGAGTAAGACCTTTATGCCGGTGATGGGAGCACATACGGAGGTGAAAGGGTGGACGTGGTTTGAAGACCTGCTGTCATGCTTGTATCGATTGTTCTGTCGACAATACCCTAACCTGTCCCAATTCATGACGATGTCACAACTGAAGCACCAATCATTCTGGCGATGCAACAAATCGTGATGCTATGGTGAATACACTACATATCCGCTCATCACACAAACTCAGATCAAGTTTGATCGACGACTGTTTTTTGCTACTTCCTAAGCTACACCAGTGTCACGGCATATGGTGCTTCGAAATGTTTTTGCGCTTCTGCAACGTCAAAGCTACATTATGTCTTCACTGCCTACCAAAGTTTAGTCCTAGAACGTCCAGACCAGCCGTCATACCAACATCTCGGGACGCGACCCGGAGAAGTGTTAAGCCAGGCCATTGGCTTATGATAAGGTTGCCGCACGCATCGCCTGTGTACGCGGTGCGGAGAAACGATATAATGTTAAGCGTTGCGACTATTGAACGCTTGGGTAGCGGGAGGGGAGGGGTGACATCCGCGCGCGTGCCTTGATCGGATGACGACCTCAGCGTGCGTGCAATGATAAGAAGTCGTTGACAAACCTGATACTGCGTAATTTTGCATGCCTGACTGTTGAGACAAGCATTTACGGGATGGGTAACTTAGATGAGGTTTGGTTTTTGGTTTGGACGCATGATGGCATGGCTTGCAGTTCTTCCGATGGAATCGATGCGGCGAAGCATTAAGGTTTAGAGTGGGGATGGGAAACTAACTAGTGAGATGCTCAAGATGGATGTCACAGGAACGCGTGGAAAGTAAGGTGGTGTCCCGGGCGCGATGCATCTCGCAAGACTTGAGACGGAGATACGGCTGTTGAGAATATGAATTATCTCGCTCTCGTTCAGCTCGCTATTGTGAGGCGGGTAAAGACAACTGATGATCGTCACGTGAGCCTCCACCCAATCTAGCTTGAGAAGCTTAGCAGCTTACCCTGTTCTGGCTGCACCACAAACCGTATGGAACCTCAACCGATATCGTCATAAAGGAATCATGTTTCCCTCATCTACCAAAGACTCTCCAGCAGAGTCATTGCTTTTTACCCATTAGCCTCGATGCCCATTTGAAGCCGAACCTGGAAAATACCCGTGATGCGCCAAGCTGACGCGAGACCAAACCCACCTGCTACATTTAGCCTCTTAGCTCCGCAGTTAGCTCCACCCACTTGCTCACTAGAGGGACACAAAGCGACGGTTTGGTCTCGGCCAATCCTCGCGTCCGCGCCGCAATGTCAAGCTGCGTGCGGCAGGCAGTTCGGCGCGTGTTCCTTTGCCCTCTTAGGGGGAGGCTGTAGGAGGATAGGAGATGTCGCTCGACTCTGTTGTATTCGATAGTCTCTGGACAAAGAAGTAAGACAAAGGAGACAATCAATCTCCGGCGTCGCGCATGCCGCAACGAGGTCTGGATCCACCAGTCTGATTGGATACTGATGTCATATGCGCCTGGAGCGTGCACGACTTTCACATGCCAGAGACCGTCAGTGAGTGTCGTGCGGTGCAGCAACACGGACAACGGCCCCACTGTGTGAATGGGCGCAAATGATGGCGCGCTTCACTTGCCCTTCAGCTTGCGTAACAAAGCTTGGAAACGTGGGAACCCGCTCCAAACCTCACCTTGTCATTTTTAGGCGTCTAGACTGTCCTTTCGCTTCTTGCTTAAACATTCGGAAAAATTAACTCGACGGATTTGCTGTTGAAATTGGGAAGTCGCTTTAGACAGTACTATTGCCGATATCCGCAACACGCATGCAGCTGGATCTGTTCATCATTCATCCAGTCTTACTCCTCAGTCTCACCTGACGTCTTCCGACTCCGCTTTCCAACACCACGCCCATCCACCATCTGGGCACGCTACTAGCACATCACCACACCTATTTTTCGATCAACCTCTCGGTCTTATCTCACGTCTTACACATCTTCTCGGCGAAATGGATTGCATAGAGGCCATGGGCGCGCGACGAGCCATGTCGCTCATGTTCACCGTCCCGGAGCGTTTCGTAGGCTTCGCGCACATGGACCAGAAGACCTTCTTTGAACTCTCAGACTGGATCCTGGCAAACGTCGCATCACAAATTACTCCGGACATAAGTGTGGAAGAATCGCTCTTCGTCTTCTTGGATATCGTGGCGCAAGGGAACAGCTTCAGTACTGTGGCGTATGGATGGGATCATGACTTGGAGCTTACACAAGGGTATGTCATTCGACAAACACTGCTTGCGTTGAATTGGAGGAGGAACTGACTATCGCGGGTGTAGCATATTCCTAAACGTCCTTAACGCTCTCACAATCCTGCGCGAGAGTAGGGAAATCGCCGATACGTGCCCGCCCTTTACACAAACCCGTAAGCGATGGGAAGTTGCTCGCAAATGGAACCAGAAACGATCTCGCATGGGCGCCAGTGGTGGCGTTGTCCGGATAGGCTACGACGAAATGTGCCGAGATGGTCTTGAGGTTGACCAAGAGTGCCTGAAAGAAGCCCTGATGGCGCTGAACAATTTCATCCATGAGAACGCGGACCACGACGAATCATGATTGCGTGCGCAATTCTGCCATTTCCTTTGTTTCTTTGCATCTGCTCCGGTGTTGATTTGGCGTTTGGGTAACGACTAGGGTAACGCATTGCACCGGTTGGGAAGGTTGAGCTTGGTGTTGACACGATCTTCTCTCGTTCTTGTTTCGTATGTACACATGTACTCTCTTTTGCAGATCAAATCGATCCCCGCTGGCCGTATGACGCCGCTGCATTCGCCTTCAGATGTCTCGCGGATATGTCGTGACGTCTTCGATATCGTCTGCTCAGGCCAGGGCTACAGCTTCCACCGTACCTTTACCCAACACGCTCAGCCTGCCCCTCTTGATTCCTAGTGCGTCTTCAATCCTCGAATCGGGTTCTCCCTTGGCCTGTCTCATCATCGCCAATGTTATGACACCAGCATCCACATATGTTCTCCCTTGGAAATCTCTCCTACCCACGTCTCGCAACTCGTCTTCCGCCTGATCTGCTATCTTTTGTCTTGCCTCTAGTACTCGCAGTACAGGGTTGTTGCGCGGGTCTGGGAACGCGGACTGTGGTAGCGATTGCATCATGGTATCCGAGGGCAAGTTGGGCGAGGTGTTACGACGAGGATCGAATTGCGATTGAGAGGAAGGCGAGTAATGTGGGTTCGGTTGCACAGCACCGAGACTGCTCAATCGAGATGCGAAGGCAGGATCGCGCGCATCTTGCAAGACAGCTGGAATTAAAATTAGTACTGCGTCGCCAATTCTCTTAAGACTGCAATATTACATACCTTCCGTCTTCTCTCCTGTAGCCTGCATCTCGGGATGTACAGTCGGTCCCCTTGTAGGAGCCTGTGCAGGTGCGGAAGGCGCGGGAGCCCTTTGTGTAGTACTTGTAGGAGCCCTGGTAGGGTATTGGCGTGCGGCAGAGCCAGCAGCCTTTGCGCCTTTAGAAGCCGAAGAGCCCATTATCGTTATTGAGGGGTATGCTGAATGTGGGGTTGTTGCAGAATGTTGAGATGCGTGGTGATAACGGGGGGAAAGATAAGATGCACGTATGGGACTTTGTGAAGCTCGGACCAACTTGATGATGTCGTGAAGATCTCCCGCGTCATGAAGGGGTTTACTACTTTGGGTGATGCTTGCGAAGTATTCAACGAATCGTAATTTTATTTCAGCGACATCGTCCCATGATAGTCTCAGGCAACAACGCTATACGCTTAAAGGAGCTTTTCGTCTGCGCGGTAGTGCCCTGCGACCAAGAAAGCCAACTCCAACGCCTGCTTCTCGTTCAACCTAGGGTCGCAGTATGTTGTGTAGTTCAAACTCAGATCCTCATCCACCAAACCTTCACTTCCTCCAGTGCACTCCGTAACGGCATCGCCAGTGAGTTCTAGGTGCATGCCGCCAAGGAAGGAGCCGTGTTCCTTGTGGATCTTGAGTGCTGATGAAAGCTCAGAGAAGATGCTGTTGAAAGAGCGGGTCTTGATGCCAGTAGGCGTGCTGCGTGTGTTGCTATTGATATGTTAGCGAGTGAAGCTTGACATATTGAAGGTCGACTTACCCATGCATAGGGTCGCACTGCCACACTACAACGTGTCCACTGCTCTTGACAGCTTCAATGTGCGCGCCAAGCATAGACTCAACCTTGTCCGCGCCATAACGCGTAATCAACGTAATCTTGCCAACCTCTTTGTTTGGATTGACAATGTCAAGCAGCTCGACCAACTCATCGTTCTTCATCGATGGTCCAACTTTGATACCAATGGGGTTCTCGATACCACGGAAGTACTCCACATGGCCTCCATCGATCTGGCGAGTTCTGTCTCCAATCCAGATAAAATGAGCAGAGGTGTTATACCAACCCTTGCCGTCGTTTGATGGCTGCGAAGGCTTGTAACCAGCGGGATGCTTGAGCCTCCTTGTCAAGCTTTGTTCATACTCTAGCACAAGACCTTCGTGGCTGGTGAAGAGGTCGACTGTTTGTAGTTGACCGGATGTATCCGCACCGATAGTTTTCATGAACCGTAGTGAGTCAGAGATGCTGTTTACAATTTTCGTGTACTTTGACTGCAACTCTTCGTCCCGAACATGACCAAGTTCCCAGTCCAGAGGGTTATGCAAGTCAGCGATGCCACTTGCCAGCTGTCCACGAATGTAGTTTAGGGTCGTTGCAGAGTGGAAGTAAGCGCTGACCAACCTCTCGGGGTCAACTCTTCGGGAATCAGGATCATATCCGTTAAGAATATCGCCACGGAAGCTGGGAACCTCCTTGCCGTTCAGCATCTCAGTTGGGCTTGACCTTGGCTTAGCATACTGTCCGGCTATGCGACCAATGCGGATGACAGGCTTATTCGAACCCCATATCAGAACCAAACTCATCTGCAACAAAAGCTTGATCTTTGCATCGATTGGGTTGTCTGCACAGTAAGAAAACAATTCGGCGCAGTCACCTCCTTGCAGCAAAAACGACTTTCCAAGTGCAGCATCGCGGAGACTAGCCTTGAGTCTGGCAATTTCTGTTGGGGTGACGATTGGCGGAAGACTTGATAGCTTGGTCAAGGCAGAAGACACTGCTGCTTGGTCTTCGTAGGTAACGACTTGCTTAATGGGTTTCGACCTCCAAGCTATACTTGTTAGTACATCGACCTTAGTATCCACGGTGCTTTCTTACAGGCCGGCGACCATGCTTCGGATTCGCCGTTTGCCTCAGCTTCTTGGTTTGGCCTTTTAGGCAGTTGCGTTGAGTTTGCGCTCATGGTGGGTTGAGATGACTGCGATTGTGGTTGGCCGCTGGCTGCTGCCATGAACTGGGAGACGTAGTCGGTCAATTTTGCGTGTCCTTCGCTGTCCATAGTGTGATGCTTTCTCAGGTGATACACAGTTTTGGTGACTAAGTCAAGGTTGTCTAGGCGCGACACAAAAGACTAGCTTCGAGTCACTTGTTAATATGGCAATGCGGCAAGGATTCGCCTGCATGGAGACGTGAACAAAGGGCAGAGGCACATGACTCAAGGGACAAAATCTGCAACGAAAAGCGGACTGCGCGCGCAATACACAATGACGTAACGAGGCCGACTTACCTCGAATATGCTGATAGACGTAAAGCGCCTACTCGACCGCTCTCGTGCTAGTTTTCTTTTGCAACATTATGTTCCGTGTTCGGGGTGTGTGTGCGCCCGTAGTGTAGGATGCATAAATTAGAAATAACAGCCAATAATGGCCGCTCTTTTTTTCCATTGGCTACATTTCCATAATCCTTAGCTACCCCACATCCCGCAGCTCTCCAATCCACAATCGTCATTCCATCTATCTCTACCAACTGTGTAAGCCCTTAGGCCGCCACCTATTCTTTCAAGTCTCCAAATTCATACCGCGTTACTACCAAGATCTAAGATGGCAGAGCCCCAACCTTCCGATGTTCAGGAAGGCGCTGCCGACCCTCACGCACCAACCAGTACAGCTGAAGACCGCAAAGCCGCCGCCGCCCTCTCAACTCTCGATGCGCCACAAGAAGGCGATAACGGCCCGAAGAAGGAAGTCGATGGAAAGGCACTAGACAAAGCGATGAAAGGGTTGAATGTCAAGGACAAGAAAGAAGGCGACAAGAAGAATGTCAAAATTGAGGCCGCGGATGTTACCCTACTGGTAAGTCGAGCTTGTGAAAGATGGATAGAAAGAATGACAAGCAATTGACATGACTGACGTTTGTATGAACAGGTTAACGAGCTCGAAGTTACAAAGCCAAAGGCGACGGAGCTGTTGCGCGCGCATGATGGCAACGCGGTGAAGGCTATGAGCGCATTTGTCACGGCAGCGCCTTGAGCGAGTACGTGAGAAATATGACCGCGACTATACCCCGGAAAACCTTTCATATCTGCAAATGCGCATAGAGAGATGTTTGCGTATACATCTGAGTGTGAGACAAGAGTCGGAGGGATCCACACACGCTTCGTGGTTACAGTATGCAGGTGGACGATGAGCAAAGATTACCAATATACGGAATGAATTGCGACATGAAGGGGAATCGGTGCAATGGTATCTCGGGTCAATAGCGCTCTAGAACAAGAATAAACGGGGCATTGGCCACAGAACAATGGCAAAAGTCACATAGCGCTGACAAGACAACGTTAGATTGGAGAAAAGAGATCGATCAACTAAGAAGTGGATTATGCGTACAGACCAAGATTCTCCTTGGCGATAATACCCCAAAAGTCAACCACAAATTCTCCCCCTTCTTGCAACAGGGGTGCAAACGCTTTGTGCTTCCCAATGATCGACACTTCGCAGGCTATGTACTCAACCACCAACTTTCTGAGATCTTCAATAGTCCCGTTGGACTTCCTATCTTCTCCATGATCGTACGCATATCTAGCCAATTCGACGACGTCGCCTACTCGTCGATCGTAAAGCTTGAATTTGAGGAGTGTTTGATGGAGTTTGTGCAGAGCCAGACGCTTGAGAGGGTCTATGAGGCGCATGCAAGCGAAAGTATAGAGACGTACGTGTGCCAGAAAGACGGGCGTGAAATCCTGTTCATGCTCGGTATTCTCTTTGGGTATGCAATCAGCAAATGCTTTTGTTTTTGGCTCATTTGACGTAAGGTATTCCTCCGCGTTGAACCTTCTGCGCAAATTGAGAGACTTCTTCGACTTCTTCCTCTTCGGTGCGTAAGCGTGTCCAAACACTGAAACCATTCTGATAACAGTAGGATAATCCCACTGATCGTCTGAGTTGTCTTCCGGTTCCTCTGGCGGTGGCGGCGGTGGCTCCTCTACCTCTACTGGACCTGTTGTTGACACATCTGTATCTGGTTCATCTATTGATGATTCAACGTCCAAAGCCCACTTTGGCACGGTATAGTCGTAGCGGTACGCATATTCAACGTATCGAGCAAAATCACATGGGTCCATATCGGGGTACTCAACGGATCCCTCTTGTGACTGCGCCATGCCATTGTTGACGAGCGCATGAAAATGCCATGAGGTTGCGGCAATGGCTTGAGAATGAACCACAAACGCCTTCTTTTCTTTCCCGACATAGAATGTGAACAGTTTTGATTGGACGAGTCTACACGCTATCAGTTACATGGTCAGTATGCTAGTGTTGCATACGCACTCCTCAAAGGAACATGCAGTTGATGGCTCGCCCATTGTTGATACGTTTGGTCAACTCTGTAACACCTATTGAACTCGCCATGATATATGATGATCAGGACTTTAAGCGCTTGATGTGGGGTCGTACAACGCATACTTACACAGGCGATATGCGCGTGGTGTAGTACAAGGTGATCCTGCTGCGTGTGACGTCCAGACACGTCTTCCAGATGTGCAGCTGTCTGCACTGTGCCGCAAACGTCAAACAGATACTGTCACACATAGCACAAGCCGATAGTCATTGGCCGATCTTGTTCAAACGAAAGACAGCAGGACAAGTGCGGCTGGTAATACAGTAGTCGATAGATAATTTTAGCTCAATCGTCCTGAAGGTCTCCGAGACAGGTGATCGATCGAGCGGAGGCCGAACGAGCAGCTCGCGAGGCAGGTGACAAGGATGCGAGCACTAAAATCACAAGATTGCCTGCGGTCGGTGATTATAAGGGAGAGCCATCGTCAGAGGTCAGCAAAGATCTTCAGGACTTGGTTTGAGTCACAGTATTGTAAAATAGCTTTGGCGTAACCATCAGTATTCCATTGGTAACATTATGCATCTCCATGTTTTCCACCCCAATAAAGTCATGCCTCTAGCGACAGCTAGAAAGATAGATAAGACGCTTATTTCAGCTTCAAGACTCATCATCAGTGGAAAATGTTTCGCCAGGAGCTCCTAGCCAAGCGTCCTCCAGCGTCTGTATACATATCGTTTCAAATTCAATGCCACGCGCAACCCGACCATTGAATGCGTCAATAAACACCAGATTTTCTTCGGCACAGGGCCAGGAATGCTCGTGTGTAGCCCCAGCCCACATCCAGAAACCATCTGCGCAGACTATGTGAATCTCTTCCATACTAGCAAACTTCATGAGTTCAGTTGATTCAGTATAGTAGAAGTATTCGTCTGAATTCTCTCGTTCAAACTTAAGACGCTTGATTGCTGATGCGATCGATTCGTAATTGCAGAACCTAGATGCCCCAATATCCACCATATCAATGTTGAGATCTAACCAGACATAGCGCTGCTCCATGTCAGGAGAGCCTACTTCCTTGGGTCCTTCTTCTCCCCGCCGCTCATCGGGTGTGAAGAATTTCTTTATGGCGATCTCAGCCTCGTTGTTGACTTTGGATTTCCTTGTTGCAGGAGTGACCTCAAAGAAAACTCGCTCGTAAAGTCCAAGGTTTCGCGCTTCCCGGCAGGAGTGTAGTATGGCTGGTATTGGCGTAGACGAGATCAGCTGGCCATAGCGTTGAGACCCCTTTCGAACACGCCGGACATCGACGGTGCGCGGTTCGACGGTATCCTTCCAGATCTGCTCTCGCAGCTCCAGAGGAAGCCGCGGGAATGGATGGAACGTGGCCATGGTGTGGGATAGCGGCCGAGGTAGTTGAAGAGTAGCTCTAGCCCAGTTTTGTCCTGCAGGCCTCCCCTCATAGTGATTGCGACAGCAGATCGGAACGGCATTCCGATGAAGATACAAGACTGCACATCGCCGCAGATGCTCAAGCAAGCTGCATTACTTTGTATGCACGTTGGAAGTTTGTGGGGACAGCGGTAGTAGTGTACACATGAACCCCAAGAATGACCATCACTACAGGGATCTGCTTAAAGTGCGATGAGACCCATAAGTGTAAGCGAGCAATGAGCTTCTAGGGCAACCGCAACCGCGTCCCTCTGCCGTTGCTTTTGCCATTGCAAAACAGGGTTCCACTACGCTGCGTCATTCGTGATCCTAGTGATATGACCGCGCGGGACGTTGCACAAGGGCTCCCATGCTTGCTGCCGACCATCTCGACGAATCGTGTCGTGCGATCTGTAATGATGTGCACCACGTACGTCACCGATCCGTGGATATGGTAGATGCTCCATACCTCGCTACTCGTCGTTCAAATCGACATAACGGAAGCCAGATACACTAACGGCCATTTACCAACTGTCCATCTATCCTGTTTCCTTGCTGGCGCTACTAGCGCATACAACTTGTCAACACGGCGCCTCAAGTCCCCTCTCGTCGCGCTCTCGCTGGCATTGCACTTATCTCTGTGCTGTCGGCTGTTGAGAAGCAGCGTAAGAAGAAGGGAAAAGATAAAGAAGAAGAGTACAATTTCGACGCGACCGAAGATATGTCTGGTGAATTGCAGACTATACCCGCGCGCCATGGCGTTGCAACATTTGTGCCCAGAGGCAGGACAATCAAGGTCATCAACACATATGGCAAGCAAGTGGTAAGTATGTGGGCGTTTACCCTGGGCCCACCACCTGAGGAGGGAGATGACGAAGAGGGTGAAGGAAAGGAACTGGATGATGAACAAGTCAAGAAAGAGACAGAGCAAATGAAGAAGGCTCTGGAGGAGGAGGAGGAGGAGGGTGAAAAAGGTGAAGAGGCGGCCAAAGACAAAGAAGGCGAGTCAAACGAACCGGAAGAGCCGAAGAAAGATGTAGAGGACGATTCGGAGGAGCAGAAGAAGGATGCGGGTAGCAGTGGCAAGGAAACTCAATCTACTGAAGACGCAGTCGAAAGTCCAAAAGAAGAAGCTGCTGAAGACCCGCCCGAACAAGCTCCTGATACACCTGACAACGAGAAGACAACCGAGAGCACAGCGTCATCATCGAAGCAGCCCAATAAGCGCACTTGGGCGTCGTATCTCCCTTCGATCCCATACCGCAACAAGGGCGGAGCGAACAAGCAGGGAGCAGAGCAGAAGCCTAGTCCTGAGCAGGAGAAGAAACAGAACGAGGAGAATACCAAGAAGTGGTCGTCATACCTACCTACTGGAAAGAGTTTCTCTAGCTATGTGCCGAATGTCGAAGTACCCGACAAGAACACTGTCGTGAGCGCGTTCAAGTCAAGCCATTACCGCGATCCGAACAAGAGCTATGCGGAACAGCTCTACGACTTCTCGAAGACGCCTGTAGGCGCTGGAACCATCGCTGGTAAGTTTTGGATTTTGTGATCTGCATCGTAGGAATGGATGGTAACGTTAGGCAGCTGCGACTGGTTCAGGCTACGCATCCTCGGCCTATGCCGTATACTCTGCATACGCTTCGACACATCCCTCGAACTCTTCGCAACCTCCAATGGAGTACCTCTCCCTTCCCCACACGCGCGCTTCCTCGCACAAATTAGCGCCAGAAGTCGATGACGAGCTCCTGACCAACCTGCGCAACCCGATCGTTACCCTTATCGAAGACACATCGCCCGGTGGACATGACACACTGACGGCGGCGTGTGACGCGAACCAGTACGCTTCATTAGGTGTTGACAAGCCAGCTGAACATGGTAGCTGTGCCGAGAACCTCGTCCTCGCGCTTAAGGAAATCAACGAGACGGCGGGACTGAAGGGTCCAAAAGCAGTTGGCGCAGACATCTCAGTCAACATCGCACCCACGCCTCTTCATCTCTTCATGAATGCGCCTCTGCAATCCGAGGGTAGTGACCAAACCGACGGTGCGGGCACAAAGGGCGTGACGCTTAGAGTCGATGAGCCCAAAGGCAAAAAGCGATGCTTCGTTCGGTTCCGTGCCGAGCGGGATGTAGTCATTGTATTCAGCGCCTGCCCTATGGATGTAGGAAAGCAGAATGGAGGACGGTGCATGGCAGCCAACTTCATGGTCGAAGACGTACAAGAAGGCGAGGATCTCGCATCATCTATCGCATCTGGCAAAGCGAAGAAAGCACCGAAGAAGCTGAACGAGAAGGACAAGGCGAACAAGACGAAGCAAGAAGCTAAGAAGGCAGATCAAGAAGACAAGAAAGACGACGCAACAGAGAAGGAATCACCAAAGAAGCCTGAGCTGAAGAAGACAGAGTCGGCGAAACAAACACCCAAAAAGGATGAAGATCCAGCAGACAAGAAACCAGCGTCTAGCCAACAAGAATCATCCGCACCACAGAAGGAAGAGAAGCCAAGCGGCTCGACGACGTCCGAAGAGCCGAAGCCGAAGAAGAAGCCTAAGAAGCTTCAGGTGCGTAGCCAAGGTGCTTCCACGCCAGCACAGTCCTCGTAAAGCTAGTTGAAATACGTAATGTGTTACAGCCCAATGGGTTGCTTGGATATTTATGCTTAGAACATGTATGATAGTTTTGGTCACTTGCGGTACAAGTTTGTAGCAGAGTAATGTTTATCGTACACCTCGGTCTTGTTATGTGCACCTTTACGATGAGGTTCGTGACAGTGACTTACAAAGAACGCTTGACTTCATAAGAGCATATATGGGTGCTGAACAGTCACACTTTGGAGTTGGTAAGCAAGAGAATAAATTGAGGATCTGGTACAGTCAGAGGAACAAGGATATGCTACGTCAGAATCCCTATCCGGCCCACCCAGGCTCGCGCAACCCAATGGCCACTTTTCCTAATTCGCAGTCTCCTCAAGCAAGAGTAGCCCTAGCCTCCTTCCCTTTTACATAAACCGTCTCCATCCTCTTCTGCGGTACCGCCGTGGGTGCTGCACCATCCTCCCTCTTCCCCCATGAAATATACGTTGGCGGCGCTGGTTTCGGCCACGTAATACTCTGCCAGGGGAACTCTAAGCCAATGCTATTCTGTGGCTTCGGCCCTGCTTCTGCGTCTCTCTCAGCTAGTTCGGGTGCAGCAGTGGGTTCAGGCGCAGGAGCAGCAACGCGCTTTTCCTTACCCCAGATGACAGTGTAGGTGGGTGGATTGAGGCCGACACTATTTGGCTGCGTTGGCTGTGATGGAGGAGGGAAGTCATCGTCATCATCATCTTCGGGAAGCTCCGGCGATGAGGTGGGTACAACATCATCTTCTTGGCGCTTCTTGCCCCAGATCACGGTTACGGTAGGCGGGTTAAGGCCGATGCTGTTCGCTTGAGTTGGCTGAGAGGGAGGTGGGAAGTCGTCTTCTGGGTCTTCTGGAAAAGGTTCCTCAGGAAAGGGATCTTCTGGGTCGGTAGGGTAGGGCTCTTCTCCATCTTCGGGAAGCGGTTCTTCAGGTGAAGGAGTAGGCTCGGGTTCGTCGTAGTTCCAGGATACACTG